TAGTTTTTTTGATCGCTTTTTTTTATTTTGGCAATGTTTATGTTTGAAATTCTCATCTTTTTGTAACGGAGTGCTTGAAATTTAAAATTGAAAGAATATATGAACCGAAGATACTAGGTGTACACAAAAAAAAATGTGATCTCCTGATGTCTTTCATCAATATAATTAAGTGTTTATAAAAATATGAATGGATAGATAAAAAAATGTAAAGTGATAATTTATGGTGTAGAAATACACCAAAGTGTGTACCTCAGCATTTACTCTTGTAGAACCAGATTCATACATTAGATTCATTTGCAATAAGTCCAATTGGTCAGATTTTAACAAAAGAATCACATTTTTCAATACTCCTCCCATTCTATAATAAAATTTTCATTTACTATTCATTGGGTTTGTTTTCTTTGTTAACTTATTTTCATGTCTTATTTGATAAAATAGTATAGTTATGTCACCTCTATTTTTGTAGATTTCTTCATGTAGTTTTTAAATGTATATTTTTTATTTTTTAATTACATACCATTTTTCATATAGCATGATTTGAAAATAATTTCAGTCAAACATCGTAACGCACAACGGAAACTTTATTTAAGAAGGGAGAGAGAATTACATGTAATCATCCTACCTTTTGTATGTTGAGTTTTGAGTTGTCATTAGATATGTAACAATCACCTAACGATTTTATTGAAAATGCTTATTTTAGGCAAACAAATGCAAGTTAAAATTATTTCAGGCAAATATTCTGTTTTTAAGTTTTTAAATTTAAGATAATGTTTCTAAAAATATAAAAGTACGTTCTTTTCAGATAATTGAGTCAGTTTGGAAAAATATATCGGCTCACAACTTTTGTAGTGTCATTTTGGAAAAAAGAGTAACGAATTATCGAAAAAACAATTTTATACTCTGTAATACCGTTTTGGAAATAAATATTATAGTGAGTCGTCAAGAAAATGTTTAGTTTCATTTCAAAGAAAAGTTTGTAGTGCAAAAAATTGTAGCATAATTTTTTTGATAGTTCAATCTAATTATTACTCAGATGTAAAAAGTTGCAGCACCAACTTCACAACTTTTTAAATATTGTTTCATGATATTTCTCGAACGAATAATTGGAATATACTCCGTAGTTCTTTTCACAAAATGGAACTAATTTTTTGATAATTCAGTACAGGTTTTCTGTACTACGTGCAATTTTTTCTTTCAAAAGTGACATTATGAATTATTTTTTCGTCAATCCTTGCAAGTTTTTGTACTACAAATGTTTTTCCAAATATCTTTCTCCAAAGTGGGGAACTAGACAACTAGTAACTACTTTTCTTTTCTTTTTTTTTTTTTTGCAAAATAACTTTACCCATTACTATCTTTTATTCCAAAACGTCACCACAAAAGTTTTGAGTTCTGTTTTTCAAAGATTACCAAGAATATCTGGGAAGAGTGTATGGTTATGTTTATATATAGACATAATGTCAAATTTTAAAATTTTTTAAAAAAATGAGAATTTTATTCAAATAATTGCACCTTTCATTTCTTGTGCAAAAAAAAAAAAAAACAGTTAGTTACAGTTCATACTAACTGTGTGAAAAAAGGTTTGGTATCAAAATGACAAGGACAGAGCAAGTGCCCCCATAAGCAATGGGTAGATTCGCGAGTGATTATAATTCTAAAATATAATTCTATTTATCTTATTTTTCTTATATTCTTCGCAGTACTTTGTATATGATATGTTTTGTATTAATATTTTTTTTATTTACCTAATTGATAAGGAGTATAATATAATCCTTATGTTTATGGTAAATAAAGATAACTAAATACTAGGGAGTAGTAAGAAATTTTAGAATATTTGCATGGATGGGAATAAATTCAACTTTTTTTTGACTTAATAAACTTCAACAACTTATTAAAACTGTAGAAACCTTATTTTAAGACGAAAGTTGTAATAACTTAAACTATGTGTATTGTACCCTTAGCTTGCATCTATGAATATGATATATTAAGATAGTAATTATTAAATGCACCTAATGAAGATGAGTATTTTTATATAAGCAATAAATTAACAAAAGAATATGATTTTCTTTTTTTTTTCAAATTTAATGGTCCACTAATATGAAAAATTTTATGGTGTGGTCATCAAAGTATCAATAAAACACATAAAATAGATGTGTTTAAACATGGGTCTTCACCCACAAGGAACGTGTTTTACCCATCTGTGATATTTGGAAGGACATTGGTGTATAAAATGAGGTCAATTTTGGGGTACTCAAGATTCATTCCTTTATACTACCTCCGTCCCGCATTGTTTGTCCATTTTTGACTTTTGAAACTGTTCATTTAAGCATTTTGACTCATCAAATTCTCTCAATGTGTAAGTCTAAATATAATCTTATGTAATCTTGTTTGATTTGTCTTAACATATAGATTATTAATATATAATTTCTATAATTTTTTAATATACAAATTACAAGATAAAATAGATTAAAGAAATGCATTGAATGGTGTACAAATTACTTAGTTTTAATAACAATTCTCAACTCACTATGAGTAGAGTAGAATTCACATGTCTTAACTTGAAGTGTTAATTGATGAAGTGCATAATTCTTTCCATCTAGTAATACCAACTAAACCAAGAAAACTCTGTTAGTTTTAAATAAACTCTTGACCTCAATGGTGTCAAAATCGAGTAATTCCACATTTTACTTGTCTTTAATTAAAATTACAGCATTTATAATTAAAAAAAACTTTGATCTTTTCACCTATTCCTTTTTCAAAGATTAGATACAATTGGTTTCTCCATTGATTTTTTGTTTCTATGAGCCGATAATATCATTCCTGTCAATTTGCCTTAGTTCTAATACAAGTTCATCCTCGGTTTTCTTATTATTGTTCTTCGTTCTTCCATAGCATTGAAATCCCTACCTGGTTTAGAGATTGGGGTTGATTTGTTGATCCAATGATAGCCTGATATGCTGAAGATTTATGTGCGTGATTTTTTCTGAGTGAATGCCTCGTTTTATAAGAAATATCCCTCCGTTTTCTCATTTTAAATAATGTGCAAAATCCAATTTTTGAACTACTTTATTATTAATTACTTCCTCTGTTCTAAAACTTTCTTCCCAGAGCACTATTCCTACTTCACAAAAATTTATATTTATTTGTGTTTTTTCATGGCCTATATGATAAAGTAAAATATTCTTGTCACCACTTATTTTGTTAAACTTTTGATGTAGTTTTTAAATATGTATGTTTTATTTTTTATTTCTATACCAATATTTAAATAAAATAGATCGAAAAAATTGAGATTTTTCTTCATTTTGCGCAAAGGGAAGAAAATTTTAAGACAGGAAATAGTTTATCAATAAAAATACAAATTACATAAAAAAATTACAAAATAAAATGTGATAAAAATATTTTATATTATCAAATTCAAAAATGAGCATAACCTTAGAACCTTATAATCAGTTTAGGACTTAAGGGTGTATCTACTATAACAAACTTGTGATTATCCACGCAAATTTTGTAATCTTGGACATAAGCAAAAACTAGATTTTAGTGATTGATTTCAACAAGATTTTTGTTTATTGATGAAAAACAATCTACACTAATTTATTTTTATTACAAAGAAATTAACCAGATTTACACACAATTCAAATAAAAAAATTACTCTCCCATATTCAGTAGTTATGAATCTCGTTGCCAATTATAAACCTGATAATGAAAATGATAAAGGAGACAGAAAAATAAGAACATAAAAATGTACAAACAAAAATAAAAATTAGGAATTTTGAGAGCCATCAGAGAGTATGGGTTTTCCGCACAAGCACATTGCTAATTATACAGTCCGCATCATGGTTGATCCCGAAGGATCGCATCACCTGGCTTTCAATCGCTTCCTTTTTAGTTAAAAGGAATAAAAAATATGATCTCCGACTAAAAAAATTCATTTAAAATCAATCGGAATAAATTACAGAATTAAAAAAAAAAACCAAAAGAACAAAATAAGAAGAAGACGAAGAAGCTCAGAGAATAATATGGGTATGAGAAAAGTATCATCACGCTCTCGAAGAGGTCAGAGTGGTGCATGACTTTGTTTTCATCATCGCAATTTCTTCGATTTATTCGAAAACACAACAAAAAAAAACACACACAAAAATCCTACGGAAACAAATCAGAGGCCTGAAACGATAAATACCAACGAATATGATTATGTACCTGGCGATTAAGAATCGCGTCCCAGAAGAATATATATAAATGGGAGAATCGGGGAGCGGTGAAACCCTAATTGCTGGGAATTTGGAAAAGAAGCAAGCCCGTTTGGTAAAGGAGGCCGCCGGCCATATTAGCCCGAACCTCCGTGTAAATGGGCCACTTGGATCATTTGGCCCACTTTCTCATTTTTCCTCCCTTCCCATTTCTTTTTTTTTATCAACATTGAATTTCGACACCAACAATGAAGAGAGAATTCGAGCTTTATATCAAGCACGAAATGACTCTCTAAGGATCACACTAATATTATATCGTGTTTTACTCTCTTACTACTATATCGGACTCAAGTGTGGGGGATTCGTGTTGGGCACTCCAATTTTTTTTTTGTTAGTTGAAAAGATTTTGATTTCCTAATATCTTATCTAATGCATCCATAATATGTTGGGATGAGATGCTCAATTGGATAAATCAGTCATAGAATAAAATGGTATGGTAAATTGGTCAATATGTGTTGTTTGACTAAATGAGTTTCTAGCATGAGATAAAGCAAGGCAAAGCCATTATAAAAAGTCCTTGTTCCAATTTCTTGAAAGACAACTTGGTCATTTGAAATAAATCTCCATGAATCCCACGAAAGTAAGGTCTGGGTAAATAAATCTCCAAAATAAAGTCCTTGTATTGAAAGTCATATTCAGCCAACTAAGTGTGTTTTGGATACCGACGACTTGTATCATGAGCGGCTAAGGGTGGCTCCCAATAAGTCAAAAATAATAAACGTAAAGACCAAATTAAACAATAACAAACAATACAGAGACTAAGTCGTCAATTTTGAATAAAATGATTAAATTGCACATTTTTAGATAGTACATCTATCTATACCTTCCTGAGTACTTTGCCCCTCGTAAATACCATTTCTTTGCTTCCCACGCATAAAGAGCCCACAAGAAGTTACATAATTCAAATTGGCTCTTAAAGAACAAACTATATGGAGTATATATGCTCCCTCTCTCTCTCTCTCTCTCTTGTTATCTTAGTTGTTGTAGACTCTAAGATATTGGTGCATCATCACTTTCTATCACCGGCAACGGATCATTTCCAGGAGGAAGAGAAGAGTGCGGGCTGGAATCCGAGACATCGCTATTATTGTCTACAACAATAGGGGCAGTTGGGCTTTCGATCACAGTGGCCTCAGCCATGTGGGGAGAGGTCTTCAAATGGGATAGGCTGGAATCTGATGCGACAATATTCGGAGTGTGCTTAGGCCCATTCAAAGTGTTGCAATGTGGGCAATAGTATGTAGTGTAAGGGAAATCTTCCTTTCTAGCAAGGCCTGCACAAACATAAAACCTAGTACATGAATTGATCGATTATCCCAGTCCGAACATCCGCAGACTCCCACTAAATGGAAAAGGTTAACATTCGTTTTCAAGTGAAATTCTGGAATAGCCAAGCGGCAAATGGCTTTGGTGAATTGCCTCAAGCAATATTTGGGATATGTTTTAGGGGCATAAGCGACCATTCATTGTTTGGAAGGCCTAAGTTCTTACCATTGTGCATATGACAGTTCCCACATATAAGTGCATAACATTGTGTTGGATCCTCCCCCACAAGCAACGCAGCGAGACGTGCTAGCCACCCTCCCTCTTGTGGGCTTGGATTATAAGGCCCAACTTCCTGCTTGGGATACTCACTCCCACCAGAACCGTGAAGTTGTGCAAGTGCTTCACCCTTGGGGCTATGAGATGTGGTCTGCTTCTGCTTTCGGTGTCGAAGCCCACTGGATTCAACACCACTGCCGCTTCCACTAGGGGCATTTGTCTTGGGCTCATCATCTCCTAGATGGACTTTCAACTCACTATCTGCACCTAGCTTGGATGCCAGCACAGTAGCAGCTGCTGCCTTGGCTGCTGGGTCGGGGTCATACCTCTGCACAAAAAAACAGAACTCTAAAACAAGATACTTCGATCCTTACTATTACCAAGTTAGACTCCTTTTTTTTCAAATACTCTAAAACAATATACATTTGATCCTTACTGCCTTGGCTGAGTCTGGGCCTTTACTTCTTGTACCTTACTCAAGAACAACTCTTTGTTTAAGAACAAAGGGAGTAAGATGTTTTGTAAAATGTAATTATGAATATATTTCGAATCTACAATCAACTATTTTCATTAGTCCTTCATCAATGCTATAAGGGCTAAAAGGTAAAATTTGCAATTTATTGATTTAAGTATTTAACGCCAATAAAAACTCTATACATAGAACCATAATCTGCTAAAATAATCCAAAGAAGCATTAAATATGTGTAGGGCATCAATATGTCTTGACCTGGATGAGCTGCTGTGTAATATAATAATTTGTCTTCTCTTTAAGCTCGTCAATCTTGGCTTGCCGTTCAGCCCGAAGCTTTTCCAAGGCTTTATGGTCTCTCCTTTTACCTATAAAGAAACATTAATGAAAGAAGAAGCAAGGCAAGAATAATACATGGTCCCCTGAACCCACACAGACAAGCGGACCCGTTTTGACCAACAAAAACAACAATGGCAGCTAAATCTTGTCTCGTCCCATGATGGCCAACAAATTCTGCATGTGAACCCAACAGACCAACTTATATAACTGTTCAATCACCCGCCAGGGTGCAACAGAGTACGGACTTAATTTATGTTTGTATTTTCAATTGTTGCTAACTGGAAACACTTCGTTGCACTGCTGGAAAAGAAAGAGTAAGAATGTGGTAAGGAACAATAAAACCAAATAATTGTCTAATGGTGTGGGGATCCAATTGTAGTGGAAGACAATATCTAGTCCTCGTGTCTGATCTCTCTCCCTTACTGGTCACATTATCCATTTACATGTCAAAATTCCACAATAGAAAGTAAAATATATCCTAGCTATAAGTGAGAAAGCTATTACTTTGTATATAAAAAAGACAATCAATATTCATTATCAACCACAAAGTAACTCAATATATTTTGTACAATAATGCTCTCACCGACCCAAAATAAACTTCCATTTTCTTTTTTGGGTCATCACAAAACAAACTTTTAGTTCCTTCTAAGGAAAACATTGAATGATTCACATTACTCCTCTTTCTTGTACGTAAGCATCGTCCATACAATTTCACCTTTTCCTAAACTCCATGCAAAACCAAATGAGGAAAAGAGGGAACCACAGAAATTTAATTTACAACATGAGTAAAAATAATAGTAATAATATTAAGTCCAAGTTTCTCTGTGTCATTTCCTCAGGTGACCTCATTTTCAGCCACATGAGAAAATGAGTGAGTACATGGAAGAAAGTTGAAGGAAACTTGATTCGTATAAGCTACTTACGCATCCTTATGAAGCTTCCAACCACTGAATGGGTAATGAAAGATAAGAACGGTAATATAAACATAGGCAAAACTCGCAAAGCCCTAATCTTCCAATCCAAGTCAAGTGACCTTGTAGTCATGATAGCATAACCCACTGCAATGACCTGCCATTGATTATAATCATTCCTAAGAGAATGCTCTTTCTTAGAAACATTTAATATTGTTTTTGATAGGTTGATGTAGAAATGTATCATATCTTGGTTACCCATTCCACAACCAACAGTAACACTAAAGAAAGTCAATACATTAGTGACAGAACCCAAAATTATTGATTCAACAATGTGCTAATGTAGCGTGCCAGGCCTCATCCAAGGCTGGTGAGATGGTGCAGGCAAGGCAGTCATGGGCCAGAGGTCAAACGATCTATGGCAACAGGAAGTATCGTTTCTTTCCTTTGGCAGAGAAACCAGAGCTTAGCCATGCGTGAGAGTTAATACACCAGAATCTAATACTCGAGAAGAAGGATTCAATTCTAACTGAAAGGTCTTAATACAGATTGCAGAATCCTAAATCCAATAAGAAACAAACTCAGATAACATAAGTACATGTCTAAAAGACTTTCTAACTAGCCTAACTTAGAAACAAACTAAATGAATGGGAACTAAATAATGAAGTAATCAAAAAAATACTCTGTATTAAATTATGGAATACAATGTTAGGTGATAGTGGTTTGCTGATGCTGCTGGTACGTGCAGCCAAAAATTGCACCCATAACACAATGTTTCATAGTTCTGTGAGCTGTGAAAACAACAGTAGGAAAATAGGCTCATTCAGTTGCCAATGCCAGAGGGTGTCAAGAGGTTTTGCTAGAAAATACTCAAATGATAGGTGCAGAGACATACGCAACCGTGAAGTTTTGTTGATTCATGACATGTGTTGGGAAACTCTTACTACTTATGACCACCCAATGGTGCCCCGACCGAGTGAGCATCATAATTCAAAAGATGGTTATGTCAGATGGGTGATCACAAAGTCGTGAGTTTCATACAAAAATAGCCTCATATAGTTTAACCTAACCTTAGTGATTAGGTTGAAGGAAGAATTACCTCAAAGAGTACAGAAAGTATAATCAAATGTCTAGTCATTCTTTCCCAGCTTTGTGTACGTTTACTCATTCTTGCCAGAATAGCAACCTCCTCCTTATGAATATATTTCAGCCTCTTCTCAAAGTCATATTCGCGTGATCTAAACATAGCATTCCATAATCTAGAAACCACCCCCTTATTTTTCTTCTTCTTTTCCTTTGCTTCAGTAGCAGTGGGCGTGGCGGCAGGCATACTGTTCCCATCATCCTTCTCAGAACCTTCATCCATTTCCTAAATATTAAAAAAAACATAAACTTAAATCAGTGAAACATCCTTCTACTAAGAAAAAAACATCATCCAACCTTCCATCAAAACGTTGGAACATCGTAAAGTTATAATTTCACATTGCGCAGCACATTTTGCAAGACCTACTCAAACACTGACTTTTTGCTTCAATAAAAAAGTAAGAAAAAGATTTACAAACTCCATGGAATACAAGAGAGCTCTCCTGAGAGTCAGAGACAATATGACAAATAAAATTTTGAGACATTAATACTGAAAACAGATGGCAAATATCATGCAATCCACGCTCCTCCAGAATAAGCACATTTGCACCATTAATGAATGAACAATTGCATTGATCTAGATAAACAATTCGTGATTATATTATCCAAACTGAAAGAGTCGTGCCAGAAAATTAAAATCTCTAACCCAGGAGCACCTGCAACTTATGGAGACCAACTGGGGTAAAACTTGCGAAGTTTTATCGAGCAATCGACAAGCAGCAGCCGTACACGACGGAGATGAAAGCTCACCCACCAATTGCAGCGATCGAATTCGGCGTACAGGTCCGCTTGAATAGACGTGCTTTGAGTTTTGATCAATCGATCTCGGGTTGTCACCTATCGGGGTTTTTTACATGTTTTTTTTATCGAAACGAAATGCTTTTCTCTTGTTTTGAACAAACCAAATGCTTTTCTTTTCATGTGGTCATAGTTAATTAAAATTATTTTTAATTTGATCTTTTTTTGAACGTCAGTCTAATTTAATTCCAAATTAATATAAAATTAAAAATAAAAATTCTAATATTTAAGGGTTACTTAAAAACTTTTATAAAATAACAAGTGTTAAGATCACATACTCGCATTATTTTTTAAAATCAATTAAGAAATTTGACAAAGAAAATAAAAATAAAATTTAACGATATGTTCTTATGGTTTAAAATTTTAGAATTGGATCTGGTAGACATTTGAAGAAATTAGAAAAATTTAAAAAAAAATTGAAAGAATTTAAAAGAAACTATATGTCTTATAATTCTCTTATGATTATTTGTCTCTTAGTTACTATATGTAATTTAAAAATGTAATTTAAAAATTATTTAAAATTTCAAAAAATTAATGAAAGTCGATCGATCCAAACCTGATGATAATATTAGGTCATGAAAATATAATTCTTAATCCTAATTTGAATTTATCTAAACCCAAAATGACATGAATCCAAAATGATCGAACTCAAACCCGACTTGACCGGCATTTTGTGAGCTCGAGTGAGTACTAAAAACCAGGTCCATAAGATTACGCCCAGCAAATATATGGGCCTAAGCTCACATAATCCGCGTGGATTTGGATCCGCCCCAACTCCAAATCTCCAATACGGAGTGCACCTAGAAAGCTCTTTCCCCCTTCGGCTCTCTCACCTTTCGACAAATTACCCTTCTTCAATTTCCTTCCAGGTATCTCTGTTTCTAAGCTCATTTCCCAGTCTTCGCTGCTTCCTTCAACTCCCTCCCTACCTTATCAGACATTCTTTAACATTTAAACTGTGCCTTGTTTCGATTACTCAGACACGAATCACATTTATTAGACGTTTTTTATCATCATCATCCTTTAATGAATTTTAGATCTACTATCAAGATTCCATTTCTGTAATACTACTCTACGGATTTTCTATTAGCCATTTATGTTCGAAGATGCCCAAGAAACACCTCATTTTCACTTTTTTTTGGATAAGTATATGCGTTGCTATATTTTTTTTTTTCAATTTTGGGATTTTATATATTTTTGTTCTGAAGAGACTGATTAGCTGTACCCATTTTTTTTGTGTGTGTAAATTCCGAAAATGGTCCTTTCTAATGAGGTGTCTCCCAAACTAGTATTCAGTGAAATCGTAAAAAAAAGAGTTACTTAAAATGTTGATTAAGTAGAGGGTATTTTGGTATTTTTCGTCATCTTAACTTAGAGTAAGTTCTCAAAATTATCATTTCTAATGAAGTGTTTTTCTAAAATGGTCTTTTCTAATTAAGGAAGTGTATTTGATTCAAATTTTAAGATATTTTGACAAGTTTTTAATAATTCATGGATTATACATAGTCAATGATTGTTTTAATACCAAAATATGACTTTTAATGCTAAATAATGCCAAAAACTAATGCTTAGGTAGATTTCTTTTCTTTTTTTTTTCTAAAAAAAATCAACATTTTTAAATTGTTTGGAGCATTAAGTACATTAAAATGCATGCTTTAGAATTGTTGTTCTATCTACTCTATTACATTAAAACATCTGCATTTTTGTCTGTGTTTTGTTGGTTTGAAAAGTGAATACTTTAAATTAAATTTATAAAGTGATATCATGAGTTGTTTCATTTTCACCCGGACACATAACAGTGTACATTTTCTAGGGAACAACACAAGACTAGAATTTGAAGCTCATTATAGAATTTTGTAAGGTACTCTATCAAGGAACAAGACTGCTTATTGGAGAGTCTACTTTTTACCTTTGTTACTGTTTCTTCAGTTAGTTTTGGCAGGAGAATTGGCAAAGTAAACTGCCTTACTATACATAGCTAGATTAACATTAATTGTTAACCGGTAATGATTTATTTTCATCTTTCATATATGCTGAATTATTTGTGTAAAAAATGTTTCTGGAGTATGGAAACCATATTCATTTGCAAGCATCTTTCGTAGCACGTTAGTTGTTGGAACAGCATAGTTCACTAGTACCAAACTGGTAATAGCACGAAGCTGTGCCATATTGTTTGAAAGATTTTCATGTGTAGAGTGTTCGTGTGATGTCATGTGGTGAATATACTTTGACTTTGCAACAGACTATGATTGTTGTTTCAGAAAATTATGTTATCTAATTGTAAGACACTAACTTAATCATTGACATGTACTAATTGCGGTGGTTGCTCTGTTATCTTCCAGATCATACATAAGGAAGAAGGATAAACTTAATAAAAGGGGGTTAAATGGGAGAGAATGTTCGCAAGCGCAAATCTCCATGGGATGGGGAGGAAGATGCTTTTCTTCAGGTTGATGCTAATGATAAAACTGAGTGGACTGTAAGGCATCAAAATTGGCAGGATACTGGTGATCCGTGGAAGACTAATCCCTCGGGCGATCCATGGAAGAATAATCCCTCTGGCGATCCATGGAAGAATAATCCCTCTGGCGATCCATGGAAGAATAATCCCTCTGGCGATCCATGGAAGAAGAATCACTCTGGCGATTCATGGAAGAATCACTCTGGCACTGACTTATCACAAGAAAACAGTCTTCCCAAAGATAGACATAAGATCCGCCAACAAGTTCCAGCCACTGAAGAAGTTGATAAGAAAAAAGGCTTAAATCATAGCATGTCTCCACGCTTTGGCCGGAAGGAACGGAAGCAAAGGGAAGAAATTGGTAGGAACATGATGGAAAAGAATCCACGAAATAGCAAAACTGTTCGGGATGGAGATGAAAGAGCTTGTTCTCACGTGGAGACAAAAAATGTTCGAACTGGAAAAGGGCAGTATCCTAATTGTCAGGATAATGGTGCTTCAAAAGCTGGCGATTTGCGGAAGGAAACCTCTAGTTTTGATTTATCACAACCAAATAATCGTCCCCAAGATAGACATAGATTCCACCAATACGGGGAACGAGTTACAGAAACTAAAGAAGTCAATAGGAAAAATGACTTCTATCGTAGCATGTCTCCAAGTTTTGATGGACGGCTGAAGAAAAGGAGTAGCTTGTCCCCTGACAACCAGCCAATAGGATCCCGCAGGTTAGTACTTTTTCATGCTCTACTTTTTCTTAAATGAGGTTTGGAATACTGGCTGTGAGAAGGGTTGTTTTTTATTTTGATGAAATGCAGTGAAATTTATGATACATGGGAAGAACCAGCATACAAGGAAAATGGAGTTTGAGTTTCATATAAATTAGGATTCTTTATCCCTTAGATAAAGATTGTTATTTAGTCTAATACGTAGTAGTTATTCTTATAATATTTGTCTTGGACTTGTTGATTCTATTTAATTGGGCTTTGTATACTCTTATTATATAATGAGGTAGCATTTACAATAAGTACAACCAAATAATTCCAACAAAACTAGCCTGAGATTCTTCTGGTGCCAATGGTGATTTTCTCCAGTAGGCTCGTTCACACAGCCCTCATATCCCAACATGCTCATGAGCTGGTATATAACCAAAGTAGTCACCTTCAGGAGTGCTATATGACCATGATAGGCACGGCACCATCTGGACTGCACGCATGGGCTTGAAGCCTCTAAAATGTTTGCACTTTCACCGATTCAAGTTTTGTTTGCACATACTTCCTCCGTCCCAAATTAATCGCCTCACTTTCCTTTTTAGTCTGTCCCAAAAAATTTGTCACACTTCTTTACTGTCCTAACAAAATAAAGAATGTATGGTCAACAATTTTTCTATTTCTTCTAAACAAATGTCAACCACTAACTTTATATTTTTCAACATTTTTCTTGAACTACATGAAGTCAAACTTTGTAATTAATTCAGGACGGAGGGAGTATGAATATTCTACCAATCTGTCAACTTCTCCTATTATGACAGAGGCAGAACATATCAGGGAATTTCATATACTCTCCCTGTCTCAAAACCCAAAACATTTGGCCTTGTTACTGTTTGGGGTTGTCGATAACTTTTGTTTGCGTGTGCATTTTCATTGATTATTTTATAAAATAAAATATGCATGTCACTACTTGTTCTGTAAAACTTTTGACGTAGTTTTTATATGTGTAAGTTGTACTTTTTTTTCTAAACCATTTTGTAAATAAAATCATTTTAAAAGAAATGGGATTTTGCACGTTGTTTGAAAGAGGACAAATAATTTGTGACGGAGGGAGTAATTATGGTTCTGGCCTATTTTCCCATCATCTCTTATTCTCTAATGGAGCCAAAGATTCACTATTTTTGTCTATGGGGAATGAAGGAATAAAGCAAAACGACTCATTAATAGTGAAGTAGTTGTTAGTCAATACGGTGTTCGGCGGTTAGTATGGGTCACCGGGAAACAACCACTCTATATATGTTTTAAACATAGGGATCAAGTTGCGTACATCTAACCCCCTTACCATTGGCACTGGGGTAAAGTTGTAGTAGTAGTATGATACTGTCTTATGTGTTTGCATTGGCTGGCATGTAATAGGTACCCTGCAAGAGAGAGGAGCAGGAGCAGGAGCAGGGGAAGGTGGGAAGACATTAGCAGAAGCCCCAGTAGGAGAAGAGAGAGAGATAGGCATAATAAGGTGCAGAAAAGGAGAAGTAGAAGCAGGAGCAGGGATAGGGGCATCAATGTAAAGCCTCGAAGCAGGAGTCGCAGTCCTTGTAATTATAGATGGAATGGGTCTCAAGTATCATCAGAGATCTGCAGAAGTTTTGCTACTGGGAAGTGTAGAAAAGGCAGCGAATGCAGGTTCCTTCATCCGGATAACTCTAAGCACACAGAAAGACATCAATTAGATGATGAATTGGTTGAAAGGTTGGGTAACCGATTAGAGCACAAGCTCCCTGATTCATATGATGCAGACCGCGATCATATAGGGAAACAAAACCAGGGTATGATCCCTTGCAAGAGTTTCATCAAAGGTAAGTGTCGCTGGGGTGCATCTTGCAAGTTTTCACATTCGAGTGCTTCCTATGAGAGTAGGGGCAATAAGGATGCACACCTTGATTGTATTCTGGAGGGTGAATCAAATAAAAATAGCAAATTCTCTCATGATGGCCCCACTCCCATCCCTAGCCATGTAGAAAGTAGACCATCTGACTCCTTGGATGGCTCAAATATGGATAATGCACAAAGAGACTCTAACCTTTCCCAAATTGATGCACACCCAAAAAGACCCATCTCTTCCCCAAATGGTAGATATGCAAACACTTATGAATCTGTTGTCAATAGATCGACTGACTGCGAAGAACAGAATGCAACCTCCATAGCTTCACTACCATCCCAACATTTAGATGAAAGCTCTCATGTTCACACACAGGATATAGTGCAAGACATTTCAGCCTTCAATCTCTCCAAGACAGCAATAGTGTCTGAAATCCCGTCTCAAACATATGTAATGCCACGTACTTCTGAAGACAACATCTTATCCGGTTCTAATGTGCCAAGTGAAATAAAAAGTTCCAACAGTGAGCCTCATCCCATCACATTGCCCGGAGAAAGATACCAAGTTGGTGAAAGCAGGACTCCATACCCTGAACCGTCATTCATCACTTTGGATAATCAGAATTTACATGCGAGGAATCACCAAGAAGCTGAGCGTACAACAGATACACCAGTTACTGAACTTCTTGGTGACGTTTCATGCGAGTTGGATGAACATAAAACTGAAATTCCTTCAGAACAACTGAACCAATTACAACAAGTTGGTGGTTCAGGCGTGGCATGCAGTGAGGATCCACAGTTGAAGCAACCAGAGAATGGAAATGCAAACACAGTTAACAAGTTTGATGATGGCCAAAGAATCAAGCAGTCTGAAAATGTGGAAGCCCATGGAATGGTCGAAGGGGTAAACAGTCTCAAAGATGAAAAGGCGATACGTTTGTTTAAGAATGCTCTTGTAGAGTTTGTTAAGGAGATTCTAAAGCCCGCCTGGAAAGAAGGCCGGATGAGCAAAGAAGAACACAAGACTATTGTTAAGAAGGTTGTGGACAAGGTCACTATTACAATGCAAGGAGATCATGTCCCCAAGACCCAAGATAAAATTAGTCAGTATCTGACACATTCTAAACCTAAGATCAACAAACTTGTACAGGTCAGTCTCTTTGCACACAAATCTTTTTATGACAAAGACCAAAAAAATTGGGGAGTTGCTTAAGTTTAGATACATCACATTCTAAATCCCATTTGTCTACTATGATGATCTATGTTTGCAGGCATACGTGGAGAGATGTCGAAGGGTGGGTATTTGAAACTAAACCTCGGATACGGTCTGGGATTTTCGTGTCAATATTGGAACTGTGATTCTTTTAAGAGTTTTTGGTTCTCCAGAGCGCGAGTCTGTGGAGTGAGAGTATGCGCGTACTGTATATATGTTGTTATGAACTGTCTTTTTGGTTAAAACTTATGTTCTAAAAGTAAATTTTTGGCTTGTGAATCAGGTTGTGTGCATTAGAGCTCTGGTATTTCAGTTTTTTTTTTTCAAATATTAAATATATCAGCGAGGTTCTTTTGGCCTTAGAACCCGGGCATTTTAGGGCACCTACGTACAATGTTCCGTTGGTAAATTAATGCCCCCCTCCTTAACTCCCTCCTAACCCTAAACCCCCACCCCAACCACCTCTCTGCCCCCCTGTCCCCTTCCTCCCCAACTGCCAAGAGGAGGGAGGCTGGGCTGCGGTATAGGAGGAGGTTAGGAGTATGAAGCATCAATTTTATTAAGAGAGTTCCGTAAGTATCGGGGGTTATTGTCGAAATATCAGATATTTTTTTTCCTAATTTTAGTTATATTGTAATTATAACCTATCAGAAGTTTTACGATGGTATTAAGGGAATTATTACGTAAATATTAGAAAATATTAGTTATATTGTATTCTCTCCTTTATACTTGGAGACAAAGTATTTAGAATCTCTGTTAGTTTATTCGCGTATAGTACGTGTACTATACACCCGTACGTATAATATGCGTATTATATTCTTAAATACGAATTTTTAATGTCATAAATGTAAAATACACATATTTTTTTATCTCAAACGTATTTACGAATTTTATACATATTAAATCGTAAAAAATTTTCTTCTATCGACTCCAAATATCAAAATTTATAAGGTTAAATTTTAGACCGAATTAATTTACTTGATTATCTTCCAAAAAATAAATAAATAATATTTGAAGACTCACCAATTGTAAAAAGTATTAGAAGTCGAATTGCAATTCGAAATCATCCACCAATGTCCTTTGCTAATTAAATATTATCTATGGTGTACCAGTCTTTTTGACTCCATCTGGCTCGGAATCCAATACTTCAACCGCTCTAGCGAATAATAGAAAACAACATTCTCTTTATTTGTTTAGATTTTTAAATGTAATCAATTTTTTTATTTAGTTTTCAAGGTTAAGTATATATCCAGGCTTTAAAACACGAATTTGGTTTCATTTGTGTTATCTGAATTCTAAAAATCTAATTTCGTAATAATACTTTTCATTCAAAAAATAAAATATAAAGTAGATTTTATTTTACTCAATTTTAATTTGCGATAGAGATTATTTAGTCTGTTCATATCTATATTTCAAAGAGACTTGAATCCTCTTTTAAAATTCTAATGAGCATTTAATCACTTTCGTAAAGTTCAAATTGTCTATTACTATCATTGTTGTCATATCTCAAATTCCCCATCCATGACTAAGGGGCTGTTTGTTTCAGCCTCTTAATGGTTCAGATGTCTGAATGATTCAGCACTTAATGGTTCAGACTGTTTGTTTCAGCCTCTTAATGGTTCAGATGTCTGAATGGTTAAGAGATTTACCTCTGAATGATTAAGTATTATACAGAGTCTGAATGGTTAAGAACTTTTATCTGAATTGATCAGACATTTGCCTTTGAATAGTTAAGCAATATACTAGCTCTTAATGATTCAGACCTCTTACTGGTTCAGCACTTAATGGTTCAGACCTCTTACTGGTTCAGCACTTACATATTCAGAAGTTACCAAACAGCCCCTAAATGTTACTCGTAGTTTCATTTTTAAGATGTTTTTACTTTGATTGCATTTTGTGGAAGTACACAATAATAGTTAGATTGAAATATTACTATTGGATACACATGAAAAAATGAAAAAAATAATAAATCGTAGTGTTGGTTGAATTTTCAAAATTTTTTGGTGTATTAGTATTTAATTTCGAAGTTTAGTTTATCTTTCTTATTAAAAATATATACACTCATTATACATCGTATTATTGAAAAACCAAATGTATTAAATACGAACGTATATGCATGCATACTTTGAATGTATAAAACGTATAATAAAATGTATTTTAAAAATATGATCCGTATTATACATGAGCGTACGGATAAACTTATTATTATATCCGAATAAGTTAACAGAGTTTATAAAACGATGATTGATCTCTATATCATTTCAAGATATCTCAAAAGTCTAAACCACACTTTTTAGGGAAGTGGTGAGCTTATCTTACTATAATGGCTTGAGCTTATCATAAAATACCATTCGGTAATATTTATGTTAGCGTTTAGAAAAATTATAAAAACACTATTGCACTGCAATTTTCATTTTCAAATAAACAAAAATTATAGAGTACATTACATCTGTAGTATAAAAACAATTTTTTTGGATTTATTGCATAAAATTTTAATATTTCAAATTTGAACAATATACAAAATATCATCTTTTTTCAAAAGATTTTTTATTTATAAATTAGTATAGAATTAAAAAATACAAAACACATATTTCAAAATTATCAAAGGTTCTATAAGACAAAATGTGACAATAATAATTTATTTTAGTAAACAAACAATAAAAGTACGCGTACAAACATAAAATATTAAAAAACGGTTATATAATTAAAAAGATTAATTTAAGACAAAAGAAATATATTAGTGAGTATTTATTTATATAAATATGTTATGTCATTTTTAATTATAGTACCCATGTTAAAGTTGACTCAAAAAATCAAACGTGGATGAATAATCTAAATGGAATTGTCTAAATATTAATTTTATTATAAATTGAAAAAAAATTAATAAAATAAAAAAATTGCACCGGTATTAGTAAAAGGCGACGGATACGCGCCCGAATCCGGCAAGGCGTCGTTTCCAGATCTGGGACCGTTCCCGGCCAAAGGAACAAACAAGTTCGAAGCTGGCATTAGAGATGAACTCAATTACAGGCCGCCATTTGAGAGTGGGATGGCACCGCCCGGAGGCTGCCTCCTGCCGCCATAGCCATCACCTTTCATTCCGCCGCCGTACACATCACTCTTCGTTCCCGTTCTCCCCCGGTCTGTGCATCTGTATTCCATGTCGGCCCCTCATAGTCGGCGCGCAGAAGAGAGCCCCCAAGTCTGATCCGATTCTCAAGTCTTCCATTGCCGATGAAGAAGCTTTTACGAGTGATGAAGAAGATGACCTTCTAATTGACGAGTTTGAAGGCGGTTAGTTTATTTTGTGCATTCTCCTTTCAACTGTCACTTTCATTTACTTGTTTATTTTAGTTTTAGTAGTTTTTTTGATTAATCAACATATTGGTATGCTTTATATACTGAGTAGATTAGATGCCTTTCTCTTCTCCAATTTTTTGGTCCTAAGATGACCTAAACTGATTTATATGCCATTTATGTTATTCTTAATGGTTTTGTGATTCTACCATTTGTACAATGCTCCATTTTAAGGAATTATCAATTGTGGACATAATTTCATTTTGCCCTCCCTAAATTACACCATGATTCTTTTGACACCGGACAACACCAAGGATGATGTCAGATTAATGGGACCCCTATACATTGTTTTGCCCTCCCTAAATTACACCATGATGTCAGATTAATGGGACCCCTATACATTGACAACACCAAGGATGATGTCAGATTATGGAGTATCGTTGTTATGATTATAATTATAAAAATGAACTTGTACACTGCTTTCATGTAAACAATTGTAGGTTATGTGAAGCTGGAGCCGTAGTATGACATAAAGATTCCACAAAGGTATATGGTGTATTATATTAGACTATCACTTGCATTGTTGTCTTTTTGACTGCCGGATATGGTGCTTTTGATGAGTAGGTGGATCAATTGAAATGATACTCTGAAATAGATATAGGTTTTATTGGAATCACTAATATGTGAAGCTCGAGCAATATGGCATTTCACCCACTAAAATAACTATATCACTAGAAGTGTTGAAATAGGTTTCTTGAAAGGTTAAGTGAATGCTAAATAGGTGCACACACACACACATGCTCATTAGGGATGATGCGCGTTTTCTCCCTTCCCAGGTGTGCGCGAGAGAGTGAGAGCTAAAAGGGGTTTAAAAACAATCAGAAACGAATTTCTGAATTCCAAGAAAATTCTAACCTTTGCATGGGGATATCCAGGAGTTCCAATTTTGATACATATTTGGAACATGAAAAGGCTTCTCCTAAAAGATCTTTTGTTTTTCTTATATTGTACTCCGTATTTTGAAGTTAACCGTAGTTCAATAAGGAGTAATTATGAAGGGCTTCAAGAGCATCTTACAACAAGTACATGTTTAATAGGTAAAGCTAAGGTTCCATTTACTTGTAACTTTACAAGCATTTAAGGTGACATAAACACTTCTTTTTGAAACATATGGTAAATTGGTAATAGTTAAATCTGCAGCAAGTGTCATGTGTACGCGTATCATCTGTTGTATTACTGTTTGCAATTATCAGTAGTCAAAACCTTGTAGCCTCTTTTCACAGAAACTCTTGATCTGTAAAAGATCTTCTCCATTATCGATTATGAATTATACATATTCTGGATTAAACAGATGAACTGCTAGAGGAAGATGATTTTTTCAAGGATGAGAGTCTAGAGGAAGACCCTGAACTCTTTGTAAGTATTATAATCTTTTTAATTGAATGAATTTAGAGCTCGCATTACTAGCTTTTGTATGGAACTTTTATGCTCGATAGTTGATTACTTCGCTGCCGAGTTAACCAATCACTCTTCATTTGAACACTTTAAGGTTGGCGATGGAGCTGAAGGAGGTGGAATCTCCCTTGCTGGGACACCATGGGACAAAAAAGCATTAGAAATTGCTCAAGAAGTTGCTTTATCATTTGGTGGTGAAATGGGAATATATGCATTTAGGACACTGAAAAATGCCTACATTCAAGTGCGAGTGGAGAGACTCACAAACAAGTAAGCTATGTTGTGAATATTTTGAATTTTGGCAGTGGGGTGGTTACATGTTTACCTGTCATCAAATCTGTACCTCTTTGAAGGCATTTGAAGTATTCATTTGATTGTAGATCTGGTTACAAAAACAATGCGAATGGGAAATTTGTTTTCCCATTGACATTCTTCCTAGCCTGATCTAAATTTCTAACAATGCTATGTAGCACTTTGAAAGAGTAACCCATGACACAGAGGGCCTTGAAACTGATTAACAAGATCGTAAACTCTGCAGGTCAGGATCTCCTAGTATGATGGACATTGAAGCTTTCTCATCAGCTTACAGAGAACGGCTTGATGAAGCTGAGTCCTTAGGATCTGTCCCAAATATCTTATCCCTGGAGGTCCTTTTTTCTCAATCTCTCTTTCTTAGATTTGCATGCCATGACCTTACTTCTAGGGACTCACTCCCACTATTTTTCATTTTCTATATTGATCTGTAATTTGCTTTGTAATTGATGAGAGAGCATAAAGTGTGGGTTCTCCTGCTTATTTGGAATTGTAAACAAAGCCTTTGATTATCTGAGTTTTGGTCGAATTATCACGCGGCCCTTGTGTGTCTTCACGTTGCATTTGATGTTTTCAATGCAGGGAGTTAAAAAATTTGAAATCCTTGGACAAATATGCAGGGTTACTTAGACCTGAAAAAGTCAATCCTTATGAATATCATATCATCGCATCGCCTTTTAGTGTCGCTTGCAGGAAATTTGACAAATGTTTGCGTGTTAGGTGTCTTCGCCGGGGGTTGAAAGGGTCGTTAGGATCCCAGAAGATCTCAATCGGTTCAAGGATCGCCCAATGCACGTAAAGTATACGATGACCAAAGGGGTTGAAGGTTGCCCACCTACTGAATGTGATGGTGTGTTCAGGCTCGTGTCATTTGATACGGGAAACAATGTGTGCACCTGGGGACTTGCAGATGCAAGGGTCAACCGTGAAAAAGCAGGGAAAGGAAGACCACTCAGCAAGAAGCAAAAGGAATGGCGTCTGGACACTCCACTTGATACTCTCATAATGGTCCGATTGCATTCTGAGTTTTGACGCGTTCCCTTTTCTGTGTAAGTTCAGCATCAATTGTTAGCATATTTTATACCCCACTTGTTTGATAACCGTGAAGCAATATCTCTCTATTTTAACGTTCTTGGAGTGATGTTGTACGTTGAATCAATCTTCTGTGGTTTGCCCAAAATTAAACCCCTTTGTGGCAATAGGTTATTAACATCACCGAGGTTCTTTTGACAACAAGAATGGGTGCTGGTCCATTTTGACCTTGCAGTGGTTCTTATCGCCTTTAACCCCTTCAAACCCCCGAGTGGATTGACCACAAATGGGAGGCAAGGGGTAGGAACCACTTCGTGCCGTTCGTGGTTGAACGGCATACCCCAAGATCTCTAAATGGATTGGATGTCATCATTCTATGACGCATATTTTGATGTCAAATGAACTTTGGTGTTGTTTTCCACTCCTATAAGCAAATTTTAACCATAAAAATTATTTTTTTGCTTTTATTTTTATGAAATAAATAATTGATTTTAGGTGAAAAAAAGCGACTACTTGTATGTTCAAACATAATTTTCTGCTTTAACGTTTTGGAGGAGTGTTCGCAAACTTAAATTGTTTAAATGTTTGGGTAATTTATGAAATATTTATTCAAATATTCAAATAGTTTAAGTCAAAAGTGGGCATTGTATTGGAATTTGGAACGGTACAAAAGAAAAATTAACAAAATGCGACAATAGTAAATAACACACTAAGAAATCATAAGAAAGAAAGCCATTCATTAACCCAATCACAACCAAGAATATGAAATAAAGTAAATTTTCAAAACGGTCTTTTCTAATAAGGTGTTTTCTCATGTTAGTTCTCAATAAATAATAATTATCAACATGATACTTTGTAATTGTGATTATTTTCTAAATAGTCTTTGTAAAAAATGTCTCTCTTTCATATGACTTTGAGGTTCCGTAAAAGATGTTTCTTAGTTCTTAAATTTCTAACTGAAACCATTGTGTTGCTTACAGGCTATCTCTTCATATGACTTTGAGGTTTTGATCAGTAGCCCGGCTTTAAAGAGAACAAAAATTTGAAGGCCAATCAGATGTTTAGGAATATCTTTTTGACTTTATATGCAATTGGCTTTGACAGTGAAACCAAATCACTATGGGGACAAACAAGCTTGTCTAGGAATATCTTTTTGACTTTATTTGCAGGTCATTTCCCCTCTTTTTCTAATGACTCGAATGCTTCTCTTTAGGCTCTAAGGAAAGCTGCCTTGTTCAAATAAGTTACAAAGTCTTCCAAAACAATGCAAGGTTCCGTTGAACGAGTGTCAATGAATGACACTCGCCCATTTGGAACGCTTATGGTGTTCTATTCGTAAAATTAATGGTTTTCATCTCCTTTAACCTCTTCTCTAAATCCATCCATCCTTGCGTCCCAGAGGCGGATCCAGGATTTTAAGGCCATGGGGTCCCCTACACCCGGCTACCTCACATTCTCATGTCAAACTACTTCATAAGTCTTAATATTTAACAATAAATTAAAACTAATATTTGAAGAGTACCATAATTAATATATATAAACAAAGTCATACGAAAACAATATCGTAATTTGAATTTGAATTTGGCTAGCTTTTTGAATACATATAAATAAAGTCATACCAATTCCACTCGACTCCGAATCTTTGAATTTGGCTAGCTTTTTGAAATACCTTTGAATTTTAAATTCTGTAAATTAGACATAAAATGAACATTAATACAATAATACTTATCACTAGCCATTCTAAATCAATTTTTTATTGAAGAAAAATCTTTCATTCTTTAATGTGTAAATTATTATATATTACTAAATACTAATCATATATTCATATATTAAAAGTGGAATATAAAGAATTGGTGAACTAGGGAAGAGAGGAGAAATTTACATAGAAAAGGGGAGGGAAAATGATGTCGTTTTGATGCTAATTACGAAAAAAATTGACTCCAAAATCAAAATTAAAAGTGTAAAATAAAGAATTTGGGAACTGGGGAAGAGAGGAGAAATTTACAGAGAAAATGGGGAGGGAAAATGGCGTCGTTTTGATGCTAATTACGAAAAAATTTGACTCTAAAAAAGAAAAAAATTAACTCCAAAATCAAAATTAAAAGTGTAAAATAAAGAATTGGGGAACTAGAGAAGAGAGGAGAAATTTGCAAAGAAAAGGGGAGGGAAAATGACATCATTTTGATGCTAATTACAAAAAAAATTGACTCCAAAGAAGAAAAAAATTTACTCTAAAAAGTTACAAAAAAAATTGACTCCAAAGAAGAAAAAAGTTTACTCTAAAAAGGGGGAGGGAAAATGGCGTCGTTTTGATGCTAATTACGAAAAAATTTGACTCTAAAAAAGAAAAAAATTAACTCCAAAATCAAAATTAAATGTGTAAAATAAAGAATTGGGGAACTAGAGAAGAGAGGAGAAATTTACAAAGAAAAGGGGAGGGAAAATGACATCATTTTGATGCTAATTACAAAAAAAATTGACTCCAAAGAAGAAAAAAATTTACTCTAAAAAGTTACAAAAAAAATTGACTCCAAAGAAGAAAAAAGTTTACTCTAAAAAGTCACTATACTGGGAGTCAAACCTCCGTCCAGGGGAGAAGGGGATAGGCGCGCCAGTGACTTCTTCCGCTGAACCAAACACGCTTTTATTGCGTATTTGACAAGCATGTTTTATATATTAATATCTATACATACCTAATACCTATATGGACCTACCCCGGAGGCCGGAGTCCATGGGGTCCCGGGACCCCATAGGACTCAAGGTGGGTCCGCCTCTGTTGCGTCCCACTTTTGCCCCCCCCCTTTGCCCCCTCCATGGTTATTATGCATAACAACCACACATATGGAGAGGGCAAAGAAGGGGGCTAGTGTGGAAGCACATGGGTGGGGTGGGGTTAGGGGTTTAAGAAAGGGGTATGAACCATCAATTTGCAAGTTAAGCACCGGAAATGCTCCAAATAGGCGAGTATCATCTGTTAACACTAGATGCCAGTCTGGCTGTCAATAGGTATCTGATTACCGCCTGCATCTGTGTCTGTTTAAACGGGAACAATCCGCAACCTTTTTGAATGGATATTGTCCATATCCTATTACTAAACAAATATGGATTTGGTAATTGTATATCCGATTCGTTTAAAATCCGATCCAGATATACATCCATTTAAATAACTGTTTATCCAAATACCTACTTATCCGAGTACCCAATTAATTTTTTTAATAAATATAATCCTCTACCCATCCCGTATACACTTACACTTGACCCATTTATACAAAAATATGTCTTACTCCAAGTCTATAACCTTAGTGTCTTACCATTACTTCCATAACGTACTTGGTCGATTATAAATTTATATTTTTATTTGAATAATTTGTTTTGGTTAAATATTTACTATTTAGACAATAATTTTTTTACGTATTTGATGTTGTTCAATATTATGGGTTTCGATATTCAGTTTCACATTCCTTTTATAATCATTTGAATTTTTATTAACAATTTCGGATATTTGGTAATGTTTTAAAAACTAGATTGGCGTCGAACCAAACTAGCAATTGGGTCGACCGGTCAGACTATGTTGACTTAGTTCAATGACCCATAGCTTGATATAAAATATTCACACACATGTTTAAATAAAAAAAATTTGCCAAGTTTTTTGAACTACTTTTAAATACAATAAAATATTATCACATAAGTATGTGTTGGGATAATGTCCAAACACATATCAAGCCCGTTCGACAGGCCCACAACATTGCAGATATCCAACAAACGTGGACTACGTAAGAGTACAGGCAGCCACATGGATAGGTGGCTAAATCTGGCCAGAATACCATGTCCCGACCAGAGTATCATGTCCCGAGCCCGAGTGGTATATCCCGACTACAGTGGTACCTTGGTTAGAGTGGTATGCGCGACGAGAGTGGTATATCCCGATGAGTGGTATGTCTCGATCAGAGTGGCATCTTGGCCAGAGTGGTATGTCCCAACGAGAGTGGTATATCTCGACCCCGAGAAGCATGGACAGACACCAAGCCCGACTTAAGGATTAGGGAGAGCGATTATTCAGCCCATGTACTGGGTCATTAGGGTTGACAAACCGTAATGACCCTAATATATATAAAAGAAATGATGTATTGTTTTGGGGCTTTTTTCTTCCCTTCTTTTCTTCACCACTTGTACTCTAGAAGGAAAAAGGCTTGGTGAGTTTTCTCTCATGGCTTCTAGCCCCCTTTGTAAAACCACAGTACATGAATAAACAAAACTTTGGCTTGGCATAATCGGAGAGGGTTCGTGGTTTTCTCCCGAATTTGGGTTTCACGTAATGAATCCTGAATAGTTTGGACTTAGCGATGATGTTGGATCTCTAAAAACCATGAAGCAATTAACTCCAACGAAGAGTATGCCTATAATTACAAATAATATGAAATTTATTTAAAGAAAAAATACCAAGTATTTCAATTAGGTGTAGATTATTTTGTTTTAAAAAATAGAACACGACATGTATTAAGAAACACATATATATTATGTACTGCTTACAAGTATCAATCTTATCCATATAACCTATATGGATACAACTTTGAATTTTAAGGTTGGAGGTGTTGGGTTTGAATCCCTCTGCCCCTATTTTACATTTTTCTTTCTGGGTTTGAACACATTGATATTCGGTCGGATTCGGATATTTGGTTGGTTTCCGATATGTAATCGGATCCAAATATATCCAAAATCAGATTTTATCCGTCGGTTACGAATTCATATATAGAAATGTAAATATCCATCGAATACGGATACAGATTCGTATATTTCAAAACTTAATCGGATTTGGATATACCATATCCATCACTGATATTATCCGTTTATAGCTCTACATGCCGGCGTCCATGGAACCTTATTACTATTTGTGAGAACATGTTTTGGACATGTAAATTAAAGGTACTTCCTTCGTCGCATAAATATATTTCCGTTTTGACTTTTAGGAAACTTAAGAGAGTGATAATTTTGTATTGAGTTTCCAAAAATATTCTTGATGTAATGATAAATGTAAAATGTGATTGGTTGACTTTTAATAGAAAGCTATGATCTAATAGGTAAATTAGGAATTAGTAAGGATAAAAATAGTTTTTTAAGGAGTAATAAAAAAGGGAAAAATTTTAAGAAACAAAAAACAAAAAAAGAGAAGAAACTTTTGGGACGAATGGAGTACAAGTTTTGGCACCCGCACACGAAGTGCGTGTTCAACTAGTGCGCGTGTGTGTCTATACATAGTTAATATAGACAACAGAGGCAGCTCCGGGAGCCGCCGCCCTGCCTGCCCATGTTGAAACAATAGACAATAGAGGCAACCTATGTATATAAATAATACACTCTCTGTCCCATATTTAATCCCACACTTCAAACAATGTGTAAAATTTCATTAATTTTAAAATTATTTTAATTTCAAATTAGTATTGAAATATAAAGTATAAATTATACCGTTTAAAAGTACATAAAAAGTCTATAAAACAAGAGGTGACAAAAATATTTTAATTTATCAAATTATCTATATAAATATACAAACAAACAAAAGTTATCGAGAAATCATAGTAGTAACAGTGGAATCAGAGGGAGGAAGTACTCTATAATATCTAACACTCTTTCTATTTAAAGCATTCAATTCATTCATATGTCTCACTTGTCCAAGATCCCATCACCCCATTTGAATCCTCATATTTACTAGCATTTCAAAGTGTCAGGCGGCCATCAGCCATGCAATGCATAGCACTCACCGCCACCGCCCCACTCTCCGGCCACCGCCCGGCCGCCACATCCCGCCGTCTCCATCCAGCACCCGCCATCGCCGCCCCACCCAAACCGCTCCGCTACCAGTCCACGTCCCACACGCTCCCGCCGGAGAAGGTAGAGATGTTTAAGTCCCTCGAGTCTTGGGCCTCCCAGACGATCCTCCCCTACCTCAAGCACGTGGAGAAAAGCTGGCAACCCAACGAGTTCCTCCCCGACCCGGCCAGGCCCAACGACGAGTTCTTCGACCAAGTTCGGGCCCTCCGGGAGCGGGCCGCCGGGCTGCCGGACGCCTACTACGTGGCCCTGGTCGGCGACATGGTGACGGAGGACGCGCTGCCCACTTACCAGAGCATGATCAACACCATGGACGGCGTCCGTGACGAGACCGGGGCTAGCCCGTCTCCTTGGGCCATTTGGACCCGGGCCTGGACGGCGGAGGAGAACCGCCACGGTGACTTGCTCCGGACCTACCTATACCTTTCGGGTCGGGTCGACATGACCATGGTCGAGAAAACGGTGCAGTACTTGATTGGAGCTGGAATGGTAATTAACTCCACCTTTAACAATATTGTCATTGCCCCGTATGGTTTTTTATTGCGTAGTAGTAAAAGCGAAACGACATAATACTACTCTTTAAATTGAATACTATGTCTCCCTAGTTGTCTAGTTTGTAGTTCAATTTTATAAATATCGACCACTAATTAAAAATTTTTAATTAGATATTGATACCGAGTATAAGAATATTTATATTAAATTTATTTTATAAATATTTTCAAAATTTGTTTTTGTCTAATTTATATACTCATTTTGTTCCCGCCATTTAAATTGTTTGGTTCGCTTTACGATGTTTGACTGAAGTTATTTTCAAAACCATTTTATTCTAAAAAATGGTATAGAAATAAAAAAAATCACATTTTTAAAAACTACATCAAGAGATCTGCAAACTTAATTAGTGGTGACATGACTATATCATTTTATCAAATGACTAACAAAAATAGAGAATAAAAGTAAATGAAGTTTGACCATATAAATAATAAACAAACAATTTAATTTGAAACGAATAATGTATCTTGTAATGACAAGTGAGAAGAATTAACTAGCAGTAAAATCTTTTTAAAACATGCACTACGGTATAGAAAAGGCAGAATGTGTACATTTTGTAAAAGACTTGTTCTAATGTGGTTCTATGTGTGACCACATTTAAGATGTAGATTTTTTCATTTATTTTTATTGGTTCACAATTGGATCTCCTTTATTTATACAAGGCCCATTACATAAATTTATTTTATGTATGAAACTCCATTTAAATAAACATGGACGGAAAGACTATGATAGAATATCTCCTATGCAAAGACTTTGGACTGTTTGGTACTCCCTCAGTCCGCCTAAGATGTTCTCATTTTGACTTTTGGTGGTTTTTAAGGAGAGTTGAAAAAAGGTGAAAGTTTACCATAATACCCTTAATGAAAAATGGGTGGAGTGTATTAAATGAGGTGGGTGAGGTGTAATAAATAAAGTAAGTGGGGGTAATTGTGGTATTTTACTTGTTAAAAAATGAAATGAGAAGATCTATTGTGGACAAAGAAAAAGGACTATTAGGAAGATCTATGGTGGACAGAGGGAGTATATTTTAACCAATATAATAAATCTAAACATTTTCGGTTGGACTTAAAAAAATTTAAACGGGCCAGCCCAAGTATGGGCCAAGGTGTCCCATTGACCCATTTTTTCAAAGGCCTAATATTTTTTATTGTTTAATGAACTTTTTTTATAAAAAATTTAAAAATATAATTATTATAATACGATAATTTTGCTATGTATTTTTGCTATAATATTCATTTTTGAACTAAAGAAACACCGGGAAGGTAGGAACCGTCAATTCTACGAATGGATCATCGGAGCGCCCCCGAGTCATCCCATGACATTATACTCCAATGTCATGGGGACCCCACCACTAAAAAAAACAATTTACAAAATTTAATTTGTTAGATTCAAGATCCATTTTTTGTCTCAACCAGGGCCATCGAATCTCCAAAACTTACCCTGAATATAAGTTAATACAATTTTGTGATATGTGCATGTGATTACGTAACTGTCACCAAATAATGTTGCTTTTAATTCTATTTCTTATAATGTTGCTTTTAATTCTATTTCTTTAAGATTTCAAACCTCATATCTTAACATGTTTCCAACGCTCACCATAGAGGCCCCCGTTGGGTCTGCTTTTTCATATTTTTGACATTTAGACTTGTATTTTCCACCACCGTTATTTTTGCATATAGAACACTATTTTGGATGGTGTTTCGATGAAGATTTTCTATGTCACTTAATTACTAATACGGAGTAAAATTTTAGGATTAAGTCATTTGTGTTTAATTTTGTACTCCAAAGGCATGCACCAACATTTTGTGTTAGTGTGATGTTATTGTGGTGATTTACATCGGTCGTGTGAACAGTTAAAATGTGGATACATTTTTTTGGTGTACCCGAGCATGGTTGATAATTTTAAGTTCATTTTTCAATCTCTTTCAAGTTTTGAGTTATGATTTAAAGAGTGTAAATTCAGCCCTAAAAGTATATTTGAGCAAACCTAAAATAGTTAATTTGTTTTTTTATTTAACACTTTTACCACACCAACAAATACCCTAGCCTCTCAGAGCAGTGAACATAAAATATTTTTGCTTTAAGCTCATGTGTTTGTTTGAAGTTATACAAAGAGATCACTTTAATCACAAGTTAGTCTCTCTCAAATATTCTCTTTAAATTATGAACTCATATAAATTTTAAATATATATGCATATATTCTCTTAAAATATACGGAGTAGTATAAATTTTAAAATTGGGCCCTTCATTTATATTACAGCTGAGCGCTCGCTCTCTATTAGAAGTTAAGAGTTAAGACTAAGTACGGAGTACGGTAATAAGAGTAAATTTGGGCCCTTTATATTCATAATAAGATGGGCTTTAAATTAAGAGTTAAATACGGAGTTTGGATGTTTGGCTTTTCTTTGCCTATGTTTTTGATGAAATGGGTAGGACCCGGGCTTCGAAAACAACCCGTATTTGGGCTTCGTCTACACATCCTTCCAAGAGCGGGCCACGTTCGTGTCCCACGGCAACACGGCCCGTCTGGCCAAGCACGGCGGCGACCCCGTGCTGGCGCGCATCTGCGGCACCATCGCCGCCGACGAGAAGCGCCACGAGAACGCCTACTCCAATCGTCGAGAAGCTCCTCGAGCTCGACCCGGACGGCGCCATGGTGGCGATCGCCGACATGATGCGGAAGAAGATCACGATGCCGGCGTACCTGATGACCGACGGCCGAGATCCGAACCTGTTCGAGCACTTCTCGTCGGTCACTCAGTCCCTCGGCGTCTACACCGCCCACGACTACGCCGACATCCTGGAGTTCCTGATCGGGCGGTGGAAGCTGGCGGCGCTCGAAGGGGGATTGAGCGGGGAGGGGAGGGATGCACAGGAGTACGTGTGTGGCCTCCCGCCCAGGATCCGGAAACTGCAGGAGAGAGCCGAAGAACAGGCCAAGAAGTTGGGCCCCCGGCCTGTCAAGTTCAGCTGGATTTTCGATCGGGAGGTTATTATTGTTTAAACACCACATCCATCATCACCAATGTCAAGTCCTTACGTAATATCCCCCTTAATATTTTTCACATTTCACTTTTCTTGGTAGTCAAAATTTGTAAATTTTGACTTTGATTAGTAAAATGTACATTGTATTATGATATAAGTTTAATATTAGTATATTTCTAATGAGATATAATTTTGTAATATCAAAGTATATAAAATATATCTACGTAAAAATATAAATATTAAAGATCAAAGTACAATATTTGAAATAAGATTGATAATATGGATCAATCGTTTTTCTTTTCTTTTTTTCCAGAACAAATCGTATGAGTAGTCTATGCTCGTTCTTGTTATTGTATTTGTTGGAGCTAATTGCTTCGGGTTTCTAGAGATCCAACACCGTCTCTAAGTCCAAAATATCGTCGATTTGTCAATGGGTTTTGGAATGAATATGAGTAAAGATTTTTACGTGGAACCCAAATCCGAGAGAAAACCACAAGCCCTTTTCGGCCAAGCCAAGCCAAAGTGTTCTTTATTCATGTATTGTTTGGTGTTACAAAGGGACTAGAAGCCATGAGAGAAAACTCACCAAGCTCTCTCTCTAGAGTACAAATGGGGAAGAAAAGAGAGGGAAAAAGAGGATCCCCTCAACAATACATTATTTCTTCTATTTATCATAGGATCATTAGGGTTTGACAACCCTAAATGGTTGGGATTGGTGTCTGTCCATCGTTCCGGTCGATATGCTCCTCGGGCCTGAGATATACCAATTTGATCGAGATATATGGAGTATTACTCAAGCTCAGGATATGATACTCTGGTCGGGACATACCCCTCTGGCCAAGGTGCCATTCTGGTCGGGATATGCTACACATCGGGATACACCACTCGGGCTCGGGCCATGGCACTTTGGTTGGGGTACCACTCTGGCAAGATTTAGCCATTATTCATGCGACTATTCGTACTCTCACTTGGTCCCTACAGGCAAGTTATCTGCAATGTTATGTGCCTAACAAACGAGCATGATATGTGTTTGGACATTATCCCAACAGTATTGACTAAGAAAATTGGCCGGCCGAGTTTGTACAAGTTTAAGAAAATGGAAGCAATCATTTTTAAAGTGAGTATAATTATTTGAGAAAAGTGTGATTTCACTAGTATTTTAATCTGTGTCGTTCATGAGTGGAATAAAATCGTTTTTTGTTCTATGAAAAAACATGATTCTTCATCCCCTCTCTCACATCGATTTCAAAAAAAAAATTGCTCTCCTGTATTAATAAAAATATAAAATTTAATGTAATTTTGCTACTACTACAATATTATTAAAGGATAGGTAAAACATAATTCTGATTAGATATAATTCTCAAAACACATAGTTCTAATGTTCAACATTTTCGTTCTAATTCTTTACATGTGTGTCTCATGGATTCTCGGTAAAATTTCGTCTGGTGGGCCGGGACTTTAATTATTTATAGTGGAGATAATTATAGATATGATCGAACCTCACCTATGAGCCTGCCGTGCATCTCTGATGGGCCGCGACTTTGATCCAGCCCATATGCCATGGAAAAATACATGTTAACAGACTTTAAACTGGACACTCGTTATTAAAAGATCCATGTGGGGATGACTAGGGAGCTCTGGGCAACACAGCAAAAACATTAGTCAATTCTGAGAGTGACGATGTCAGTAATTGAACTTGGGAATATGGACATAAAATCTTATATTTCTGAGAGTATTTTTTTGTGAATTTTCATCTACTTTTTATTATTTTTGAATAAGAAAATGAGCTTGAAAGTTTAGAGTATGAGCATTTTTGAAAGTTTGATAGTTTTTTTCTACTCCTAAATAAGCGTGCCATGTTAATATTGGAATATTTGACATTTGAATAGGTATTCAATGTACCAATGAGATAAATGTTTTTATAATTTATACACCAAAAATTATAAAATAGTGAATGAAAAACTGATTCTCAAAATCGATCTGAAGAATATGGTAAAAGTTATAATTTTAGTAATTTTATTGAACTAATCATCTATTTTTATTTTTACGTCATTGTAAATTAATCCAATATTTTTAGAGTTAATTGGTCATTAATCACAAACTAATCAAATTAATTTTAACTAAGAAACATATGGTAATGTTTGCAATAATAATGGTGATAATGGTCTTGATTGTCACTAATGAAATGCCTTGAATACTATCTTTAAAATAACACATGAAAAAATTGGTTGTACAATATCGCATACGATAGCAGTTTAATCAAAGAAGAAGAGTAGTCATCTTTTTCAGTACAAGGTAGATACTATTATCTAAAGGACAGTTCCAATAACTCCATTGCAATTATACAGTGTTAAGTTTTTACAGGTTATGTTCAAAGTGATCTTACTACATTCTGCCACTGTCATAATGTCCTCGTTGGCATTTCGATTTAAGCCATATTGTCCTCGTTGCTCCTCATAGTGTGCACGTCCAAATTCTTTTCTTCAGCCATTTACATATTATTTTTGCACTCTACAACATAATGTCCTCGTACAGGAACGCCTTTTGATGATTTGGAAACTATTTTTTTCAATCTTGTTTATTCTGTAATATTCTAAAAAAAAAATTACAATTTAGAATTTTATTTATTATTTTCATCTTCTAGTCTGTTCATTTTCCTCATCCATTGTAACACGCAACACTAGATTGTAACAATCCATACGAGGAAAATATTTTCCGAACGAAGCCACATAGAGAGTACTCCACCTCTTGTTTGGTATATTAGTTCCCACAATCGTGAAGCAATTAATCTTTCTATTTTAAGCAATTAAAATAGTGTGCGCGTTGCTGCTCAGAGTGTGCACGTCCTCTGTTTTAATCTTTCTATTTCTATTTTAAGCCATATTGTCCTCGTTGCTGCTCATAGTGTGCACGTCCAAATTCTTTTCTTCAGCCATGTACATATTATTTTTGCACTCTACAACATAATGTCTTCGTACAGAAACGCCTTTTGATGATTTGGAAACTATTTTTTTCAATCTTGTTTAGCATGTAATATTCTAAAAAAAATTACAAATTTAGAATTATATTTATTATTTTCATCTTTTAGTCTGTTCATTTTCCTCATCCATTGTAACACGCAACACTATATTGTAACAATCCATACGAGGAAAATATTTCCCGAACGAAGCCACATAGAGAGTACTCCACCTCTTGTTTGGTATAGTAGTTCCCACCATCGTGAAGCAATTAATCTTTCTATTTTAAGCAATTAAAATAGTGTGCACATTGCTGCTCAGAGTGTGCACGTCCTCTGTTTTAATCTTTCTATTTCTATTTTAAGCCATATTGTCCTCGTTGCTGCTCATTGTGTGCACGTCCAAATTCTTTTCTTCAGCCATGTACATATTATTTTTGAACTCTACAACATAATGTCCTCGTACAGAAACACCTTTTGATGATTTGGAAACTATTTTTTTCAATCTTGTTTATTCTGTAATATTCTAAAAAATTATAAATCCAACATTTTATTTATTATTTTCATCTTCTAGTCCGTTCATTTTCCCTACCCATTGTAACACGCAACACTATATTGTAAAAATCCATACGAAGAAAATATTTCCCGAACGAAGCCACATAGAGTACTCCACCTCTTGTTTGCTATAGTTATTCCCAGTCATGAAGCAATTAATCTTTCTATTTTAAGGTTCTTGTATATGATTATTTATTTCATTGCTATTGTTTGAGACATAGGCCATGTTTGAAAGTTGGTTGTCATCTGTTATATGTTCATGGTTGTTGTTATAAATAATTAATAAGTTTAGCTGGTTTGAGTGATTGTATGTATTGGCTTATTGTTAAAAAATATTTGATAAAACTCTCTATATATATATATATATATGTATGTATGTATGTATGTATGTATGTATGTATGTGTGTGTATATATATATATGTATGTATGTATGTATGTATATAGATGTATACATACATACATGCATACATACATACATACATACACATATATATATATATATATATGAGCTGGTTTCTGTGAGAATGCACCTTGTGGAGAGAAATAAGAATGAAATCTAGTCGTTGGATCTGATGCATCGTGCGGCTCAGATTGCATCCTGCGCTCAGATTTTGAGATAGTGCATTTTCAAAGGATTATGATGCATTTCAATGTGATGCATTTTCAAACCATTTTGTTGCACCTAATTTTGATGCAATCCTGACCCTTAGATCGCACAATCTAAAGTACCAGATTCATTCTCGTTTCTCTCCTAAGATCGCATTCTCACCAGAACATATATATATATATATATATATATATATATATATATATATATATATATATAACAAAGTGAGTCTTAAATATGTGGCTAAAGACATTTTTTTTTAAAAAAATACTCTGTATTCATTTACCAAGTTCTAAAATAAATGTGTAATAGTAATGTAGCTATTGGATTAAGCTTATAAAAGTAGAGTATTTCTTTTACCTTGACCTTTTAATTTAATAAATTAATTTGAATATAGAGAATAAATTAAGCAATAAAAAATTATATACATGCATTTATATATGAGTAGAAATACAACGATTTTTTTCATCAAAATGAGACTTAGATATGTGTTTTAATAAATATTACTTTTAACTTGACCTTTAAATTAATAAATTAATTTTAATATAGAAAATAAATTAAGAGAAATGCTAGAGTCACAAATACTTCAGTCACAAGATACACAAACTTACTATTTGTGCATCTCACCTAGTGAATAGAATGATATTAAATACGGAGTAATTAAAAAGTAAACATTTAAATACACAAATGTTAAGTTTGTGTATTTTGTGATCAAAATGTTTGTGACTCTAACATTTCTCATTATTATTGGAGGGGAGGGAACATAAAAACCACTGCACCCATTGTTTGTTTTCTGGACTTCAATAATAATATGGGCGCCCGGTTTTTTACACCGTTAATACCCGAATCGACACTTTGTTGTGTTAAAGCCCAAATTTGTTATGTCATTGCTGCCAAATGTCAATAATATGAGTGATGACGGTGTTTTTTTTCTTTAATGAAAATACATTTCACTTCTTATTTTTATAAAATAAACCAGTCATTATATAGGGAAAATAAAAATATTCCATCCATTCGGAAATGTTTTTTTCATTTGACTTTTTATGGTTTTCAAGATTGCACTTTGACCACTAATATCTTTATTTATACATGGATATATTTTATAAAAATTTCAAAATTGAAAACTATATTTAAAAATGAAAATATTCATATCAAAGTTATATCATAATACAATGTATTTTTTCATATATCATAGTCAAAGTTTACAAACTTTGACCAACAAAAGTCAAATGGGAAGAATATTTTTTCCATATATCATAGTGTTTTGTACACTAACTTTTTTGTGTGTATTTTTTTAACTTTCCACTTCGTTGTATGTCTCGAATATGTGACAAATCTCTTAACATATATTAGAAAAAAAATTAAAAATATTTTCAAACACAAATGTGAGAGTGTAATTTTTATATTTTAATTTATTGTTACACCAGTAAAATAAAACACTAGTTGGTATACGAGTGATATGTTATTGGTGTAACAATATCCTTCTTCCTTTTTTGGCATGTCTCTAACTCAATGCAGTGTTTATAAATTTGAGATGCACCCCATTTAAAAGTGGTCAAACTATTAAGAATTTACTAATATTAATAATGAGAACTTGTAATCTTGTACCAACAAAAATGACACTAATACGTAACCCCAGTGGTTTGCCCACCGCCTAAATCCCCAGACCTATCGATTTTTCATTAATTACTTGAGATCATTTTATTTTTTCAGTGGATTCACAAAGAATAAATTTGCAAATTTTTTCGAAATTTTATGGACTTAAGCTTTTCGTTTTATAATAAAATGACTTCGTTAACTCTTATGATATCTTTATTTTCAAACAAATATTTAACCGCCCATTATACACTCCGTATTTTTCGACCTTTTCCCTCAATACTTTTTTGACACAACCGAGGGAGGACTATTGTAAAGCCACCTCTCTCTATTTAAGCCATTTCATAATTCACTCCCCTCGCCGTTCAAAGTCCCATAACCCCCCCGAATTCGGCTCCTCATATTTCCAAGTGTCAGCCATGCAGTGCATCGCATTCTCCGCCACCGCCCCCCTCTCCGGCCACCGTCCGGCCGCCTCACTCCGCCGTCTCCGTCCAGTGTCCGCCATCGCCGCCCCACCCAAACCGCTCCGGTACCAGTCCACCCACTCGCTCCCGCCGGAGAAGATTGAGATGTTTAAGTCCCTGGAGTCTTGGGCCTCCCAGACTATCCTACCCTACCTCAAGCCCGTGGAGAAAAGCTGGCAGCCCAACGAGTTCCTCCCCGACCCGGCCCGGCCCGACGATGAGTTCTACGACGAGGTTCGGGCCCTCCGGGAGCGGGCTGCTGGGCTGCCCGACGCTTACTACGTCGCCCTGGTCGGCGACATGGTGACGGAGGATGCGCTGCCCACCTACCAGACCATGGTAATGTCAGAAAATTAGATTAAATTATACTTCACTATTCTAAGAGATACAACATGAACTTTTGTTTATTTTTGTATTTTCATTTATTACTCTCTCCGTCCACAAATAAACTTTACGTTATGCGTTAGGATGTTTGATTGAAGTTATTTTCAAATCATTTTATATCAAAAATGGTGTAGAATTGAAAAATAAAAATTATTTATTAAAAAACTATATCAAAAGATCTACAAAACTAGAGGTGACATGACTATATAATTTTATCAAATGGGTGACGAAAATATGCCAACAAAGTGAATAAAGTTTGACCATGTGAATAGTAAACGTAAAGTTTATTTGTGGACGGAGGGAGTATTTAATAAAATAAAATATTTTTGTCTGTTATGGAAACTCTAAATAAAGTAGTTTTTTTATATGTAAGTTTTATTTTTTATTTTCATATTACCATTTAAAAAAAAGAATTGAAAAATTGAAAAATTTGCGTCTTTGATATTAACTGCAGGTAAACACGTTAGACGGCGTCCGTGACGAGACTGGGGCCAGCCCGTCTCCCTGGGCCACTTGGACCCGGGCCTGGACGGCGGAGGAGAACCGCCACGGTGACTTGCTCCGGACCTACTTATACCTTTCGGGTCGGGTCGACATGACCATGGTCGAGAAAACGGTGCAGTACCTGATTGGTGCCGGAATGGTTAGTCAGTCCTCCCCTTTCGCTCTAATTGCAACTCATTTTTTTCCCTCGTTTTCTAGTACGTTTTCTTCCTAAAAACCATACAAAACTTTTACTCGTTCGTTTCAACTTAAATTAACTTTTTTTGGTTTATGATAATTGATTGAAGTTATTTCTAACTCTCCCTATATTCTCATTTTGATTACAAATTTTTTCTCTCCTCCTAATAATTTTTATTTATATAATCGATTTCATTAAGTATTTGATAAAATAAATATTTTTGTTATTTTTTATTTTGTAAAACTTTTAACGTAGTTTTTAAATATGTAATTTTTATTTCTTATTGATATTTGACAATAAAATGATTTTAAAATGTGAGAAAATTTCTTCGTAAAATCCAATTTGTAATGAATTGGGGCCAGAGGGAGTAAATGGTTTTATATGAAAAAAGTGTAAGATTAAAAAATAAAAATTATATACTTAAAAACTACATTAAAAAATTTACAAAATTAGTAATAACATAAACATTTTAATTTTTCAAATAGTTAATGAAAATTAGATAAAGAAGTGATTAAAATTTTTTTCTGACGGAGTAAATAATTTGTCACTTGTGCTCTATTGATCTTGAAATTTGTATAAAATGTACACTTTTTCATCTTTGCAAAAATTAAGAAAGTTACTACGTATATGTGAATACTTTTTTTTTCAAGAGAATTCGTTTGATAATTGATTCATCTGGATTCTCAAATTTTTGCCCATTTTTTGACAAACTTAAAATGGACTGAAATGGGTAGGACCCGGGGACCGAGAACAACCCGTACCTGGGCTTCATCTACACATCCTTCCAAGAGCGTGCCACGTTCGTGTCCCACGGCAACACCGCCCGCCTGGCCAAGGACTGCGGCGATCCGGTGCTCGCTCGGATCTGCGGCACCATCGCCGCCGACGAGAAGCGCCACGAGAACGCCTACTCCAAAATCGTCGAGAAGCTCCTCGAGCTCGACCCGGACGGCGCCATGGTGGCGATCGCCGACATGATGCGGAAGAAGATCACGATGCCGGCGTATCTGATGACCGACGGCCGAGATCCGAACCTGTTCGAGCACTTCTCGTCGGTCACTCAGTCCCTCGGCGTCTACACCGCCCACGACTACGCCGACATTCTGGAGTTCCTGATCGGGCGGTGGAATCTGGAGGCGCTCGAGGCGGGATTGAGCGGAGAAGGGAGGGATGCACAGGAGTACGTGTGTGGGCTCCCGCCCAGGATCCGGAAGCTACAAGATAGGGCAGATGAACGGGCCAAGAGGTTGGGCCCTCGGCCTGTCAAGTTCAGCTGGATCTTCGACCGGGAAGTTTTGGTATAAATGAGAAATAAGATGGCTACTTTGGTTTATTGGGCCCCCGTTTTGATCCCCTATGTTGTTATTGTACTGCGTGTGTTATGAGAAAAAAGAACATGTATTAAGTTTAGTACGAGTACTATATGAAAAAAAACAGAAAATGTTCTAATTATTATTGTCTTTTTATTTGAATTGTGTCTAAATTTTCTCTTGAACAGATAATTTTGTTTATTGCTACGAAGAATGCACCAATTTTCACGTCAATGTGATAATGGATAGATGCAGTAGTAAAAATATCATATTTCGTACTATATAATTATTTAGAATTACGGGTTCTGTTTTGATATAATTTTAATTGGGTCATTAAATTTTACGATTCAAACTTGACCCGACTAACCGACTAAGTTTGCTTGGGGATTTGTTCAAGTGGGTCACATTCAAGTAATCTTTCTTCGATTCGAGTTCGAATAGTTTTAAATTCGGTCAAGTTAGTTAAGGTCGGTTTCAAGTATTTTAAGGTTTGATTGTGTCGGTTAAGGTCAGATTCAAGACTTTCACTAAATGAAAACAAGAAAATGCATAACTGAATTTAGAGGAAGAGAAATTGTACAGCTTTATTTTATGACAATAGTAATCCTACAAACAAAGAGAAACGGGAGAAAGCGAATTTTCATTGCTAAGCAAAGCAAAGGAAACACAATATTTTGGCATAGATTAGATTCAAATCTTTTCTATGCTACCTGGAAAAAGGTCAGGTTTTTATTAACTGAAGAAAAGAAGCAAAAAAGAGAGCAGCCAAGATAAGAAAAGTGAATGATGAAGATGATGAAGTCAGGCGTGGTCCATCTTGATCATGCACCTCAAGCTCTCCCCTTTGAGCATGAGATCAAAGGCAGTGTTGATCTCAGAAAAGGGGATCTGGTGGGTGATGAACTTCTCCAGCTCCAGCTCCTTGTTCATGTACTTGTCCACCACCGATGGCAGGTCGCTCCTCGGCTTGTAGTTCCCAAAGAAGGTCCCCTTCAGCGTCCTCTCGTTCAGCAGGTTCATCGGGCTCGTCTTGAACGAGTCCCCCTTGTTTGGCACCCCCACCAGCACCGCTACCCCCCACCCCTGTCCACAAAACAAGAACCCCGAATAATCAAACCTTAGTTAGTTCCTCAAGAATCAAGAATCAAAGCTTAGTTTTTTCATGAATCAAGAATCAAGAACCAAAAGCTTAGGTTTGTCAAGAGTCAAGAATCAAAGATGAGTACGTCATGAACGCATTCGAAAGCGGAGATCATGGCGTTGACGTTGCCGGTGCACTCAACGCTCCGGTCCACGCCACCGTTTGTCATCTCAGCAATCACCTGCAAAGATACACACACACACAATCTTTGATTTAGACTCATGCTTGGGATGCAGCAAGGGGTAGTGGTGGTAATTTGACACACTGATGGGAGTGAAAAAACTAACTTCTTGAACAGGCTTGCTGTGATCTTTTGGATTCACAAACTCAGTAACTCCAAATTTCTTTGCTGCATTTGACATTTGAAAAAAAAAACTTGTGAGTAATGAATGAATGTGTTTATAATAAGAGCAATGCTGCTGTGTTGATCTAGTACACTCACCATCTTCAAACCTTTTCGGGTTCAAATCAATGCCAATAATCCTGGCTGCCCCAGCCAACCTTGCTCCCTCAGCAGCCTAATGTTCCATAGATAAACACACAAATTCCCAGTTCAAAAAACGAACATAATTTGCTGAAAATTACCAATCAAATTAAATGCAAACCCTTTCCAATTCCACAAAGAAGTTACATTTCTGCTCTTGTTTTTTGTCCATTTTTTTAAAACACACACCGGAAAAGTAGAGCGTTTTAAGTTTTGTTGAACAACAAAAAATTCAAACATATAGATATGTTTGATGATTTCAAATACTCCGTAGTTCTTCCTTTCTATATTTAGCAAGTAAAAAACCATGGAAATTTGTGGAACTCACAGCAAGGCCTACGGCTCCCAATCCAAATATGGCCACAGTTGAACCTTTGGGTGGTTTGGCAACATTCAGTGTAGCACCAAGTCCTGCAATTTAATTAAAAACACAAAAACAAAAATCAGCCCCAAGAGGACACCAAAAATTTCCACATGTTGGAAATTTCTCATTCAAGATTTCAAAATGAATGGGTCTCTCTCTCTCTCTCTCTCTCTCTCTCTCTCTCTCTCTCTCTCTCTCTCTCTATTTCTATCCATCTAACCTGTGGAAATGCCACAGCTGAGAACACAGACTTTGTCAAGTGGGGCCAGAGGGTTGATCTTGGCGACGCAGCCAGCGTGGACGACGGTGTACTCGCTGAAAGTGGAAGTGCCCACAAAGTGGTAAATGGGCTTCCCATCCTTGGTGGTGAACCTTGTCTTCCCATCTTCAATCATCACCCCTCTGTCAGTGTTGATCCTGAGGAGATCACACATGTTGCTCTCCTCAGAGTGACAGTGCCGGCATTCGCCGCACTCCCCTGTGAACACCGGGAGAACGTGGTCTCCCGGTTGCACGTGTGTCACCCCCTCCCCTACGCTCTCCACAATCCTGAACACATTCAAGAAACACCCACAAAAAATCGCCAGTTTGGCTTGAATGAATGAAAAGAGTGAACTTTAGGTAAGAAAAAGCTAAGGGTTGTAAAAAAAACTTGTTTTTTTGACAAGCAGAACAATCAAGAATTGGTTACCCAATGAATAACATTAGGAAAAAGTTTGAGAAGAAGAGCATACCCTCCGGCTTCATGCCCAAAGATTCGAGGGAACAGAGGAGTTTGACCCTGCAGCAAGACATCATTTTTAACAATCCCATTTCAAATACAGAAATTAAAGTGACCAAAAAAAGAAACAGATTATCGAACAAAGATTCAAGACAGACGATCAGAAAAACCTTGATTAGATCGAAAAAGCAAGAGAAATCCTGTGATCTACAGCGGATATTCACTTACTTTTGCTTCCCAGAAGTAAACATCGGTGTGGCAAAGGGAGGTGTAGAGAATCTTCATGCGGACTTCCATCTTCTGCGGCGGCGCCACATCTACTTCCTCTATCACCAACGGTTTCCCGGCTTCCCATGCAACGGCGGCTGCAAACGCAACAAAGATTCATCAAAAAAGAAAACAACTTTACCCCCCACCCCAGCATCTTTCTTCTTCTTCTTCTTCTTCTTCTTCTGATAAATTACTCAGATTTACTGCGAAAATCTACAAGTTCTACAGATTCAAGAACAACCCAGAAAACAAAAAAGGAAAGTGAAACTGGGAATCCACCTTTACAGCGGATGACCTGACCGGCGGTGGGGCAAGACATGGTTAATTGGTTACTAGATTTATCTGTTTCTTTTTACCTTTCTAAAAGAAGAAATTGCGCGAGTAAATGGTGGATTTGGTGACGGGGAATTTGCATAGAATTTATAGCAAAAGGGGGCCGGCTGCCGGAGACTTGTAGAAGGGGGGACGCAGCGGCACGCGGCACCGCTAGAATAAAAAAAACATGAATGGACCGAAATGCCCTTTTCTTGGGATAAGGGGCACTGGTCCTGGACTCCTGGGAATCGGCGGATGCCCTTTTTTGTCTTTTCGTCTTGAGCCGCGGGGATGCATTCCCGTTTGCGCCTTTGGTTTTTTACTACTCCGTGTGTAATTACTGTTTGCCACGTGGCGTTTATTGTGGTCAAAAGTTGACAATTTACTGTGGGAGGTAATAATACTAGGGGCACAACAGGGCTCGGTTTAACAAAAATTCCAAATCTGAATTTTGATTTGGTCCTCACATAATTTGAACGAAAATGGTACATATTGACCGTTACAAGATATTATTAAAAGTCATACTTTATGACGTTAAAAGTTTCTTAAGTGAGTTTTGAAAGATTAATACAGAGTACTTCGTATAGTAACTGTGTTCATATCTAGAGAAATTGATACAAAAAAAATTTGAAATGATGATCGCTACGGACAAATGAGGATGCTTGACACCGAAGGTTGACACCGATGGGTTGGTGACGTCGGAGGTATTGGTTAATGACAATAAAAATTATCGTTCAACATATTTATCTTTTATGTTATCATAATTATTACTCCTCTCATTTCATATTTCCTAATTAGGAGGTACATCATTCTTTTTAACATTAAAAACTCTATTAGAATGTATTGTAGTATACGTTCATATATTAATTTCAAGTTATTAAAGCACATATAATTATTCCCCTATTTCGCATTGGGGTGAACTTACGAGTTTTTATCAGTAAAAATTATTGTGACACCGTTCCATTTCTTTCAATTTTTTTTGTTTGTTTTTACATTTCAATTTTTTTAATTTTTAACTTTATAATTCACATTTCAATTCCAATTCATCCACTCTCATCTCAATTTCTGAATATGAATACCGACGGTGACAACTTCCCCTTCCAAGAATCCGACATTGATAAAGTCATAAGACATACAAACTTCGTTAGTTTTCAGACTGATGTGCCGTCAGGGTGTGTGTGGGCGCCAACTTTGCCGCATTCTCAAGCTTCAACAATAGCCCCTAGTCCCCTACAACATGTCAGCCGTTAAAACAGACGACTACGATATTGCTGAGTAAGAGCCCATGAGAGAGGGCCTGAGCAAAGGGAAGGGGAAAAAGACAGGCGGGCCGAAGAAGTATACCTTTTTTAATTATTAATTATCTATTTTTATTAATAGATAAATATTTGTATTAATTTTTTTTAAGTTTTTAATTATAATGATAAATATTGTAAAATAAATGGAGAGGTGGAGCAAAAAGATAATAGCATTGTAGGAGTTTTATTTTGGTGGAAAAAATAAAAGAAAAGAATAATAACGTGACATGAATTAGATGACGTGACATGAATTAAAACATGACGAGAATTGACCCCAATGTAAGTGCCCTTAGGACACATTATTGGACATGTACAATGACCATGCGCATTGACATTTAGGCCCCCATAGAAAATCTTATATACATCTTTTCAAAAGATCTTTGACAAATACTCTTGCCAGTATCTTAATCATGAACTGTCCTATGCAAATGGCATATATACTTGTACCACTCAAATACTCAATGCCAAATAGAGCTCTAGTTAATCTTTTGCCTTTGAACATAATAATTGTAGAATGGAATTTCATTATTCATCACTCTTTAATTTGAAAAAAAGAGTGAAGAAGCAAATCCTTCCCAAAATAAAACTCTTATTTATATTCACATGATCAAATTTTATCCACTTTCTATTGTTATTTTAATTTCTCATTTGATATGCTATTACATAATTGGGTCACGTTTATTTCGTAAAAGTTTTGATGTACTTTGGTGTACAAAATGTGGTGTGATGTACAAATCAAAATTACTAAACTGCAACAGGAATTTTACTTTGGGACGGAAGGAGTAATTATAGGAGCAGTAAATGTGGTGGGGTACAAGTCAAAATCCAGGTCAGAAATTAACTCATACAGACATTTACATGGAATGGCAATGGCAAATGGCAATGGCAAAGGGGTTAAACTAAAGAATGTTCTAAGCATGTATAAGCAGGAAGATGGTGTGGGGTTTGCAGGGAGGAGATGAGAATGCTACATGCGTTTCTCACAGGTTAAGAGCTTCCAGTTAGAATGGGGGCCTTCGCTGTCATCGTACCTGAAACTCACCCACCCCACGGCCCGTGTCAGCTCCTCCACTTCGTCGATGATCGGTGTGAAGTCGCGGATGTAAACTCTTCCTCCCGGTCTCAGGATCCGATCCATTTCCAGCACTATGTTTGATATGTTACGTCTGCACATACACATATATACGTACATGCAAAGTAAAACTTTTTTGGTATAAAATAAGTATCATATCTCTACTGATTATGCTACTACTATTACCTGTTCTTCTCGGCCGAGAAAAGAGCAACCGCATTCAATAAATCATATGATCTTGGATATGTGTCGAACGGCTCACACCTACCAATGAACAAATGCCAAGGGAATTGTGTTTGAGAAGGGAAAAAAAAGAGGGGCGGGGTGGGGGTGGAACGGTTTTTGTTAAGAAACCAACTCAACCAAGAGCTCAAATTAAAGTTGTGGTTGAAAGGGTATAAATGTTTTTATATGCTAACAATTGTAGATGGGGTTGCTGGGAGGACTTACCAATCATGCAAGACCCCAATGAGACCGCGGTCATAAATAACGGGCAGTGTATTAGGTCCGCTGACGGGAACCACATTCATTACCCAGCAATCAATCTCCCCATTCTCAGCCAAAGCTGCTCCAAACCCTCCATATCCAGCTCTCATGTCCATGATGTTCCTTAGTTGCAGTGTTTTCCAGTGGAATGCATTAATATATCCACGTACAAGATCGACCATGTAGTTAGTATCTGCTCTGTAAATTTCCCTTCTGGACAAAATGGCATCCATTTTTATGCTAAACAGTCTGTCCGGTGGGTACTTAAGTCGAGCAGGCCATGCAGTCACATTAGCACCATACCCATTGTCAGGTAAACTAGTGATGCACGCCTTCATATTCACATACCTGCAGATAGACAACAAAACATGTCAACCAAACACGATCTGCAAACCCGATTGACAAGTGGATTGGATATTTGGATCCATCAAATCTTGCCACCATTACACAACCAAACCGGTCAATATCTTTTTTTTTGCTGTGACTTTCACACTATATTAACCAATCCCAATGATTCAAGAGGATTAGACAGCGTGTAAAGAAGAAGAAGAAATGTATGGATTGAATCTGGAGTAGAGGGAAGAAGTACCAGACATCATCTGGGTCATCATCATTGCCACATATGGAAGGTTTTGCAGTTGGCCCCCGGTTGAAATAACAGCTGTTGTTCAGAGGTTTCTTCCATATTGCAATCCCCTCTCCCTTTTTCACAAGTTCCCAACAAAGGCGATCGGTAAGATCCTCCATTTCTGTACTTGGACGATACCAGAAAAACAATAAGAGAACCATGCAATAACTTAAATCATGCCAAAGATACCTCACTATAGTAGCGTTAAATAAAATCAGTTGAGATAATAAGGTCGAAAACCATAATAGAGAGATCAAGAGATTACCTTTCCATTGTTCTAGTGACGTTTCTTGTTTGTCAACAGGTTGTTGTTCTGCCAGTAGAAAGTAACCTCCTGCTCTCAGCACTCTGTTTACCTCTAGAAGCAAAATACCCTCTTCGCCACACCCCAAAAGAGAACATGATATGAGTTATAAATACATATATAAAGAGTGTAAAAAATAAAATACATGTTCCCCATAAACTTAGGCACTCAAATAGCATGGGATGTACCATTGTTGGTCCAGTTGACTCTGCAATTTGAACAATGTACAAAGTCAAATGCTTGGCTAGGATACATCAAACGACGTGTTTCAAAGCCAGCAATCATGGCTGGCACACCACGTTCAAGTGCAAATTGAATCTGGTTACTGCTAGCATCTTTTGGAGCTATGGACAGAGTGACTACATTTCGCTTTGCTAGATAAGCACCGAAGCTTCCCACACCACAACCGATATCCAAAACCACCCGTGTTTTATTCCCAAAGGAAATCTCTGGAACCATCTGCAACAAAACTTAAGAGAATTGAAAAAAAAAATCCATATGAATAGTACAAAAGTCACCAGACTGGCGTTACTTATTGAATCAGCATACCGAGGATATCTGATCCAAATAGTGTTCTACACCGTGAGGAAAGTCAGTCCCTCCTTCGGGAAATAAGTACACTTGTTTCTCTTTTGATATCACAATTTGCCCACTTTTGTCATCAACCAAGGAAGTCTGAGGTATGTTTGACATCCAAACCTACACAAACATTAGAGAAGTTGATTAAATTATATTAGCGTAAATAGGGAAAACGGTGTTGATTCATTTTCAATATCAGCCAGTTAACATATATGCCAATGAAAGATAGCAGAGGTCTAAATCCCTCTGTCACAAAGAGATTCTTGCTTCAAACATGGTTCTATCATGATGTTCCCAAATGTTATTCTCGTAGTGGAGCAGCGAAGGAAAAATGATCAACCATGTCTAAATCAGACAGAGATTCATATCACATTCTAAACAAACAACATATTGCAGACAACTGCTAAAGGCACTGGTTCAGAACAAGTAATCTAAAATGGGCAAGATCAGGGAATAGAAAACATCAAGTTGGCTGCACAATGGATTAATACCTCATCTCGGCTTTTTGGCCACGGAACTCGAAATCTATAGCCTTTGGGCATCGGCACAACACAATCCAACCCCTTCTCCGGGCAATGCCGCTCGGAGGAATTGAACTTGGACAAAACCTCCACACTATCCAAGCAAGGAATGCAATGGCTCATACTCTGATCACAGACTCCAAATTTCCCAATTTTGCCCTTCTTCGTAATCCCCTTACTCTCATCCCTATTTGTTCCACCTCCACTGGCATTCCCCACAGTCTCTAACAGCTCATCGTCATAATCCCCTATTATAAAGTCGAGCACCATCAAGCCATTCTCGTCGATAATTCCCGTCCGTTCCAAGAAATCCCTAGTCGGCCTAGCTGGAGGACCCACAGACGGCAGAGAAACCGTCGGGAGAGGGGGAGGAGAAACCGGCGGCCGGGACGGTTTTGCAACGGCATTAACAGTGGTGGTGAGATTGGAAAGGGGCGATGAGAAATTGGGGGTTGGGTCTGAGAAGTGCCTGAGGAGGACGAAGATAGAGATGGATAAGAGGGTTAAAGCGGTGAATTTGAGGAAAGCGGGGGATTTTGCGAGGGAAATGTGATCGGAGGACGATGCAGCGCCGCCGAAGGAGGGCATGATGTTGTGAGGGGAGGAGGAGGCGCCGCCAGTGACGGTGAGCTCCGGGCAGTTGGCTTCGATTCCTTGTCTGGACTGCAAGCAAAGAAGGAACGTAAAACGCTAGTCTTCCTTGTCCGAATCGTTACACGGAAGAAGAATGACAGCAAAAATGGAATGACTTAAGGTGAAGTGCAATTTTACACCCAATGAAAAGCAGTCCAGTCATCGTGTGACAAATAAGTGAGTGACAAACTCTGCAATGGCAAGTCATTACTTTTATTACTTTTAAATTTTTTTAGACATATTTTAATTATTAAAAATAATTTTACTTATCATAAAAAATTAAAAAATAAAAATATAAATAGAAAAAAATTAATTTCAGAAAAAAGAAATTAAAAAGAAAATAAAAAATAAAAAAATAAAGTTAAGTTTTTGACACGCCTATGACATGGTTTGAGGAGTGGAATGCTTTGTCATGCCATGCCCATCATGGCAATTAATGAGGTGTCAGCATATGTGGAACCATGGCAAACATTTTTCATGCCATTGTGGATGCTCTTATACCTAAGAGTGGAAACAGGAAAACTTTAAACGCTGCTGCCCGGACGACTCACATAACCGGACCGGATCTCCTATTCAGACCAAAAAACTATTTACTCTCTTCCTCTCAAAATATAATTGTATATAGATACCTCTCTTACTATTTCAATCTCTCAATAATTTTAATTTGTATATTTTTATTCATAATTTGATAAAATTGAATAATGTTGTCATATCTTGTTTTATAAAAATTTTATGTACTTGTAAACGATGTTATTTTTACTTTTTATTTTTATACCAATTGTAATTAAAATGATTTCAACCAAAATATATTTTCAAATTTATTTAATTAATGACCAAAGTTTATCAAATTTGATTGAAAAAATCAAAATTGGACAAATACTTAGAAACAAATGTGGTATATTAGATATTAATACAAGAATATTTGTACTGGATTTGTCCTGTAAAATACTTTCAAAATATTATTTTACCTAATTAATGTATACTTCGAGTAATTTGATTTAATTATAGGTTAAATGTCAATCATTGTTGGATGCAAAAAAATCAAAATTGGATAAATAGTTCTAAGATGGAGGAAGTATAAGATTTTTCTATGTCTCAAAATAATTTTTTTTATCTTTCTTTTTTGATTTTATCAATTTGATCCTCACATTTCAAAAAATATGAAATGAGTGGTCCACTTTATTTCTCTCCATTCCTTATAAAGTACGGAGTATATTTTTTGGAGAGCTAGAATTAAGATAGTTAGGTAGACACTTTAGGTCATGTGGTAGTTTTCCTACTTGTTATTGTGTGCTTTGTGTGCTTGATGCTCTCTGTAGTGTTTACTTTCGTTAACATTAGTTTGTTCAATCTTTTTGCACGATCTCTTTTATATGTTTTTTGTGATCTTATATTATATAGCTACTTGAGCAGATGATCTCTCTCCAGTAGTAGAGACAAAGTCTACATACACACACCCTCTCAAACCTTAATCTCGTGGGATTGAATTTGTTGTAATAAGTGGTCAAATCGATCAAATTCAAAAAAAATCTCTTGGAGGTAGGGGTGTTGATGTTTAGGTCCAGACCAAAAAACCGATCGAACCGGACCGATAGGTCCAGACCGATAACATTTAGGTCCGGTCTTAGGTCCAATTAATTTCTGATTTCGGGTATCGGTCCGGTCCGGTCCAAACCCGAATTTATTTCGGTCTGGACCGAAATGACCGAACCCCATAAGCAGTAGCACCCTGTGTATGAACGAATACCAAAAGCAGTAAGCTCCCTCTGTATTCCATATATTACTCAATTTACTCCGTATTTCACTATCACTTTCCTTAACTTTGTATCCACTATTTCTTTATCCCTCTTTATATTCTCTAAAAAATCACTATAGCATACTCTGTAATTTTTTCTTCACAAATTGCAAGTCCCGACCGGTGAAGAATACTCGACCTCAACCAGGCACCAGCAGCCACTCAAGTACTCCAATCTCTCCAAGTTGGCTTTCTTGAGTTTTTTTTTGTTTTAAATTTGAAGATGTTTCCAAATCCCAACCCGATCTACCATCCCTTGGTGCCTTTAAATTTAATTCCTCTTTAAAATGATTTTTGAATTGAATCAAGAATTGATTTTATTTGTTCATTAGCTTTATCGGAAGATGCTAGTTGTGTCTCCAATTTTTACAGAAATACAGTGGAGTGTTAAAAGGGTTATTTTTCGGTCTTTTTCGGTCTATGTCGGTTCGGTCCACATGATTTCGGTCCGGTTCGGTCAATGACCGAAAACATTTAGGTCCGGTCTTCGGTCCCCATTTTTATTGATTTCGGTCTTCGGTCCGGTTCGGTCCGGGTTTGGACCGATGAACAGCCCTACTTGGAGGAACACAATGGAAGATTTTGACAGTTGAAACAAATTAGAAACATAGGAAGTCTGGTAAAGGCAATGAAGGCTGTGGAGAGTCTGGAGACGAAGGTGGAAAGGTGAAGAGATTGAAGGTCTACAGAGAGCGTTAGCATTTTGAAAAGACTATCCAACAGTAGCCTTTAGCGTTAGCGTTTTCAGAATTAATCTACACCATTAAAATTTTACCCAAAACGCTAACGCTAATAAAAAACGTTGTTCTAAAACAAGGCCTACAATTAGTTGTGAACTTGCACTATAACTCCACAAGTATACAGTGCAAGAGTTGGAAAAGGATTTACTTGTTTGAAGAATTTACAGCATATCCAACACAACCACTCATTTTATTTTCCATTTTCCTTCACATAAATATAATATACTCCGTATCAAAGAATGTATATTTTTTTAAATAAAAAAATAAAAAAAAGTGGTTATAATGAAAAGGGAAAGAAGCAGGTTTTGAGACAATTATCATTGTCTGCCCATAAAAACATATATCTGTCTCTAAGGGTTCAAAGAAAAGTCACCAGCCTCACTATATGTTTTCTCCAGCTGCTCAACCTTGTTAAAGCTGAACCCTCTAATTCTCACTTCTTCCGGCACCGACGTGTCCTTATAATCAACCGTCTCAATCACCCATCCTTTGTTATCGAGCGCCCCTCCCACTTTTACCTATTAACATTCCCAACCATATGTTAGCAAACACGACAACCGAATGAATGAATAAATGAAAGATTTTTGAATGTCGGGTGGCATTCGTTTACCTTTGCATTGTCAACAGCATCAACAATGAGAGCTCCGTCCAATGAGATGTCCTCAAGGATGACATTTTTACCTTTTATTACCATGGTAGATCTTTGTGAAATGGAGTTGTTGTTTCCTCTCACTTTGGCTTTGACGTCCGAGAAAGTGAGTGCCCATTTTGGCTTCCATACAACGCGTGGCCACACTTCTACCTGTTGCCCGTTGAACACCTGATGGATCGGATCGTCTACTTTCACACCAACCTGCCGTTGAGAGGGAAAGCTAATGTAAAAAAAACCACGCGCACAAACATATTGGCTCAGGAGAATAATGTTACGTACCTTTCTCAAAATGAGGCTATGCGCACGATATATGGCCATTTCTCCAGAAGTAGCACTATGGTAGGGGTTCCCTTCGGGTACCTTCATAGTTGTGAATAAAATTATCAACATGTTTGGCAGACCAATGTGAGAAGAAGCAAAATGCATTGATCTTTTTTCTAGAATCAATGAGAAAAAACTCATACCTTGGCGGCATCTTCAGGGTTGTTTTTAACAGGTGCATAAGCAAGCCAAACATCCATCACCTTCAAATGAAACGTATTATTGATACTACATTTAAATACTCTTTACAAATCCGGAAAAAGTGTATTCAAACTCAAGAAGATTCGTATCAAAATGTTAAAAACCATTGCTCATCTCCCTTTTAAGTGGCCAAATTTGCATGTGAAACTCATTCTCTCAATCAATTTTGTTTTATTATAAAATGGAAAGCATATAAGCACTATTCAAACATATAGATCATTTTTGCATTGCGAAGATTGGGTCAAATTACATTTACAGATTTCAAACATTATAAATGTGTGTTAATTCATTAAGAATTATATAGAAACGTTCACTTACAGTGAATCCTACTCTAGCAGAAGGAGGCAATGTTTTAGGATAATCTTGCATCATACATTCAAGCCGAGTTGAGGACTTAAAAGCAGTCTTGGTAGCATCTTTGTACCTAATGTGAATTAGGGCATATCCAGTCATAATACTTAACTAACACAATGAAATCAGATATACTCAACACACAAGGCATTCCATTCAAGAAGTCATTAAAATATTTGGGAAAATGAAAATTTACTTTGGGTTGACAAACTCCTTTATAGCACCCCCTGTTTTTGTGAGCTCTTCGATGTAAGGGCCAAGCTCTATTATCAACTGTTTAGTACAAAAACATTGGTCAATTGCAAGTTACAAAAGTAACGAGTGAAACAAGTAACTATTTGTTTCCTATACAAACTAACAACAGTTAGTGCTATGTAGGAAGCCAAGAATAATATGATGCAAGAGGTTACATTATAGATGAAGTCTTTATGCTACGGAGTAGCATCTTCTCTCGATGAGGCACAAGACTAAACGGTGTTAAAAGGTATACAGTTACATACCTGATTTATATTCCCTGGAAAAGGTGAATATCCTGTTTCACAATTGACATCGCCATCTGCATATCCACTTGCTCTAAGCAACGGATCAAGCTGGTTATATTCCACATTGATCACCATTGCTCTCCCTAAATAAATATATTTCAATTGTTACAAGTATGATAACAAGTTACTCCCGGTCTTCTGAAGGTTAGAGAATGAGGGGAGTAAGAGGGAAAGTTTGGACTGCAGAAAAAACATCAAAGTGCAGTTTAAAAAAAGGAGAAAGATGGACGGGAGTCTAACATTAAGTGATCCTAATGTCCTAGTACAGTCAAACTTGATTTTTTTAGGATGATGCCAATTGAGCAAATGTCTCCAGCCTAATCACGGTAGTAGGATCAGGATGCAGAATCACTTAGAGCATCTTTAAATGAACTTCAGTTTCTATGTAATCTAAAGGATCTAACTTCTAATGACAAGTTGCAAGTAGCTTTTACAGTTTAGCCAAATTGTTGTACTTGATGTGGAAGTCATGACTCATGAGAATTAGGCCAGATTTATAATTTCATTCAAGTTTGCACTGATAAAATGGAAAGAAAGTATCTATGTAAATATGTGTGTGTGCATATTTACATAATTACCATCCTTGTGAGTAAGCCTGGTAATGCCCCCTATAGCTTCTTTTGCTTTGCGAGGAACGGCAAGAGAATTGACATGGTACTGTTTTATGGCACTGACACCAAGTGAAGCTGGAATAGCCTGGAATTAAATCATTCAGGGGGTAATCTGTGAGCATAAAAACAAAACTCCACACAATTCTCCCCACAAACCTTGAAAAGAAGGCCATTGGTGTCTTGGAAAAACAGGACCCATCTCAAGCCAGCATCATGCCTAATAATAAGAACGGTTTGACAAATAAACACGTTAAAGGGACTAATAGCATCATATAAAACATAACAGCCGAGTGATATGCAATAATGCAAAGAAAGAAAATAACAACTTCCTGATTTTGAAGTCAGAAAGAACATAGAGAACTGAAAGGCTTATAATCATAAGGAGATGGAGTCCACACTCATTTCATCACATAGAAGTATTCCCTTATATAATTAAAAAAAACAGCAGAATCTATCCTAAAAACATCAACACTCATGGAAATTTCTGTTTTCTGTTTAGTTGGATTTGATGAGAAGCGGTTGAGGAAGAGCACATAATCCACACTTCAGGGGTAATATGTATGTAATAAACAACAACAATAACAAACCAAGTATACTCCCAACTCCATTTGGGGTTAAGGGATCAAAATATACAAATAATAACAAAAAAAGAAAAAAAACAGAAAGGTTGTTTCCATTAGACACTTTGCATTGTTTCATTTACCTCCCAAAACTTCATAGAAAGTGGGAAGGGAAGTTTGATGTGCCATTTTGATTAAGTCCATTATTTACCCAATGCAAAAACATTATCACTCTCTAAGTTTCAATAGCAGTGGACACAATATGTATTTTATAAAGAAGGAAAATGTGCATACACACCATGATTTGAGTAGCCCACTTGAATAAAGAAGCGAATGAACATCACCGTGCCCATGAGGTTTTGTCTGAGATAGAGTAAAATGGGTATCATAAAGAAATGTTCATTGATCAATCAATACTATATAGTCCAATACGATTACCTGGATTTGATACATATTGTGTGGATCTACAGCTAGATGTGCATCATTATCCTCCAAGCAAGCAACTTTTTCCTAAAATAATTTGAGCAGCACAATCTAGTTAATGACAATACCACTATTACACAAATGTTAAATTGAATATCAATAACTTACTTGCTTTAGAAGTTTCACTTGTGTTGGTTTCATTCCAAAATATGCATTTGACTCTAATAGTTGTAGAGTTCGTGAATGTGTGTCATCCGAAGTCATTATAGCAAATGGGATATCTATTGGGCTTTCACCTAAGATTATAAAATTTTCAAGACATTAGTAGAAAACAAAAGCAAGTATGTTTTATTAGAAACTCTACTTTCAAGGGAATGCGAGAAATTCACATCTGCTATTAGTCGGTAAAAATGCTAAATACATTCATCCCCATTAAAAAGTGGAACAAAAGGACCTGTAATTATTTCTACAGTATTCTGGCTTTTTTCCCAAATAGACTTTTGTTTCCACAGGATACTTCAGAATTCTTTTTTTACAGTTCAGCGCCTTACAATAGTACTACCAAACAGGCACTGAGTATGCATGGTTTAGATATACGAGGCATGTATGACTATATAGTACAGCCCAATACTTCAGAAACTGAACTTAAGCCGTTGAGGAACAGAAGAGCTAGTTTGTTACAAGCAAATTAGTTCATCTGATGCTGACATATACGGAGTATAAAGTATTTGAAAAAAATAAGCGGGATAATGATATTAAACCTTGTGATGGTTCACAGCTAGCTTCTTGCAGAGCCAAAATAGATTCAATATAGTGCTGTAAGAAACATGTCCCGGTGGTTGTTTCTTGAGGAAGAGCCACCTGAAAGCAGTAAAGATTGTAACAAAACTAAAAGTATACATCATAGGATACCATATTCTTACAAAACTATGAGAAACATATACCGTGAGAGACAAGGTTCCTTTATCTTAACTGCTACCTTAGGTATGGACCAGAGTTTTTTTTAATAAGGGAATCACCAAGTCGAACAATACACATAAAACATCAGGTCATAGACTCATACCAGATCAAAAGCACACAGTTTTACCTTTATTCCATTGTATCCAAGTCGTTCTCCGAGTCCTCCAGCAACAAGAACAAAGGCAGCTCTCCTCGCTTCTCTAACACCAGCCTCCTCAAATTGAACAAAGTTCTCATCACCATAGGTCAGATTTTCCCCAGATGGAACCTGCAAAAGTATAGTCCACATTTGTTTGGGTTTAGACATAGTTCTCCAGCTAATGTTTGACATAATTGTAACATGGAAAATCAAAATTAAACTGCCCATTAGACATAGTTATCAACATCATCATCATTATTACTTCAAATTCCCTCAACTTATACTGTCAGTTTCAACAACATTCTGTTCTTCTCTTCTTTTTACATAAGCTTCAGAGTTCCAATTATAATTCCGAAATCTGACCAATTAGTGATCATATTTTGCACACAATGAGTGAAGATACTACTCCTTAGTTTCACTTGAACTTTCATCCCTTCCACCCAATACCTCCTGGTCTCTGGTTCCCATTTCATATTTTTGAATGTCAATCATCCTTACATGAAGCATTGAAATCGCTAAGTACAATTTATCAACTGAAATACAATATCACATATTACGCCAGCATCAAGTGAGGACATCATGTCCTCCGTACTAAATTTCCACCATATTCTTAAATATGGTGTTCAAAATAGCAAAAGAAGAGCTTAAGCTAGTCTGAATTGATTCTTCTTTTTAGTCCTTTTTTATAACACCGCCTCGCTAACAAAATCTAGAGTATCAACCGACCAACCCCTCATTCACACTTCCCAATATCACATTTTGATTTTATTTTTTCTAAAGAAAAAACTGCAAGATCAACTACTGAGAGTGGCGAGTCAAACAAAAGTTAATAAATAAATAAATAAATACTTACAGATGGTGTAAACCCATCGTACGGATTCTTCCCAGCTTTTGAATCTGCCAATAGTTCCCTGGCACTTTTAATGTATGCAGCCAGTCCCCCAGGGTAGCTTGTGTTCAGCTTAGCAACCTGAAAAAGAACCAAAATGCATAAATTTTGAATCTTTGATCCAATTATCCAGTATGAAAAGGTACAATAACGATGGGTTCCCCCATCCATCCATGAACAAACCCTTTGCCACATAATAAACAAACAGAACCTGGTGAAAGAAGGCCTGCTTCTCGTTGTCGTCAACCCCGGGCATGGGCCAATGCCGAAAGAGATGGCTCTGCCCCGCCTCCAACAACATCTTCGCCAATTCAACCTAGACAAGCAAAATCCGGTTCGGAATTTCGCACAGGGATCTCGGATCGATAACCGATTAAATTACTGAGAGAGGGAGTACCTGTTGAGGAGATAGAATAGAAAGGTTGCTCAGGAGATTGGGAGAAGACGACGCCCAATCGTCTCCGGTAATGGTGAGTTTCGAGATTCCGGCGGCGGCCGCAGATGCCATGGCTGGCTTCGCCGACTTTCTGGCTTGTGTGAAGTACTAATAATAATAATGAATCAGAAACATGCGGTGGTTGGGGAGAGTGGGAAATGGAGTGAGAGCTGAGATGGAACTTATTTGGAACAATGCTACTGGGAATGGCAACGGATGAAACTAATTGCGGACCTACCCGATGTCATGGCCGTCCATTTGTTGTCTTCCTCCACTCAATATTGTGAAAACTGGACCGACGGCTAAGGCTTATGATTTTTTAAAAGTTAAAAAATATATACCTCCATCCCAAATTATTTGCAACGTTTGCTTTTTCAGCAGCGCGGGAACTTTTGTTTATTTCTACGTTTTCATTGGTTATTTGATAAAATAAAATATTCTTGACACCTCTTATTTCAAAGAACTTTTCATGTAGTTTTTTTGATATGTAAATTTTATTTTTTATTTCTATATCAATATGTAAATAAAATGAATTGAAAAAACTTGATATTTTGCCTCGGGAATACAAGTGTAGCAAATATTTAGAGACGGAGGGAGTAGATAAATGATTTGATCTTATTGGAGATAAATTGATTTTTAATGTAGATTGGTTACAGAGAATAGAGACTGCACCTGATAGTTGCAAAGACCATAAGTTTAGCATAATTGTGTATTAGCGCAGTTGTCTTAAATTGGACTTATATCTATCTCTTGGCACTCCATACCTTTGCCAACTTCGCAACGCCACCGACTATTATTCGAATTTAGAGACAATATTGACAATCAATCCTTGGCAATGAAGATGAAGGGCAATTGTGCTAAGCTTGGAGATATTGCCCTTGATGTCTAAGACTGTTTCAGACTCTTTTTAACCACATTAACATTCCACTATTTTTTTTCTATTAAGTTTTATTTTTATTTAATCACTTATCTAATATATAATTGAATTATACATTAATTTTTTATAAATATAATTAATCATTAAACAAATCAACAACATAAAACTAGAGGAAATCGTTTAAATAAACACACATAAAAATAAATTGAATAAAATAAAATTAAAAGCACAATAAATTAAAATTACATAAGAAGGCATAATTGAAATGTATAATGGCTCCATTTTAGTTGATTGTTAAGAGAATGCCAAACATAAAAAGATTTAAATATAAAATTGCATAAAATCAAATATACATAAAATAAAAAATAGAAGCATAACAAAATGAAGTTTTATAAATGTAGATAATTATTGACGATTGGGTTTTCTCTAATTGGAGAGGATAGGTTTTTTATTTCACAATAATTGTAACTAATCTTTATTTTCAAAAAATAATTATTACTAATTGCATGTATCTAATTTTTATTATATAGCTTGAGTTAAAGGATCTCAAGTGAGTCTGGAATTCAATGACCCCTTTCCAAACTTTCCTTCATTTTCTATATATGCACCACAAATCCACAATGATATTCTAAAAAAAGAGACCTAAGATTCTCTCTCAAAGTCTTAAGCACAAAGAAATAAACTGATGACATATTTCTTCATGCTTATAAGCTGCTAATAAGTGAAAAATAATTAGATTTTACTTTCTTATTTTTAAGTTTGTTTTTTTCATTTTGACCATATTATTTGAAAAGCTATCTCTCATTATTTGTGAACATTTCCGTTGAACTATCTCTCATGAGATCTCTTACGAGTTACGACTCTTCTTTGATTCTGATGGTAGATCACATGAAGAAGCAAATTATTTGTCATTGTCCTTCACCATTTCACTTTCACCATCATCCTTCTCTTCTAGATTCATCACATAATCATCATGACATTATACTTCAATGTTTGCAAATGATTTGATGCATTTTTCTCTAGCAACATCATTTCTAATAACTATTGCCATTTCATCATATGACTCATTTTTGTGTTCAAATGCTTGTCATGATATAGATTCAACTCAATGTATGCATCATACACAATAAGAGAAGCAAAACCCATCTTCAAGTTGTCGTCCCACCCAAAATCAGAATCTTTGCTTCGAAGTTTTAAATTGAGGTTGACTAAGAATTTCAGTTGCGAAAGGTGCACCAAAGTCTCCATTCTAATAATATTTAACAAAAATCATGGCCCATAAAAACATACTTTCTTTCTCTAATTGATCAACCATCTGAAAAATCCATAATAAACATATTGCAATCCATATTTACTAAAACTTGAAAAACAATTTTATGGGCACTAGAGAATGGTGTTAGAGGCCACAATTAAAAAGCAAACTAAAGCAATACGAAGTACTCCTTCCGTCCCACTCTTTTTGTCCACTTTCATTTTTGCACACCATCCAATGCACTTCTTTAAACCATTTTATCTTATAATTTGTATATTAAAAAATTATAAAAATTATATATTAATAATCTATATGTTAAGACAAATCAAACAAGATCACACATGACTATTTTTATACTTACACATTGAGAGAATTTGATGAGTCAAAGTGCTTAGATGAACAGTTCCAAAAGTCAAAACTGGACAAAAAGAGTGGGACGGAGGTAGTAGTTTATAAACCTTATTCCCTCCGTCCCTTAAAAACTTCCCATTTTGACTTTTAAATGATTTAAAGAGAGTATATTTTGGTGTTGACTTTCCAAAAATGCCCTTTGATGTGATGGATAAAGTAGGATGAGATGAGTAGATTAATAGACAAAAAGTGTGATGTGATAGGTAGGTTAAGAATTAATAGGGGTAAAAGTGACTTTTTAATAGGAAAAGAAAAGTGTTTTTGAGACGGATGAAAAAGGAAAGGAGAAGTATTTTGTGGGATGGAGGGAGTATTAAATTGGTTAATCACTATAAACTCAAAACTTGATAAACAATCTTCTCTATAAGCAAATCATGTGGGTAGTAGACATGACATTTGTTCACACAATCTTGGCGTCATTGTTTTCAACATTGACCGATTAAAAATTCTTTTTCAAGTCTTTTGAGAAAACACATAGATACTCAAAAGTACTCTTTAGAATAAATATTGAAATGTGTATCGTTTATAAATTATTGCAATTTATCACCTTGTGAATTAAACTACAACATAAAAAAATATACTTAGGTCAAAAGATAGGATTAAAATAAGTGTCTTGAACATGATAGCATGTAGAATAGCATATATGGAACAATAGAAAAAATGAATAAAACCACTAAAAGAATGTTGGTGAAAAAAAATTGGTGAAAAAGATGAATGAGTGATAAAAATCTTTTTACGCCAATTAGGAAAAAAATTATTTTGCCACTTAACTTGTCACGAAAATGGAATGAAAATTTTACGGAATGTCCAACTAAACAAAACAAATGATTTAAATTATTTTAATATATAAAGTATAAATAGAAAAATACACACTCATAATTTATAAATTTTTTATTTTAATTTTTAAATATATAAGTTTATTTTATTTTCATATTTCATTTAATAAAATAATACAGAAAATAATAAAAAGTACAGAGTATATTTTTATAATGGGTATATATATACTCGGTGGGAAATAATGGAGAATACTGAGTATTATTTTTAGGTCTAAAAAAATCAGTTTAAGCGGGACATTATTGCTTTGCCTTGCCTTCATCTTCCACTGCTATCTAAACCCACAACTCTACACTGTGTTACAGAGACCGGCTGCCCGTCCGTCTACTTTTACCCGCTCCGGCAACTCTCAAGTAATAACTGCGGCGGAATTAATCCATCCCCGACTCAAAAAACCCTAACAGTCGCCATGTCCGTCCTGTTGAGGAGCTTGGATTTTTTCGCTCGGTATTCGGTTATTTTTCCATTTTACAATCAACAGTGTCATCTGTTTTTGAACTCGCGGTAGGATTTTAACTACAGGTGAGATTAGAAATCGCGAATCAATCACTTTGGGGGAAAAGTAGGGTTTATGTGCCGAGAATTCCATACATTGTCTAAGAAGATAATGAAGCGGGGACGACGAAGGGAGATGCTTGAGAGGTTAGAATTTGCAGATAGGGATTATAAATCCTACTTAGAGATCAAATATCACATTTACGGAGGAGGCGGATGCGGCGGCACCATTGAAAGGGGAGAAAGTCCTTTAGGTAAGGACGACGAAGATTGTGACCCTCATTATGCAATGTTTTTAAAGCACACTAAGCAAAAAGGGAACAACGCGTATGTCACTACACTTGAAGATGATGGATTGCTCACTTTCATACACTATGAAAGGGATGGGAGTTCTAGCGATGAGGAGGGGAGCTATAATCATGGGAGTGAAGTGAAGAGCCCGAGGAATGGGAAGTGTGATTCAGAAGGTTCCAGGCTTGAGGAAAACATGATCGACGGAGATTACAAGCGCTATTTGGAAGTCAGATATGGGAAGGACCAAGAAGGTTGTGTTGGAAGGGAAGATACTCCTGTGACTACTCTCGAAGATTGTGGAGTGCGATTGTCCATACACGATGAAAAGGAGGAAAGTTGTAGGGATGAGAAGAATGATGATTGCACGATTATATTGACGAAGGATAGGAAAGGGGATGAAAGAGAAGGGAATGATTCTGAGAATGTTAAGGGAAAAAGAACAAATTCTGGTCTACCAATGGTTGAGGAGGACGAAATTTTTGAACCATTTACTCCCCTTCCTACTGGGGAAAGACCAAAAGTTTCTAGGACTTGTGCGGGGAATCCCAATCCACCAAACGTGGAGAGGGCTGAACCGTTTACTCCCCTTTCGATAGGGAAAAGAGCCATGTTTCCAGAATTACAGAAGTGTAATGCAAAGAGTAAGTCAAACAAAAAGCAGAGAAGTTCATGGTCCAAAGTCGAGGAAAGATATGTAGATCAAGATTATGCTATTCTCATGCGAGCCGTGAATATACATCGTGAAAAATATGACTCAAAAACTGAATCTCAAAATAAGCAGGATGTGGAATATGACCATGATGATTCTGAAGATGATGTTGTTGAAATAAATTATGACACATTTTGCAATGGAGAAAGATCTCAGTCATTTTCCCCTCAAGTGCATTATTGCGAGGTTAGCGGATTTGTATTTTGCACTCCACCTTTCAGTTGATGGAAACTGTGTTAAATTTGAAATACCCTTTGTTATCTCCAGGTAGACCTGACATGTGAACCTGTTTACAAAGGGGAATGCCCTCAATTTAGGCAGATGGTCATCAGTGAACTCAAGAAACCTTTTGACCAAGAAGAATATGAAAAGTTGTTGCAGGATGTCAAGGAAAAAAAACCAGTGGAAAAAAATTTGGAGTTGAGGCATGGCAGAGATAGAACTTGCCCATCAAGTAGAGTAGGAAAATCTTATCTTGAGTACCATGAAGGTAAAATTACATGCTCTTCAGATCACTTCTCCGGATTTAAGCAATTATTATCCTTGCGTTTTAGAGTCGTCGAAACTTCCATTCTGGTTTGGTGGTGTTGGTTTACATGCGACAAAACATACTTAATCTGAGTTTCACAGTTAATTGTGATTAAGGTGATAGTTTGCTTCTTGTAGGGCCTGTTTGGAACCTGGAGAATACTAGGGAAGTAACATAGCTAGAAACATATAGGGACATTTTGAAAGGAAAGATAATCAATATTCCAAGCTGAATAAATAAATTTTAGTCTTGCTCAAACTCAGTAATTCTGTTATGAAAAGTCTGAGAAATGTAAATATACGTAAGATCTAGAAAATTATTAATATTATTTAAATGGAAAACCGCTCTCCACTTTGTTATACACATAGTACAGAATTCGCTCCCAGAGCCGCGACTTCCGTATTGGTACGAGTCGTCCCCAATCGCAAATCGCTTGCGATCCGATCGCAACTAGTACGGCGATCCAAATTGCGATGGTACGGAGCTCCAAATCGGGATGGTACGGCGATCCAAATCCCCAGGTACGTCGTACCAAATCCCTTGATACGTCGCACCAAATCCCTTGATACGTCGCACCAAATCCCTTGATACGTCGCACCAAATTCCTTGATACGTCGCACCCATCGCTGGTGGTACAACGTACCAGTGACAACTTCCTCTTCCCAGCGAAACAACGGAGACTTCCTCTTCCCAGTTTGCAGCTTTCCCTCTTAGACGATTTCTCGTTCCCAAGTCTTCGTAAATCGAGAATGTTCCACTTCCCAGGCATTTCCACTTTCCCAATTAAATATTTCTCTTTCCCATTCTCCTCATTTAGTATTTAATTTAAAATTCAATTTACAATTAAATATTATACTTATTTTTATCTATTTTTGTTTACTTATGTTTTGACTATTGGTATGCCGGACCAAATACATGGTACACCATACCGCTTCGTACCGAAATGAACCTACCCCCATTCATACCGAATTTGTTACCTCTAGCGAATTTCGTACCCGTACCGAAACGTACCGCGATTTATGTGACTATGGTTATACACTAGCATCTTGTTTTCTATAGCCAGCTGTGTTTTCTTGCTCCCTGTTAAATGCGGAGTACTTATTTTCCTTAATGATTGTTATATCAGATCTATGCTTGTAGACTTAATCCCTTGAAAAAATTGAAAATATTATCTTTAATTTCATGGTAGTTTGCTTAATTTTATATCGGATCTATGCTTGTTGATGCACATTACAATTTTTCCTTAATTTCATAGTAGTTTAGTTTGCAATATCTTAATTATGTTCTTTAACATGATGAACTCACATGGAGTGAGGGTCATTTCCATTTACTCTCCTTCATTGCTTAATCTTGCAACTATGCTCTGCTTCTTACTTTTTCTAGGAAATAAGATTACCTACATTCAAAATGAAAAATCCAAAAGTTGATCTCCTATCACATAGAGACCTTGCCAAGTCTTTTGAGAGCAAAACAATCTTTTCGGTATGACCTGTCACCACCTGTGTTTTCATAAAATAATCCACTCATAGGAGACCCATTAAACTATTTTAGAGTGTGATTTTTAAAGAGAGTTATAAACTTAATCACAAAACTAATTGCAAAAGCGATTTATACCTCAGTTTAGCTTGCCTACCAGTCTTAGGTACCATTCTAGGTAAGATTTTGGCTCCCCTTTCCACCCATTGTCTGCTATGAGGAAGACGGGGAAGTTAAAAAAATAGTTGATACTCACATAATTATTCTTTCTCATTTCCATTATCTTCGATTGAGCCAAAATTTCACTATTTCTTGGCTTTGGAGTATGATGGAATAAAGCAAAATGGCTCTTTAAACTCTTTATGCTTCTTTTAGTAGTGAAGTAGCAGTTAATCAATGCAACTTTCGACACTCATCATCGGTCATCCGGAAGCAGCCACTCTATGTTTTAAACATAGAGGTCAGGCTTCGTACGTACCTATGGTGCTTGAGCCAGGGGTCTCTTTAGAAACAGCCTATCTATATTGGACTAGGGAAAATGTGCGTACACACACCCTTCCGGCCTTCCCAGACCTTACTTTTGTGGGATTCAATTGGGTTTTGTTGTTGTTCTTTAAAAAGACCATTCAATGCCTGCATTGATGTGAAATTTATGAACTTCTATATTTAGAAGATCATCAGATGTCTTTCTTGCTTGATGTGTATTGTATGGGTTGATGATAAAGAAACTGACTCTGAATATTACACCCCCAACGCCAATACAAGTTTCCGATTATGAGAATGATGGCTGTGAATGACAATATAAAAATATATGGAGAACGTGCTTATCACATAGAGAGAGATATCACATTTCTGGTAATCTCCACCTATCCATTCTTATTCTGATACCATTTCCTGACCATGCAGATTTTAAGAAAAAACTCGAGCAAGCGGGTCCTAACAAATATGAAAAGTTGAACATCTTGCGCGGGTTTTTCTTCTGGCTACAGGTGAGCAGTTTGTTTTTTTTTTCTCTGCTACTTCAAAGATAATCTATTTTCGGTTGATCTTTATGCAATCCTATTTTGCTTGAGCTATAATAATATTGATGCTTCAAAATTGCCCCAATGATTTGTACAAGGAAATCAAAGATGAAAGGATTGGACTATTGGAGTGAAATACGTATAGAAGATGATGATACTAGATAGGAGGTTTCCTTTAACTTGCCATAGTTGTGCAAAAAAGTAGGGGAAAAATGTCATTTCAAAGGGATGAAATAGAAAGATATAGATGTTGAAATGTGCACAAACTTTACGTTTGTTTTTTCATGGTCTGGAGGAGTAAAGAGCCCATTTCGAACTGGGAAAAATTAACCTTAAATCTAACGCAGTTTTTTTTTTTTTTGAAGAAAATATAAGAAATTAAATACGAAGTAGGAGATACAGAGGTTGTGTACACAAACTTTACGTTTTGGTTCAAATTTTTGTTGCAGTATGCCCCTAATGCAGGAGCGTTCAAGCCTTGGAATGATCCCACATGTCTTGCTGTCATGCCTGGTTAACACTTCAAAATGCTTTATCTACTTCCCAAGATGCCCTTTTTCCCTTCCCTTTTTGTATTGAAAAAACATGACCCGGCCAGGGCTATTAGTAAATTTTTGTATGTCAACTATATGGTTTTTTTTAGTACGATTAATTCTATTACTCTGTATAATGTAAAATATATTCATACATATTCTCTTAACTTGAAACACAAAGTCAATATCCCCACTGAAAAGAATATGGACCTTTCATTTGAGAGCACCACACTTATATTGCTTGACTAAAAAAACTTTACCTGAATTATATGGATTATTATTATACCCCCTCCAATCCAACAATAAACTTCCCATTTTGAACAACGCGTAAAATCTTATTTTTTTAAATTATTTTATTTATAAATTGGGATATCATAAAAAATACTCCGTATAAATTACATTCTTTAAAACTTTATCAAATACTATTTTATAAAAGACGTGACAAGAATATTTGATGAAAATATTTAAACAAATATAAATTATCAAGATGCTATAATAGTAAGTGGAAAATTTATAGTTGGACAGAGAGTACAAAGTAGTCATATAATTTGTTTGGACCATTTAAAATTCAGTCAATAATATATTGACTTTTAAAATACAAATACGCTCGTGAAGTACTCTGTAATCGTATGTAAATTTATATAATGTGGGTAAAAGTTCTTGTACGCGGAGTATATATTTATTTAAAGAGAATACAAGCACACTTTTTTACAGATCTTACTTTAAAAATACAGATTTGGGCATATTATTGGGGAAAAATACATAGCAAAATTACTAACAAGGGGTAAGGGTTATCAATTTCATCCATCCATTCCGTGCTCCGGTATCTTTAACACTTCAAAATACTTCTAACCCACATTCAACAAATTAAAAGGAAAGACCCAACACAATTCAAATAAACTTTTGTATTGTTTTACCTAATCGTATTACAATGCCAACAAACTTTGACCTAACCCTAAAAACCTAAACCTAAACCTAAAACACAAACTAAATCCTATACCTACAACAAATAAACATTGCTCTGAAAACCTAAACCCTAAAACACTGCTAACAAACTAAAGAATCATTCACTTGCAACAATGAGACTCTTCTGAAACATGACTTGTGCTCATCATTTCACTTGGGCTGTCAATGGACAAATCTTCGGTTCTGTTCCTCCCTCGATTGAGCAGTCGAATGGGTTTGATGAGCTCATCTGAGTCAGAAAATTGCAGAAAAGGTAAAGGGCCACCCTCCTCAAATGTTTCCTCACTACTCTGATCAATCATCATCATGACCTGTTCGTCTTCTTCGACATTACTAGCATCACCTAAGCTAATGTACTCAACTGACCTCCCTTCTTTGAAAAAAGAGCTTCCTTCATTGTCCTCCACGGAACACATCCCAGATGTGGTGGCCCTTATGCACTCACTGAGGTCGATTTGGGGAGACCCAAAATACCGACCCCAATCGTTCTTCCTTTCATTAGAAGAAGCTCCTCCCCGTTTTACTCCCTTGCTTTTGCTCTTTGGATGGTGAAGCTTGCAATTGGAACCTTGGGGGCAATCTCCCGTTGCTTCAAAACTAGGGCATACATAACTGTGTTTCTTCTGGCACTGCAAAGTGTAGACATGCAATCCATTTCATGGGTTATACTATTAGTGAGATTGTGTTCCTTCAAATGGACACACACACATGTTTGCCAAAACAATTGATATGGAGATAATGGGCATCGTAAGAGGGAGAACAGACAAGTAGTATTTACAACATCAAACAGAAATAATATATTTGAACACACCAAATAAGATAACAAAGAAAAGCATATGCCTGTCTAAAAAGTAAAAACCACCCAAACAAAAAAATATAAACCAGAATATACAACTGTGATTGACATTTTAGTGGAGAGACTGAACTTGAAGTGTCAAATTATAATACAATAATATTAATAGACATGCTTTTACCCTCTCCCATGATTTTTGCTTTTGGCACAGTAATTAGGAAAATGAAATTCAGTTGTAAAAAACAATATCAACCATGAAATATTTAACTTAACATGATAAAGGAAAATATATTTTTGGACAGGTAGAGTATATAGTTCTAGGATGCAGGTAAACAAAAGAAGTCCATTCAAATAGCTAAATGTTGCTCCCTAAACAGCCCTTACAAAATGGAGGTTGTTAACTTTTCTCACTATGCTATTTGCATAGTTGCACCCTTTTCCCTCCTATTCTTCTCTCCTCCCTGTCCATTATCAAGTTCTAAACTGATAGAGAGACCACATTATACATAATGCATGTCAATTCTCGGCCACTAGCGTAGGTGGGAACAGAAAACAAAACAGGAATACCTCATTTCCGTCAGAACAGTAACCCTTGAGAAAACCATCACAAACAGGTGACTTTGGATTCACATTTACATGTCTATAAGGACAATTTTCATTAGAGCATAATCCTGTCGAAAAATACTTGTTAGTGCATTACGAAGTGCACACACAACCTCTCATTGATTTACCTTTTCAAAATTTAAGTATGCAATGCCTACCTTGAAGAAAATAAGAGCAATCTTGCATTCTCTCAGGAATGACCTATGCAAGGAACACCCATGCAAATAAATTCAAGATAAAAATATAAAAACGATTAGAAAACAACAGAAGAAAAATAAATTAAAATACAAAAGTGAAACTACCAGAAGCACTCTGAAACTAAAATACCTTATGGGTCAATTTGCAATCAGGATTGCAGCATGAACCACTCAAAAACTTGGTGCACACTGCAATTTTTGAGGGGTCGTGGATGTAAGGACACTTTCCATTATCCTTGTTACACTTGCCAAACCTTGTGAAAAACTGGCAATACTTGCTCTTCTTAGCCAACCGCAACCTAGCAGCGTGCAAACTCCATCGGACTTTCTGATTTGCAAAGATGCGGACTCTTCTTTTTGGATTTCTGACCAGCTTATTACCATTGCCAAGGCGCACATATCTACAAGATAGTCCAACAAACAGGAACAAGACAAATATAAAGGAAAAATAAACACGGCAACAATATGTTTTGCAGTTCACCTCCATTTCTTACTGGAACATACCAATCAAATAAAAGGCTGGGAAGTAGATGAAAGTAATTCTTATGTACAATTTTTTATTAAAAAATTGGGTTATTAAGCATTTAGCTGGAAAACCCAGCATGTTTTAATAGAGAAAAGACAAGTTAGGCATGTGAACAGTAAATTCTATACAAAAACTGCAAGAAAAAGGCACTTGCAGAAGATGAACATTGAACATAGATTCCAAGGTTATACTTACTCATCATTCCCGATCAGCAATCTCCTTGGAATAGGTAATGTCTTTGTATTACTATCACATCGAAGAACATTCTCTGGCTCTTCATCTGTAAACAGAGTATGAGAGCTTCAACTATACAAATCTGTATACAAATGTATCCAATGCAATAAAAAGGAACAATGCCTTTCACGTGGGTCCCGCGGCACAGAATTTCCATGCACAGATGGTGAGAAAGGAAGAGAAGTTCACACAGTTCCTTTCTTTTGTCGTTGGGTCTTGTGGACCTGTGGCACAACTAGAAAGGAAGGGAAATTCCCCGCTACTCATGTGTCAAATTCATTACTTTTATTAAAAATTACTCCGTACTTTTTTCACTTCTTTACCCACCAAAGCACTTTTGTTCAAATCCTTGTTATTTTCACTATTTATCGTTAGCAAAAACCCTCACACTCTCTTTTCCTTTTCAGGAGTGTAGATTGAGCAATTTTCAAGGCCTTTTAGAATTTTTTCTTTAGTGAATTCTAACTTCAAAGCACTTAAGATATTTTTCCCACGTTTACCCTTCTACTCCTGAAATAAACTTCACACTTTCTTTGTTGGCTGTTACAAAAAAACTCCACAGTTCTCTCATTTCCGTATAAGAAATGGAATATATGGCTCACAATCTTTCTCTCATCTAAATAAATTTCAACCATACCCATTTCACTTAACACGCCTCTTAAACTTTGTCGAGTCAAAGAGTGCAGTTTATACCAAGAATGAGGACAAAGGGAGCACTATTCAATTTTATCATTTTCACAAGAACACCGTTAACAATAGGGAGGTTTTTAAAGAGGTGAGTTGACTATTTTATCGGAACAAATGACTAAAGCAAATAAGAAAAGAATATATAGTTTGACTGTATGAATATTAAAAGTGAAGTTTGAAGTTTATTTAGGAAAGGAGAAAACAAATGTTTTAAATTTGTATTAAATTACTATCCCTATTACAATTTCTTAAACTTGCTTAACTTTTTTACATTTTCACCTATAACCTACCTACTTTACATCTCTATTTCTTCTATCTCCACCAAACACAACCTAAAAAACATCCTGTATGTGGCACCTAATTACACTTAGGCGGAAGCTACAGGAAATAAAACTTGATACCAGTAATACTCTTTCATGCTCTCAAATATAGTTAAATGGGGTGAGGTGTGTGTGTGTGTGTTGTGTGTGTGTGTGTGCGTGAGAGAGAGAGAGAGCATATTCAGCAAATCAGAACCAGACCACTAGAAATCCTCTGAAGTGTTTTCCCTGTAGGATCCATTCTGTAGCGTTCAGAACCTATACGGAAAATCCGCTCGCCTGTGAAAGAATTCAGATATAATTATACACATTCAGCCAATAAAATCTAGAGATTAAGATGATGCACACTATGGAGTAGAATAAGTGTGCACAATTCAATATTTCAATGACATGCCTACCTGGGAGAAGTGTAATGCTATAAGACTTACGGGAAACATTATTTCTGCTCTTCGAACTAGAAGTGACAATAATGTTATGTCCCCTTTTCCTCTTCTCTGCAGCAGCAACTGCCAATGTAGCTTCCTGTGGATAATTCGGGGGGAAAACACATGACTTTTAAGCATTTAAAATAAAAGAACTGATGTTTTGAACTCTTCACCCCCCCCCCAAAACACCGAATGGCTTTGAGAATACTGTTAACCAACCTGATTAGCTTTTCTTGAGTTCCTCTCAATAGATTTTGACCACTTCAAACNACATTATTTCTGCTCTTCGAACTAGAAGTGACAATAATGTTATGTCCCCTTTTCCTCTTCTCTGCAGCAGCAACTGCCAATGTAGCTTCCTGTGGATAATTCGGGGGGAAAACACATGACTTTTAAGCATTTAAAATAAAAGAACTGATGTTTTGAACTCTTCACCCCCCCCCCAAAACACCGAATGGCTTTGAGAATACTGTTAACCAACCTGATTAGCTTTTCTTGAGTTCCTCTCAATAGATTTTGACCACTTCAAACTTGTCCCACCAACGCTTAAAACTTTGGACCTTCGCAAAGAAAGTCCATTGGCTGACCTTGTGTAAACTGTATGTCTATTTCTTGATAGCAGTAGCTTTTGACTAAAATAGAAAACAAACAATAATTTCAACACTCTATAAGATAAGAAACATGACAAAATAAACATGGCAAATTGGCATTCTTCCAACCTGATGGCAGATAGAGAACCAATATTTTGAATAGAGCCTAAAGCATGGGGGGATTTATTTGTATATCTTTTCCATGGGCACCGGTAGGGTTGAAATTTTTTTAAAGAATTGCCACCTTCCCTTGATGAGCGTGCACCACTTAACGTCCAAACCAATGAAAGCTTAGAACTTTTATGTGCATCCGGAAAACCTACAAATTAGAATTCTACTTAACTACGGTAATCACGTCAATGAAAGCTGCTGCTGCTGTATGAGGAGCAAGTTATCAAAAGGAGCCAAAGTCCAATTTAGAAAAGAAAATCTGTTTATACATAAGATAAAAACAATGTATTATGATGGCACACTTCAAAGACAGTACTCAGGAAGTTCTAAGATATAAGCTTTTGACCCAAATTCATCTCCCAAATACTCCATATAAGGAACATATGCATAACATATAAGACAATGATAGCTATAATTCCTTTCTGCCTGCAGTACAGACATGACTCACACATAGAATCAATAACTATCAGTGCCATATGAAACATTAAATACATGTTTCAATCAACTTATTATTAAAAAAAGAACCTCTATTGGTTTTCACTTATATGTATCATCTACAGCTTACTTACACTTGAGTATCCCACATCATCCCTCAGACCAAAAGAGTTTAAGGTATGGGTTTACAATATGGCATGGGGTGAATAATTAAATTTTCATGAAAAAAATAAAACAATAAGTAGTTTGTTACAAGCACACTCTTACCAATTTGCCTTTTGGTGACAGCCTTCCCAGCCCCTTGCATCCCTGTGTTTGAGCTATCATCAACGGGAACTCTTGAGTTAACATGGTTTTCTGCACCTGTGCGAACCAGCTGATTATTTCTCCTTTTACAATAGTAGCCATCAGAAGATGACGTTGGGGTTGTGTCCCGAGCAGTAACTAGCTGGTTTGATCTTTGCTTCAAATTTAACATCTTATTTATAGTCTTGCCTCCATCCAATGTGTTCTCACCCTCTGATTTGTTGATTGCGTCAGGTGGACACTGGAAAGAATTGACAGCATCCTCAGAATGTTTTTGCACCCTAGGCATGGCTGTCACTTCCAACCCATCCTGTTCTCTAGCCAAACTGCTGCTCCCAGACTGATCCACTACTGACAAAGATGTTGGCTTGCCTACATTGGTACGCATGAAATTTAATGGTTCACTGTTGAGGCTCTGAAGAGAAGTAATTGGTCCAGAAGTTTTCAAGCAACTTGTTGGTTCAGTGATTTCCACCACATTATCACTTTTGACCTTCTTAACATCCTTTAGACTTGAGGAGTTCAGTCTATAAACAGAGGAACTTGAAGCATGGTATCCAGGTGTCATGGTACTAATGCGTGAAGAATTTCTAACAAGAGCATTACCCTTGCGGATGTAAGAATTCTGCATGCCCAGAACCTCATTTGGTGACTGGCTCTGAGGACGAATGGAGCTGACTTGAGACACAGATGAGGAACTGCCAGTACGATGCCAAGTCCGTGGTTTGGCAACATGTCTAGGTAAGGTGACTTTCTGTGAAGTTGTAAAGCTTACTGATGGGCTGCTAGAGAAGACCCTAGGGACTACAGAGCTAACCTTGTTATTGGTAAAATTTGATCTACTTGGTACTGAAATCAAAGTTTGGAGTGGTTTACAAGCATCTGGGAAAGAAGACTTAGATACTATGGGTTTACCACTGACCGAGGGCAAGGATGGTGAAGTTGTTATATTCATCGGAAGATTTACACTAACTGCATCACCACCAACTTTAGGATTATCTGTAGACATCTTAACAGAAAAAGATACTGCATTGCCTGTAGAAACTGTAGGTTCATTTACATATCTATCTACCTGAGGAACAACTTCATTTAGCGCTAGGCAAGATGATGATTTAAGGGTTGAGATGTCAGGAATACAACTTTTTATTTCAGCACTGAAGTTCGAAGTAGGTAAACCATCACAACATTCACCATCTTCTATAGTTGATGCCATATCATTCAAAGAAGTTTGCTCACATATCCTGCTCACACTGTCCAGAGTACAATTCTGATCATTGCTAACTGACACAAATGAAGTAGCTTCTTTTTCACCAACTCCCATATGAAAGAAAGATGGCACCTGCTCAAATCCTGACAATGCCTCTGAAAGATCAACCTGCGTAGTGTCAGCCTGTAATGATGCTCTGGTACTATTCTTCTCGTGTAAATTGATTATTGGCCTTGTACAAGGTGGCAGAGCATCACTACCATTTTCTACTACTAGAGAAATTGTGTGTGTTATACCATTGTCACCATCTGAAAGCACTGGTGCTGATATACTAGCTTCATCAAGTACCTCGAAACATGTACTGGGGTGACCATGTGTAGGAGAGGAGATCTTCCTTTTCTTCGAATTCCTGGGAGAAGTTACAGCTGAATCAGTTTCCGAATCATTCCATGGAAGCCCTTGATGTGACTGGCCTCCATACAAAGAGTTGTCTCTATTCACGTCCAAACTCAAGTCCACAGAGCTACAAGAATGCATAAGTTCATCACTTGTCACCTGACTGGAAGAGGTTGACAGAATACCCAATGCTTTCCTCTTCCTTTTAGCCTCAGGTAAATATTCCTTGCCCAAACATAAGTCATGACAATCCTCACCACCAACCAAAGGGGCTGGAGAGCCATTGCAATGGGGGCGTGCTTCTCCAACAATATTAATGGGGGAACAACTTTGAGAAAGAGCTTTATTGTCCATACAAGAACAAACAGTATCAGAATACACTCTGGTAGTGGAGCAAGAGTTGGAACAGCTTGCACATAATAAGCCTTGATGAATTAAAACTTCCTCAGTATTTGGTGAACCAACTTTAGTAACATCTCTGACCGACAGAATGCTATCCTGAGGACCTTTGTGCATGTCATCTGTATGAGGAATAGTCAAACTTTTGTCAAAGTGCTTGGAATCTTCATGCAGACATCCCACCTCGGCAGCAACATTTTCTGTTTGTTCAGAAAATCTCACAAGGGTCTCTGGAGCAGCACACACATCTTCAGTTAAAGAATATATGCTTGTGTCGCCATGAATAACACCTTCCTCTGAGCTTGGTGAACACATGTGACCATTATTTTTTATTGAAACCATATACACATCAGACTCTTGAACAAGACTTGTTTTAATCATTGAAGTCTGATCCTGAAAACCGTGCTCTCTAGCATCTTTATCAATGATGGGGCCAGTTTCTGTCTTCGGCGGATCAATTGTAAATTTCTCGGAATTGAACACAGATCTGTTTTCAAGCAATTTGCTCTCAGAAACAGAGTGTTCTTTAATCTTAGTATCCACTTGGCTTTCAGAAACAGGAATCACAGACAAACAAGTCCTTTTTCTCTTTGACTTAAATGGGGTACTAGAGTCATTCTTAGAATCATCTGTACCAGAGTCAACGGGCACTGAAGGTTCACAAATCTTGTTAGCGTCTAGTTCTTCAATGGAATGGTGCGCTGAAGAATAGTTACAGTCTTCATTCATGCCAGCAGACAAAATTCTCTCCTCTGCACCTGTGGCATTCTCATCCAGTTCAGAGACTGAAAACTTATTTACCAATTTGTCTGCACTAATGACAGGACTATCACTAACCCCATTTTGCATCAAGCTGTTTTCATCCGAAGTGGAGGCCATAACATTCTTTTCCTGCACAATTTTTCTTAAAGAGGCTTCATCATTTTGGGTACCATCGGCTCCCTGATTCAAACCACAATTCTTAGTAGGAGTACAAGCATTGCTGACACCATCAGTTGCCTTCTCACTTCCAGAAACATTACCCACCAACTCTGTAGAACCTTTCTCAAACAGTGAAGGACAATCTGACCCATTTGCTGGATGTTCACAATTCTGAAAGTCTTTAAACGCCTTGGTTGGTGGAGAGTCAGACATCTTAAGTTTCTTAATCTCATGAACTCTATCCACACTCTTTTTATCAGATTCAGCTGCTGGGCGGGAGGGAGCCACAATAGCCTTTGCCACAAGTGCATTAGATTTAAACGAAACATCAAGCTCCACTGGACTGTTCTCCCTTTCCTCTCCCCTTTCACCAGACCGGGCATTACCATCTTTCTCCTTTCCCCTTGATCCAGCTACACTCAAATTATCCACGAGCCCACTTGAGAAATGCAAGTCCTGATTTCTAGTCTTATTGTTAGTCTTTCCTAATTGAGTCCTAATGGGTGCAATCTTTTTCTGGAAGTGCTTTTTCTTAGGTGACCTATGGAATTCTTCTATACTCTCTCCCGCCCTATTGCTAAGCCTCTTCGGGTCAAAAGCATAATTATTATCAGAAGAAAACCTCCTAGACGAGGATTGCCTAACATCATCATTAACATCACGATAGCCCCTTCTTGGCTCTTCATCTCTGTCCTTCCTGTAATCAAGTCTATGTTGGATTGACCTCTCCGAATTGAATCTGAACTTATCGACATGATCATGTAAATAGAAATCTCTATCTTTTCTGTCCCATTTCCTTTCGTCATTATCTCTGAACCCATTATTTGCAACATAATCATCTCTCGTGAACCGATAACCCCCATTGTGTTCCTTGAGGGGAGGCAAAAAAGGGTCTTGGTGGTGATGATGAGGTTGATGAAGTTGAAACTTGGAGCCTACGTCGGACCAGGGCTCTAGGGTTCGCATAGGGGAATCGAAGAATTGGGGGTTTTCTTGGTGGGGGTATGAACGGAAGGCGAATTGATTGGGAGGGGGAGGGGGAGGTGGAGGAAGGCCATGGTGGTAACGGTTAGGAGGAGGCAGTGGCGGCTGATGACTGGGATGAGGCGGCGGCGGCGGCGGGTGAGGAAAGCAATTCGGGGAATCGGGAAAGTTGGGAGGGTAATGGACGTACCTCTGCTGGTGATGGTGGTGGTGGAAAGGCTCCATTCTGTGATTTGGCGATTTGAGAAACCCTAGACCTTCTCCTCCGCGAATCTGGAGAGTTGTAATTTGCAGAAGAAGAAGAAGACGATGAAAGAGACGCGGTATTAATCCAAGACAAACAGAGACGATAATTGTCTATGTCCCAAACAAAAAACAAGAAACAAAAATTATTGTCAACTCCTCCTCTGGATTTTCAATTGCACCCTACCAAATTATAGAGAATATACCTTGGTCCCTACCCGGCTACCCTAATGGCAATAAGTACCGATAAGGCGATAATATTGCACTTGTACCAATAGTATTTGTTCAATTTTATAATTTAAATCTCTTAAGCATATGTTGGCATGAGTAGAATTTGAACATTGGATTCTGAGTCCTAGTAGACAATCCTTAAGCAGAATCAGTTAGGGACGGTACATTCCCGATTTCAGTACCAAAGCGGGTTCCAATTATTTTATGTTTCATTTCCATATTGAAGAAATTGTTAAATATTTTACCGCGTAATAGTTTTTTTGTTTAAAGTTTATATGAATCGGTCTTAAAACATTTTGTGAACAATAATAAAACAAAAAATTGACCAAAACCATGAGTCCTTGTTCCATAATGTTAGAACCAAAATCATTTCCCCTCGGTGGTTCTGGTTTGATTCTAGTTTTTGAATTACTAATTTTAATGTTGGTGCTAGTTCCCATTCTTTAGATGATTAAACATCGCTTAAAAAATCTCAAAGAATAGTTCATAGTAATAATAGACGCAATAGGTATTGTGTCCTTGGGGCCAATACCTTAAAATGAGATCAAATATTGTTTTCGTATTTGGTTAGAGAAAAAAGAAAAGAAAAGCCGAATAAAATGAGAAGCAAAATGTACTACTCCATAAGAGAATGAAAAGTCAAATTTCTCCCATTTTGGTGAAGAAAATGAGGCAAAAGGAATGCAAGAAATGATCGTAATTGGGAGTCCCTGGAACTAATGAGTAAATTATGAATCTGCTAGTATATTATTTTCATATGTTTTTTTGATGTCATGAACCACACAAGGGAGGGGAGTGGAGGAGGGCACACCAGTGACAACAACCTCTCATCCAACACCCCCCACCACACATATACATATATATATATATATATATATATATATATATATATATATATATATATATATATGAAACCAAGATTTGAGCACACATATACAACCCAAAGAAAAGAGCAAATATACACACAAAAACTGCAGTATACACACACAGACACATATATGCACGGAAGGAGCGTACGAATCTTCGAAGACATGCATGGGGTTACCAGTCTGTCAGTCAGTCAAGCAGGCTAGATGAGCAGCTCCACCGCCCACTAAGGTAGTCTTCCAGTGAGATATGATGATGTTGATCGATGCTGCTGACCGAGAGAGAATCCTCCTCATCATCATCTTCAACCCCAAGCAATGCAAGATTGAGGTGCGAGCGCATGTGAGTAGGTTGATGATGAAGATGAGAGCTTGCATCCTCATAATCCAATGCATCTGAAGCAACTTCCACTCCTGCAGGTAGCTGCTTTGCAGGGGAACCCACCTGCTCTGAGCCGTTGTTCCCCTGATGCGCCCATTTGCTTGTTTCTGCATCTCCTCTGAGCAGCTTCACTATCTGCATCCAACCGAATTTGAACTACTGATAGTCTATTTGGATGCAGTGGGAGGCTTTGGAGAAAGTCACATGCAGATGGACACAAATCTTAATATACGAAGTATTTAAAAAGTCCCTAAAAGATGTTCCTGTTTTGACTTTTTTTAGTCAAACAGTAATACCTTTTGACCACCAATTATGAAAAATGTATCTCTAATTATGATGTAAATTTAATATAATTGGATTCATGTTAAAATATGGTTTTGATATATCAAATTTTTTTAACATTTATTTATTTAAATTATATTTAATTTGTGGTCAAAGGGTATCACTGTTTGACTAAAAAAAGTCAAAACAGGAACATCTTTTAGGGACGGAGGTAGTAACTTACAAGTCTCATTTGAGGCCGAGCTCGGGGATCACGTCTAATGCACAGAGAAGCAGCAAGAACCATCCGCTCCACCTCTTCACAATCACAATCACTTCCTAGGCTTGGGTCTAGCAACTCGGCATATTTCCCACATTCCAGAATTGGCTTGGCCTGTTCATTTTAGAAGTGCATATTCTGACTTAACGAGTAAAAACTAAAGAAGTTTGTTTAGGGAACATGGGGGAAAGTATTTTTCTTTTTAAAGTGAACATACCCACATAACCAGGCTCTCTTGACCCTTTGGGTAGTCGCTGCTTATAGGCTTTCTCCCTGACAAAAGTTCAAGAAGTACTACACCGAATGCATAGACATCAATCTTGTCGTTGACCTTTCCGTACATGAAATACTCTGGAGCCAAGTAACTACATCCACATTAAAGAAAGTAATCACAATTATGAGCAAGAATAATACATAGCGATACATTTACGTTTGTTTTTGGTAAGGAAAAAAATCAAAAAATTCTAGAATAGGGTCACATATAGAAATTGGATCATTAAACATGCGGAGTACTTTTTATTTTAATCATACTTGTTACTCTGACACATTAAGACATTCATTTTTAACACAATTCTTCATGTTTTGCTGAAACCTTTGAATGGATATTTGAAGCTATTATACCCGAAAGTTCCAGCAACATCAGTGCATGTAATGTGAGAGGAGGTCGTCGATGCCCATTTAGCAAGTCCAAAGTCAGAAAGCTGGGAATAGAGGTTAAAACTACACTAGTGAGACTATGGGAAAAGAATTATTAGAGAGAGGAGAAAGAGAGAACAGGAAACAGAAAATGATATAAGTTCCTTGCCTGTGGCTGAAAATCATCAGATAGGAGTATATTTGAGGATTTTACATCACGGTGAATCACAGGTCGATCATCTCGGTTGTGAAGATACTCCAGTGCTTCAGCAACACCAATAGCTACCTTATATCTCTCCTTCCATGCAAATGCTTGTAGATTTCTCCAAGTACCTAAATAATGAATTTTTCCATAAAAATTAAAACTTGATGTTTCTGGTTCAGATTGGCAGTGAACTGCACTTTGCAGGTTAAGTTTTCCAATAATATGTAAGGATGAAAAAAAGCATTTTAAAAGCATACCATGAAGATTATCTTCAAGGCTTCCTCTTGATAGGAAATCATAAACCATGATGAGGTGGCCGCTCTCAAAGCAGAAGCCAAATAGAGAGATGATATTTTTGTGATGCAAAGCAGTTATGATCTCAATCTCCAAAACAAACTCTCTCAGTGCATCTTCAGATGATTTTAGAATCTTCACAGCAATCTCTTTGCCATCAGGAAGAAGACCTCTGTAAACCTTACTACTTCCTCCCTTACCTATAACATTATCTGAAATTCCAAAACGATGTACATCAACAAGAGAGAGAGAGAGAGAGAGAGAGCTTATTGGAGTAACAACCACAGCCCAGTAGAATCCCACAAAAGTAGTAATTTGGACCAAATTATCCCATGGTGGTTTGTGGGGCACCTGCCCAACAGTGTGCACATTGCACATGCCAACCTGTAGAGTCTAGTGCACATTGCAACCGACCAAAACATCAACCCATTTGGCGGTCGATTTGGACCTATTTGCACATCTCTTTTAGTTGTCCAACCTAGTTTGGCCTGGGGTGTGTTGAGGATACTACATTGGTTGTCTAAAAAAGGATCCTTTAAGGTGAGTTAGGCTTGATTTGTCATGATGTTATGTTGAAAGTTGCAAGTTACTAAACCTGGAGAGAAAGCCAAAGTTGCAGACAGAAGTTCATGGTACTTGAACAATCTACAAGTTGCTGCATATTTCTCATGAAGATAAACTAATTCTTCAGGCAAGGGATGTGATTGTTCTGAAGAAGATGCATGATCAGCAGTCTCATTGCTAAAAGGATCGATGGCACCACTTTCTTCAGAAGGCATATGAAGTCTACTTGGCAAGCGAAGTGCCCACTGAACCACAGAGATCTTCTGGACAGTGGAGCTGTCTAAAGGCTGCCTGTTTGAGATAACACCACGGCGCAGCAGAGGCCAACCGGGTCTACTAACTTCAGGCAGTTCTTTTATCAACAGTGTGATAGAAGAACTTGAATCAGCATCTTGCTTCTCCACAGGTACTATAGACATTGTGCTTTCATCATTATTATCTCTTGAAGGTTCATCGGTTGATTGTGCAGTACACAAAGAATTATCAATCAAACTAATTGAGCAATTTTGTTTTGGTACATCCTCATCATGAACATCATCATATCTCAGCAATGCCTCACCCAAAGTCACGCGAGCACCATTTCTATCATGTAATACCTTCGTGCTCTTTCTTGATGTCCTATGGATTGCACCAAGCAAGCCATTCCTTTGCGGATGTTCAGCTTCTACATTCATAAATTCACACATTAAGGTTTCAGAAACAATTAATTAGGCATAATCTCAACCATTGCCTAAAATGTCCAACCAACCTCTTGTAGTAACTCGAGATGGTCTTGATGCTTCTCGGTGGAAGACCACTTTACCATTATTAACAGCGGAGACTGAGCAATCACTTGGCAGTTTTTTAGCACAGTACTTTGCGACAGAGGCTGATGAACAGATTCGATGGTGATTCCGTGATGTCCCAACTATTAGGTCTGTTGCTAGGTAAACATTTGCTTCGCGCACAAGCACTTTCCGAACCGATGAGCCTCTGCATATCTTAAGTTTGAGATCCACCTGTCGGTCGAGTTAGCAGCCATCAAGGACACTAGATAAAATGAGCTTAGCAAGTTCTTTATTCTTATTTTGCTAGAAATGGTAATACATTAATCCAGATTTAGTTCTAGAGTTTTCCTTTTTTGGATTCACCAAACAAATTATTGTGAATTATCAAAAAGGCTCCTTAAATGACATATTAACATTGTTGCCATTGATGAAGATAAGTTAGTTTCAAGGTTTTTTTTGTTATCAATTTATCATTTCTAAAACTCGAGGTATTATGGAATGTGGAGATTGTGGACAAGTCAATTGAGACGGATGGAGAATACCTTTGGAACATTAATTAATAGCCGTCATTGACTACTTAGCATTTCCAAAATGTCATTTCTAGTAAAAAGTTCAGATTAGATAATAGCTATAAATATTAACTGTTAAATATCAATTAAGGCAATCAAGTATGATTAAGGTAAACATTGATTCTTGTTTGAGTATATAACAATCATTCCTGGGCCACAACCACAAGCTTGAGCTTCTGGTTGAGTTGGTTCCTTGACATGGTATCGGAGCCTTGATGACCAAGAGGTCACGAATTCGAAACTCACCGCCACCCAGTTTTTAAAAAAAATTAAGGTTTCACGTGCAAGGCTCAAAGAGGTCACGCCTGCACGTGAGGGGGCGTGTTTGAGTATATAACAATCATTCCTGGGCCACAACCACAAGCTTGAGCTTCTGGTTGAGTTGGTTCCTTGACAATTCTAAATGTTAAAAAACAACATAAATACACTCGAGGCTACGTGGCAGGTAATCTCCACAGTTTTCGACATCCAGCAAATTGATGTTCAAATAAAGTACGGAGTAGATATGAAGGTGCTTGTGGAGAGATTACAGGAATAGACAACGGGACGCAATTTTAAGAAATATAAACCTGTTTGAGGTTACAAAAGCCTTCATAAACTGCAAGAATGGAGTCATCAAATGCCTTCACCAAAGATAACAGAGATGATTTCCCATCCTGATCCACAATATCTGTGAAGGAACAATAACACCCACATTAGTAGTTCACCTTACCAATAAAAAAATCCCAGATAAAACCACTAAAAATCACAGTTGAAGAGGAAAGATTAATTTCTCCTGTTGCTGCATTTCTTTTTACTTTATAGACTGTATATAAAGAAAGAGTCTTGCTGTTGGACCCACTGGCATTTCTAGTAATGCAATGTTGGGCAGTTAAGAGTTGAATTACTGATTACATACACAAAAAGGTTAAACTGAAATGATGGCTTGAAACAATGAAGGGACAAACAATCCAAAAATTTCTAAATCGTCCAAAGATTGGATTGTAGTACCATTGTCGCTGAGAACGTGAAGAGCAATGAGGCGATCGCCAGATTGCGCAACTTTGACGAGAGCCCAAGTGAGGAGCTCCCTGCTCCGAGCATCCAGCTTAACGCCCACCACGACGGTGCGGCAGCGGCCGCCGGGACCCTGCTCTTCTCCGACAGCGAGTAAGCACTGGAACATGGTCATCCTGGCTGGACAAAGGAGTGCTCAGATCAAATTGGCAAGCCGGATCGGCAACGAGTTTCATTTGGAAAGGAAAGATGTGGAGTTCGCATCGAGCGGAAGGTACCGGAGAGAAGGACGACGGTGGGCATCGATTAGACAGCGGATTGTTCAGATGATTGAGTGGCGGTTTGGTTGGTATTCAAGATCAATCGGGTACCAGATTTGAAGTGTGGCGAATTGAATTACGGAAATGAGTCAGAAATAATGGAAGGGATGATATTTAATGTGTGTGCGCGCTTTTCTCCTTGACCCGGTGGAAAGTCCATAGCCGAAATAATTACAGAATTTTATTTTTTATTTTTATATCAATATGTAAATAAAATCGATTGAAAAACGTAATATTTTACCTCGGTAATAGAAGTGTGACAAATATTTAAGGACGGAGGGAGTATTTCATTAATTTTTAGTCTCTCCAAAATCTTACTCTCTTTGTCCCTAAATATTTGTCACACTTGTACTCCCCAGATAAAATATCAAGCTTTTTCAATTCATTTTATTTACATATTGGTATAGAAATAAAAAATAAAATTTACATATCAAAAAACTACATGAAAAGTTCTTTGAAATAAGAGGTGTCAAGAATATTTTATTTTATCAAATAACCAATGAAAATGTAGAAATAAACAAAAGTTCCCACAACTGCTGAAAAAGCAAATGCTGCAAATATTTTGGGACGGAAGGAGTATAATGTTATCGTTCTCAACCCTCTTCTCTCTTTTTTTTATATTATTTATTATTTTTAATTCGAAACTTATACTACTTTTGTTCCTAAATATTTGTCCATTTTTTACTTTTTTGTCAATTATTTTTAACATTTGACCTATAACTAAATAAAATATACTCCCTCCGTCCTAAAACTTTTTTCCTACTTCCCTTTTTTCTCCGTCCTAAAACTACCTTCCCATTAGAAAAAAAAGATGACAAATGACATTAATACCATCATGTATTTACACAAATTATCTTCTAACTCTATATTTTGAATGATTGCAAAAAAAAATTTTCAAAAAATCTTTTTTAAGGAGGGTAAAATTTGAAGTCAAAGCCAAAAATTAAAAATGGGGAAAAGTCAAACTGGGAAGAAAGAATTAGGACGGAGGGAGTATATTATATACTAATTAGATAAAATAATATTTTGAAAATATTTGATATAATAAATCTTATAAAATAATTCTTTTATCAATATAAAAATCATTTTTATTGAATTTAAAGTCAAAGTCTACCAATTTAGTACTCTATTGCGTATATTTTTAAAACAGTGTTTAATATAAAAAGTAGTGACAAAAAACAATAAATAACATACCGAACAACATAAAATAATGGTTACCCAAGATAGAAAGAAAACTCTTAAATATGTTGCATTGTCAAACTTTCTCTAAATCTAAACATATGCATTTGTGCACGAGGCTTAGCTTAATTGGTCACTTAAAGCTAGTAATGTGTATGTTCGACTCCTGACCCTTGTAATAAAAGAATTAACATACGTTGCATGGATTTATTAATAAGGGAATTTCAATTTTTCATTTTTATTAATGTATGGATCAGGAATTCGAGGCTCATCCATTTTCTACCCAAGGTGTCCCTTCTCTCTTTCACTTTCACTTCTTTTTATGATTTAATGACTTATTTTTTATGAGTATATTTCACGTGTAGCTGCACTTTTAGATGATCACGTAACAACACACCCATCATATAACGAAATGTCATTTATAGTGTGATACTCTCTCCCCTCCATAATTTTTCTTTTTTTACTATTTCAACACCAATATGTTCATACAATTTAATTTTTTATAATGAAATTTAAAAGGTTTGATTATCAGTTAAATAAAAATTACTGCATACATTATATATAGTATATTATTATTATTTTAAAGTTATTTAATTAAATTCATCTTGTTATATGGGAGTCACATTTTGAGTCATGAGAGAGGAGTGTTTAGTCCGATGTCACATATATTTCCTTCATTTATTCCCTCCATTAATTTCCTTTATTTATTTATTTATCATAAATGCTAGAACTTCATTACAATCGACATTACTGATAACCATTATCTGTAAATAATATTTGTAAACTCTGTATATTTACAAATAATTATCGTCTATGTGTGCAAATTCACAGACGGTCGAAATCGTGATTTTAACCGTAAAAAAATTTCTGACGTATCACAAAAAAATTGTTACCTCATATTTAACAAAAATAACATCAAATAAATTATGAGTAATTAATTCTTGAATTCACACAAATAGGAGTATGTTCTAAAAATTTACTCTCTTTGCCTCACTATTTTGCAACATTAGGGGGTGACACACACACACTTCATAGGAAATTAATAATATACAACTTTTTAAAAATTTTTACTTTTGATTTTCTCACTTCATTTTTTAAAATTTTCGTTTTAAATTTAATTTTTTTTAATTTTTTTACTTTTATTTTTTACATATATTATTGAATATCTTTCAAAAAAATAATTTTTCTAACAGCCAAGTCCCAAAGCCACTTTCCTTGGCTTTCAGATTTTGGTTTTTCAGATTGAACAACTAAGTTAAAAAGCCATTAGCCAAACAATAGTTTTGGCTGTTCGAGTAGTCAAAAAAGTCAAAGTCGGTCAAAGAAGTCAAAAGCTATCTAAAAGTTATTTTCCACACACACTCCAAATATAACTAAAAAGAATACTTGCATGCAAATCAAACAAGTCATACATTCCTAAAAGTGCTACTCGGAGTAGCTCTTATATTGCCTTCTTTAATTGGCTTTTATTAAGTACATACATAAACTGATGCACATATCCATACACATATACATGCATAATAAAGCTAAGGGTGGTGGAATGAGATGAATTAGAATATATATATATATATATACATAGAGCATACCAGTCAATATATATGATGCTCCATTTTACTCGCATACTTTGATTGAGAGGAATTTAGCAAGAAAGCCCCCGAGGAGGAGGAAGCGAGACCTGGCCCAGCCGCCACGTGGCGCAATCTCAGGCGCCTTCGCACACAGGGGCGACACTTTCTTCACCTCCAGCATCATCATCCTTTGCCCAAATTCTTGACGCAGGCGCTCCACAACAGTCGCCAGATTCCCAGAAGAATCTGAATCTCTGATGTAAAAGACATTTATGCCCTGTTCCCCAACGGTTGAGACGCGGGCTCTTGTAACTACGAGCCCATTTTCTCTCAGAATTCTTGTCACGTCCGACAGCAGCCCTACTCGGTCATTTGCGCTTAGTTCCAGTCTCAAGCCCTGCATGCTTCACATGCATTAGTCTATACTCTATCCCAAGCCCCATTGGATTTATTTGTCCACTTTCTTGTTTTTATTTTTTCCAAATTAGTTGTCCGCTTTCCATATTCAATACAAAAAAAGACGAATTGTCTAAAATATCTTAAAGAAAAGGTATGAGCATTGTTGACTGAATGATATCCTAGAAATGAGGTATGAACTTTGTTGATGGACAAATCCATTTGGTGGACTTATTTGATATCTTATCTTAAGAAAGTGGACAACTAATTCCAATGGGAGAGAATACTAAACACTGCTATCTCCATTCCCAAATTAATTTTGACTCCACAGAGTATTAATAAAGTGTTGAAAATGTGAAAAGTAGTTGGAAGGAAAATGTTGTGTGTGTGTGTGTGTGTGTGTGTCTAGACATTGTATACTCCCTCTCACCTCACTTACTCTACGTTGAATAGCCGCTTCGAGACACTTGACAACTCTTTCCTTTTCCTTTTCGGTCTGCAAAGTGCATCCATCCATATGGCGTATATAGTATTCCTACCACCGCAGAATTGAACCTTAAGTTGAATCATTAGATAGTCTCAATGACATGTGAGGGATAATATCCCATAGTATATTGATTATTGAATTATAGTGGAACCCTAAGTTCACAGATTTTATGTCTTTTAGAAGTATATTGAATTATAGTGTCGAAATCAGTCTCTTTGCTCATGCTTTGAGGCCATGTAAAGTACTGCACAAGCATTAGAAATTGCGCAAGTCAACCCGAGGAAAGTGAATTGGGATGGAGGCGATAGAAAACTATAAACTAACATATGTCCTCTCGCCGTGTCTAAAAGAAAGAGACAATTTGATTTTTACGATTTAACATTTTGACCACTAATATCTATGATTATATTTAATCAAACTATATAAATATACGGTAGTATTTAAAAAATGAATCCAATTCAATGTCATTAAAGTTGGATTAAAACTTATTGTTATTGAAGGTCAAAACTTATAAACTTGGATCAGAATAACAAAACTGTGACTTTGGTTTAGAGGCGAAGAGACAACTTACCTGTGAAGCATAAGGAGCGTCAGAAGAGACAGCAGCATGGAAAACAACAAAGTGCATGTCTGTCAGGGTGCACACTATGTCAAACATGAGCTTAGGCCTGTCTTTGCACCTGACAGTTACCACCCAGTAATCCTTCTCTGCACAGTGATCAATTGCGACTTTTGGTTTGAACAAAGAAGAATGTGGATTGACAACCAAGTCATCCTCATCACAGTCCCTGTGATCAGCAAAGAACATCTGATGCAGCCGGCGGTCCAAGTGGGTCCTACCAACAAAGACGCTTGTCGTATGAGCTATGTTTTTTTTATCGTCATCCTCACCTGCTAGGAGAAGAATGTTTCTGAGGCGTTCCTCGATGACGGTCAACCTTGAACGATCATCATCATCCGTGGCTTTGTCAATATTCACATAAAGAATGCATGCTGTGCGCTGGTTATGAGTCCATACCTCAGCAGCAGCTACATTGAAATGGAGATCAGCAAGGACAGCCGAAATTTCAGACAGAAGACCCGGCCGGTCCCTGCCTATAAGCTCAATAGCTGTGTAATTCATTCCTGCATTTTCCCCTGGCCATGTCCTTAACACGCCTGAAGTGTAGCCCTTTGGTCCAAGAGCCTGTTGCAAAATAATATTGTTAATACATTCAGTCAATTTTTTTTTCTAATCCTACAATCAAAATGATTTTTTGGTTCATTAGATTCCTTGACACATGTTATAAGAACCTAACTAGGTGCATTCCTCTAGTGTAACAAGTCACGCCAAAGTCTAAAAACCCCAACCAACTTCCAACTCAATTTTATCCCGGCTCCTTTTGGTAGCCTTGTCTGCCTTATTCTTCGTAATAGTAAGATAACTCACTTTTGAGTAACTTATTTAACCAAAATGGATGTTATGAAACATTTTCAGTTTAGAAAATTCAAGAGATTCAGCCTAGCCTTAACAAAACGGGCAATACGTCTCAAGTGAAAATGTACTCTACATTTTGAAATTGGCCTTCATACTAAAGCCATAGAGGAAGACGAGTATCATACCTTTTCAATGCAACCAATAGTGTTACAATCTGTAACTTTGTTTCCATGTTGATCGGTGACGTGAAAAACTGTTAACAAAAACAATTTAGGTTGGTAAATATTTTGTCCATTTGTCCCTTGCATGTTTACATAGACAAGTATCAAGAAAGGAAAGAGGAGATAAGCATATATGAAGTGTCCCGCAAATAGCTTTTAGTGTGTTACTTGTGCAAATGGCCTTATTGCCTAGCTAGACAAAGATAAGAGATATAAATACTTGAGATAGACCCAAATGAGAGCTTGACGTAGGGCGTGATTCTGTCCAAAAGTACGGGAGTATTATGATAAAAGAAAAGAAAGACGACTAACCATCCATGAACCACCGGCCATCGGAGGATACGTAAGCTTTAGTGATAATGAGATCAAAATCAGACAATATTTGCACAACCTCCAGAAGTATTCCTGGTTTGTTGACACTATCAACCTATAGGTGTTGAATGAAAATATTCAACTGGTCATATGGGAAAAAACTATGGTGCATTATAACATTAAAACAAAAAAATTAAGTATCTGTTTGGATGTGATGTTTGAAGCTGTTATGTTTGCTGTTAAAACAGTTGTTTAACATTTGTGACTTTAGGTCTTTGCTCAATTAAGCCTTTGCTATTATAATGTCATACTCATAAAGGTATTTTTTGTACATAAAATACTGGCGTATTTGTTAAGAAAAAAGTAGGTATTTTAAAAACAAAGTTGGGGAGCATCAAGGAAAAAGTTAGAGATGCTGCAGTGATGTTTCAGAAGCTACACATTTCAGCTTTTAAGCCCCATTTCAACTCCTTCAGCCGCAAACACGGCTTCAACTGGTTAAACAAACGGACCCCAAAGAGGCTATCCACGAGGAAAAACAAAACAAAACAAAACAAAAATGGATACTTTGTGAAGACTTTAGTATATGATTACAATATTCTTCCCTCTCACAATCTACACCGAGAACCTTCAAATTTCAGAAAAAAACCTTTATCTCATTTGAAGGTTAATTTTTCAAGCGAAAGTTGGGAAATTACCTTCACTACGGTGCAATCCTTGCAGCTAATATTGTCCACCGACACCCTAATACATGTACCATTGCACGATTAAAATTATGAAGAAACAAATAATCACCAAATAACTGGTTATACTAAGAATTACTCCCTCGGTACTAATTTGGTTGTTCATTTCTCATAATATCTTATTTTTAATGAGAGAATGCCAAATAAGTCTTTTAAATGAATTAATACTGTATATCAACAATACTAATACAATATCTAGAGATTATTTTAGATAAGTGAACGTCTAATTACAGACGCTCAAAAACAGGCAATTAGACTACAAATCCAAGACAGACAGGAGGGAGTGAACCGAGTGACATAAACTAGCTAGTGTCTCATAGCATGAAAGCATAGAACAGAACGAACCTTGGAGGATTTATTCGGATGCTTAGGGTCTCATATTCAGGATCAAAATAAGGCGAACAGTATTCCTTCATCGCCGGCTCAAATTGCGTGCTGCTCGGTTCCAATCATCACCAAGGGTAGTTAAGTTGAGTGAGCCAACCACACAAAAGTCCTACAGTTATACACATACACTCGATCAAGAACACTGATTCACAAATGAAAGGCTCCCACCACACACAAAATGAGGGTATGTGTGTATGTATATATAGCAATATAGGATTTCTAGGGTTTGGGTGCAAGTCAAATCACAATGTGCTGCAAACAAATTGGACCATCCACCATCTAGCGAGACATTAACAGCAGCATAGATGCTTATTGACTGATGAAGGAGATGGCATAATTGAAGATATTATTCCTCTACAAAATTCCAAGCATATATGATCTCAATCACCTGTTGTTCGTCGTCCATGATCCTTGGCCACAAATATCAGGCAATTTTGAGGAGAGTCCGGTGCGGATTCTCCTCACTGGAATCTGATTTTCTGAAAATTTTCCATTGTTTAGAATTCTTCAGAATCAACCAATTCTTAAACTGATTCTGAGAATCATAGATAGCCAAACACAAATGAAAACAAAAAGCCCATGAGCTGGGAGTTTATGGTAGAAATTGGTAAATAAATTGCTAATTTACCCATCATCAACACATGAACTATGGAGCGCACAAATACATATACATATACATAAGCAATTCTAAACACTCTTAAGTATACACCATTTAAATTTTAACAACGTTTTTTTATTAACGTTGACATTTTTAAATTAAATTTTAATGATGTATATTAATTAAAAAATGATAATGCTTAATGATATTACCAGATAACTTTTTCAAAAGGCTAACGCTAACATCTGAGCCAAATGTAAAATAGACGCGATATGGAGTATGACTTATTTAAAATAATGAGTAAAGTAAAGTGAAAGATAAAAAAATAAAAATAAAAAAAGAAAAAAACTGCTTCGCAGAGGATAAAATAATTCTTCCGAAAAAAATGATAGAGAGGTCCTACCGGGAGTCGAACCCAGGTCGCTGGATTCAAAGTCCAGAGTGCTAACCACTACACCATAGAACCCGTTGTTGCTGAATTTTACATTACGCTTTGTAATCGTATGGTTACTTAAATTGATATTCCTTCTTTTTTTTTTTAAATGTAACGAGACAGTCATTTATCTGCATGAAAACTTAAATACTTAATTTTGCAAACTGAGAAATACTCCGTATTTTTACAACAAATTTTAAGTATCGTCTGTAATTAATTTCAAAATAATTTATATTTATTTCCCTTTTTCCTTCTTTATTTCATCTTTATTATATTAAGTACTCCATTATCTTTCAAGAAGTTTCTCATTCCATTTTACAATCACCTTCTTTATACTCTTTATATTATGTTATGGTATGTTTAAAAACTTGTATTTAGATCTCAAATCCAAATTTGACTCAAATTTCATGTTTGAAAATCTTTAAATATTTAGACTTAGATTTGTTGCCAATTCTTCTAATTTATAATAAAGTTTAGTTTATAATTTATATACCTCGGCACCACTTGTAATTTGAAATTCAAGAATTCAAATTTTGGAATTAAAATATATGAATTAAATTGAAATATTAGTTTCCAAACAATAACTTAATAGAATTCCAAATGTAGCTTGTATCCCAACCTAAGCTTGGTGAAACGCTGGAATGTCTTTCCTAACTCATGCAATAATTGGCAATACTTGTGATGGTTAACACAAACAAGTATGTTTGGTCAGAATTTTAATTTATTTAATAAGAGAGTAATGCTAGAGTCACAAATAACTTGGACACAAACTTCACAAACCTATCATTTATGCACTTTTCAAGGTGAATAAAATAATTTTAGGTAATTAAAAAATAAAAATTTAAATACACAAATGACAAGTTTGTGTCCAAGTTATTTGTGACTCTAACATTACTCTTAATAAAATTTGAAAGTGGTATGGTATGTTTTGCATAGATATGTCTTCTACTCGTTTTTTTATGCTTATGTCTTAATATTAGGTGTTGAAGTATTTTGATATATATAAAAAAAATTATCTAAAACAAATTTCATGTGGGATTCGTGTAGTTACCCGTCTTTTCAAATCCTACTAATAATCCTATTTAGGTTGTGTTGTCATGATGTGTGTCTATGTGACTGTTTGTATGTGCTTATAAGGTAATTTAAACTGTTTATAAATTATTTTAACTTGTAGTGCGATGTTAATTTGATAAAAGTATAAATAAATATTACATTGTAAACTATTTTAACTTGTAGTGTGATGTTAATTTGATAAAAGTATACATTTTCGGTTAATCATTTTTAACTTTTGACTTATAACTAAATAAAATATATATTGTACATTTGTTTAGAAAAATTAAATTTTGAAAATATTTTTTATAATAAATCTAATAAAATTATTTTAATATCAATATTTACTACCATTTTTATTTATTTGAAGTCAAAATTTACTAATTTTGACAGGAAAAAATCAAACGTAGAATGATACTTAGAAATAGAGTGAGTATTTAATTTTATAAATTATCTAAATTTCACCTTATATTTTTCTCCAGGGACTATCAATGACTTCCATTTATTTTTTAATCATAAATTTGAAGTCTATGTTTAGCAAAACCACATTTCCATGAAAAGTGTTAACCATAGATTTATCAGTTGAAATAACATTTTCCACCCTCCTAATTTCAATTTTTCAATTAAGAACAAAAGGAAAAAAGCCAAAAACAATTTCTAATTTGTACGCAGTTTCATGTATTGGTCGGGGGGACCGTGGCCGTGGGCAGCGCGGTGCACCAAAGTAAAAATCTGTTTTTTATTTCACACAAATTTCGGGCACCCTTTTTCCACTTTCTATTTGGGAACTGCTTTTCTAGACTGGCATTTCTTCCTTTCCATAGACTCCGCCTTTTTTTTTAATTTCTGCTTTTCATTCGCATCATCAGCATCCGCCGCCGCCGTCGCGGAGGAGGAGGAGGAGCAAGATTCTGTTCCACTGGTTTCTCCCTTGCCTATTAATTTATGTATGTGTTGCAAGTATTGTTATTGTTCCTCAACTAGTCAATCCTTAAGTCTTTATGTCGGTTTTTACTAGATTTCTCTGTCGATTCTCAAAGAATTTATTCTTTTTTTTGGGGGGTGAATTCAGAACCCAATTGATTGCGTATAGCTTGTTGTTTTGATGTGTCATGTGGGTTGAAAGAAGAAAGAATTGCTGTTCATTTCTAAATTGAGTTGCAGGTTGGGTATTGGCTTTTCTTTCTTCTGTAATAATTGCTCTGAATTGAGAGTTTATTGTTTTAGTTTCTGCTTCTAATTCCATAAATGTATTGGTTTTGTTTCACTGGTTTCTGGGTGGGAATTTATTTTAGACTCAACTCTTCCAAACTGCAATCTTGCTTCTCACTTTCTTCACCTCTGCTATGAAATTCTTCTTAAAGTGATGCTCCCTCTGTAAAAAAAGAAGGTAGTATTGTTTTTGTAACTTACTTTTGTCTTAAAAAATCATGTATGAACAAAAGAAGCTAATTTTCACCATATTAAACGTTTTTTAGTAGAAAAAATTGTACCTTTGAGAAAAAGAATTATTTTTTATGAGAAGGGTAGAGGAATCCTTTTTATGGGAAGGGTTGTTTAAATTGCTGTCAATCTGTGCATTTTGGGATTAATATCCCTTGTCTCTTACTCTACTTAAAAATTACTGGTGAATTTCAAAGACAATTCAATTAATTTTTGAATTTAATGCTGCCAAAACGAACTCTGTTGGTTTCTCAGCTTCAGTGAGAGCTTCATCAACTGAACCATGGCTGTGAATATTTCTTTCTGAATTTAAGAGAGGAAATTCTCATTGAATGTATAATATTCCGTCATGGTACCTGTTTTTTCTCAGTGAGTGAGCATTTTTTGGATGTTTCATGGGTTGGTTGAAATACTGACAATGAAATAATTAGTGCATGAGTCATTTCTCTAGTGACGTGGATATTTTTGGTTGTTTATATCAAGGTGATTCACAAAGAAGCTGTGAGAGTGGCATCATTTTTAAGTTGGAGAGTGATATAAGTGAGTGAGGGGTGGTGGGTGTGGTTCATGCCAAAGACACCATGCAGCTGTATCATCATCCGTATTCCTTGGACAGCCAAAAGGTTAGGCTTGCTCTGGAAGAGAAGGGGATCGATTACACATCACATCATGTGAATCCCATCACTGGCAAGAACTTGGACTCCTTTTTCTTCCGTTTGAATCCAACGGCTAAACTTCCTGTTTTCCAGAATGGTTCCCACGTCATTTATGATGCCATAGAGATTATTCAGTACGTCTTTCCTTCCCTTGCTTCTCAATACATTTATATAGAAAACCTTCCACTTTGGGTCTCTACAACCACATAATATTCGCTTTTGACTTTAATTTTTTCCACTTTTAATTTGGTGCTTTCCTATGCATCTAATGAGCATTATATGACTTGTAAATGTGCTACACCAATTTTATAATGTCCATGCTCGGAGTATGTGTGAAAAGAATAAATGTATACTTTTATGCTATTTCCTTTGTATCCTTTCATGGATTAAAGTGTTATTAGCAACAGAATGAAAAGAAAAGTTTAGCAGTGAAATGAACAATGTGCAATTATCAAATGTTTATGCGTTAATTTCATAATGAGCATGCTCTAGGTATGTGCAAAAAAGTATGAAATAAGCATTGTGTTACTTGTAAATGTGCTAGATGTTCAATAAACACAATTCAACAACAAACCCATTAAAATCCAACAAAAGTAGGGTCTGAGGAGGGTGTACGTATGCAGACCTTACCCCTACTTGGTAGTAAAGAGGTTGTTTCCAAGAGACCCCGACTCAAAATGTTCAATAAACACTATGCTTCCAAGTGTATGATGTAGGAACTCTACTGTTTATGTGTATAGCCACCTTTGGGATCACTTATCTGGTAAAAAAAAAGTCAACTGGAAATTATATGGAGAATTGATCAGAAAGACCAAAAATAAAAAGAAATATAAACAGCCTTGCATTCATAATTAAGGGGAGAAAAAAAAAATAAATGTTGGAGCCAAAAGCGGGAAGTACGCAATATTTGTGGATAACTATAGAACCTAAATACCGAGATAATAATTTCAACCAAAAACATTTTTATAGGTATGTCGAAAGGATTGCAGAGAAAGCGTCTTCTGGTGGCAATGACTCAGGCGTCAGCAACCAAGAAGTTGTGCAATGGATGCACAAGATTCAAGCGTGGGACCCAAAGTATTTTACCCTCTTCCATATTCCCGTGAAGCATCGTCTCCGTGTTTCTAAATTCTTAAGACGGGTGATAATTGCCCGGATGGCTGAATGCCCTGACCTGGCAACTTCTTATCACAACAAGCTAAGAGAAGCATATGATACAGATGAGAAGCTGGGGAATGATGATGTTGTGAGAAGGAACGAAGAACATCTCATTAAGATTCTGGACGAGGTAGAAGCCAAACTGAGTGAAACCGCATACCTAGCTGGGGATGAGTTCACTTTGGCAGACGTGATGCTAATCCCCATCCTGGCTAGGTTAGAGCTCTTGAGCTTAGAGCTTGAGTTCATCAACACAAGACCCAACCTAGCAGAGTACTGGGCAGTTGTGAAACAGAGGCCTAGTTATAAGAAGGTGATCGGAAGGTACTTTGATGGGTGGAAAAAGAAGACAACCTTAATGAAGACATGGTGGTTTGTCAAGCTCAGAAGCATGTTTCGAAAGTATTGAGGGTCACTGTGACTCCTAAGGTTGTTGTTTGTATTGCTGTTTTTTTTTACCTGTACTGCCCAAAATTCATTTGTCTTCAGAAGAGATGTATATTAGAAGAAGGGGAAAAAGATGGAATGTACAGATGGTAAGTTTGTGCTGTAATTTTTCTCATACTTTTTCTCAGTTTGTAAAAACATTTATATGTATCATGAAACCTATGCAATGAAATTCTGTGGAGGTCATGTTTCTTGTTTCGCGTACATTTCGGAAACTTGAGACCTTCATTAACTCCCCAGAAATGATTTGGGTGTGGTTTTCGCTATTTTTTGCCATTTCATTAGAATCATTACTGGACATTAAGATAGGACAATGGTCCTAGAACAAGCTATGTTACAAACACACATTTTTCCTTCATCCTTTCAGTGAATGAATGAACAAGGGCTCATCTGGCTGTACTTATTTTGTTGGTTGATTCAGTTTTCAGAACTAGCTGATTCTTGAAAACCAATTAGTCATCTACGTCTAAAAACCAGATTTTGGAACCACAATCATCGACTGATTATTTTCAAAATCTAAAGCAAAAGCAAAACTCTACTGATTTTGGGGTGAGAATTTTGCAAAATTGCTTTTCAGAATCAAAGTGAAAGGACTCCTAAATCAACTTCAAAACCTGATGAAGACTGGGTTCAAGAAGACTTTGATGAGATGCAAAGCCATAACGAATCGAAAGCACAAATAATGCAAGTTTTCCTCCAAATTTGATTCACGGAGACTTTTGTATGGAGTACCTTTTTTTTACAAGGCTAATGTGTTTTACCCGCAACTCAGCACAAGCTAACTATGGTATTATAGGTATTAAATTAACATATGAATTACTTCCAAATTCTTTGAATTCAATCTAATTATTCAAGATAGCTTTCATATTTAGAACAACCTTTGCATTTTAAAAGTCAATAATAAACAATAATCACTACCGGTATCACTGTCAAAATCAACACTAACATTGTTGTAAGTGTACATTGGCGCCTTGTGCGTACCAAATGAATGGAATATATAAAAACGAATAACAAATGCACTTATCTTCTCTCTCTTTTTTTTTCGAAGAAAAAATTACCTAGTACAAAGCCCCTCATAAAAATCAAAGGCCCCAAAAAGCTTTCTGTAGAGCAATGAAGCTGCTGACTTTTTGATTTAATTGGATGCACCAAACATTTCCTTTACCAATCAATGATTGGATTCCTATTGAACATGTGAACCTTCAAGTCGGGGAATGGCTAACCATGGTAACACTTTGTACATCCCACTCTTTATTTTATTTTTTTTGAATGTTTTCCCCTTTTGCTGCCACCCCGAGTCATAGGAGAACCGAACAATCTTTGACAATCAGGAGCTCCCGCGGGCATATGTAGGCAATGGGGGGAAAGGGTGGAAGGGCACAGCTGGAGCGACCACCCAACTCCCAAAGCTCTCATTTACAGGTACCCCAATCTTCTGTACCAAGTTGAATGGAATCCCATATGAGACCACGATGCGCGAAACAAACCGTTGTTGACAGTGTCCCATAACCGGTTGCTTTGGAGTGCAGTGTTCAACAGCGGGTGAAAATCCAGGAGGAAATTCAGTCTCCGGTAGGGGGTCATGCCCATTTTCCCCCCTAACTGGTCCTTCATCCCAACGGCTTTTACGTTTACGGGTCTTTGCCCCAATAGGCACTAAATGAGGGGTACTACAAGCTGCTGCTGCTTCTGAAGATTCTCTAGTAGTGGATTCAAGCCTACTATTATCCATGCGGCTGTTTTTTCTGTGTAGTGGCTTGGGTATCCACCTATCTCTAAAGTTTCTTGCAATTTTATGAACCTGGGCCCCATAGCACAAAGAGGAAAATGTATTGGTCAGTTGATGCAGAGTGGGATATTTGCAAATTAAGGGAGGGTAATTTTTAAAATAGATTACCTGTTTGTCTATGTGATCTGTCAATGCTAAGATCGATTCTCTAAAGCTGCAGAGTATAAGTTGTGGGCATGTAATTAGCATCTGATGTTTATACTGACTAATGAAGAAAAATAAAATAATACAAGAAACATTTGCGTGACAAATGTGAGACTGGAAAATAGACTTGTTCAAACCAACCTCTCTACTCCAGGCCGAGAGGGGACCCAATTAATGTGGTCAATGGTAAGGATCTCTCGCAATGCAAGATATTCCAGTACCTGAACAGAAGAGCAACCAATGTTATGGTGCCTAACAAATAAATGTGGCGACAACAGACACAGTGAACCTACTTCCTTTTTTTCATGAGTGAGTTTTGAAAAGTTCATTAAGAGCTTATAAAAAGCAGGTACGAAGATTACTGTACAGTGTACCCTATAATTTGGATTCTTCTTTAGTTTAGTAGCTTAAAAAGTTCATCAGGGACTTGAGAAAGATTAGGGCAGTAGCTACGTGGCAACCAATGCAAATAACAACAACAACAACAACCCTATTGGATCCCATGAGAGTAGGGTCTGGGGAGGGTGTGTGTACGCAGACCTTGCCCCTACTCGAAAGTAGAGAGGCTATTTCTAAGAGACCCCCGGCTCAAGCTGAAGTATTAACAACAATAATAATAAAAAATAAGAATACTTGTGCATTTGAAATATTAATGTATTCCAGGAAAACATTCCATTGACGTTTAACCAATAAAGGTGGAAAACATCCTCATCCCTTAAAGGGCAACGCATCAGCTTCATTAATATGCCATGATAGAAGTTGAACACAAATGGAAGAGAGAAGTTTCTACAATAAGTATTGGGTGGATTTGGTTTGTGTTGGGATATAGACTCAAAGTCCCAGAGACCCAGACCATATCCAGCCAAAGATAGGGCCCAGCCTGCCAGGATGGGTTGACCCAACAATAAAGCCGAGCAGGTCAACGTCGATGTATGCTCGGATGGAGCTCAGAAAGGCACCAGACTAAGAGACAGTTGTCTCCTTGTCTAGAGTGTCACAATATGAAACCAGCCGAAGCTGTATGCCTCAGTCCAACCATGGAGATTCCCATGAACGCATGCCAACATGGACAAACAGACGTGGCCCTAGGCACGGGCGTAATCTTGGCCACTGAGGCTAGTCAGCCAACAGCGCTACCCCTCAGGTCCATCATTACGACTCAATGCACGAGATAACTGTCTTACACTAGCGGACAACAAAGGATGTCTGTACCAAGGCCAATGCGAGCATGACAGTGTATGAGCCAAGGTGAGCATGAAACATGGTTGAGCCATTAGGGTCAGGAGCCTATACATAAAAAAGCAACACCACTTTGAAGTTTAAAGGGACCGGGTTTTGAGTGCTAGAGGAGTCACTACTTGTTACACTGTTGAAATAACCTCTCTCAAAAGACAAGTGTATTAGTCCTCTGTTCTCTGTCGTACTTAAAAGATGGAGGGGTGTTGAGTGTAACCTGCCTCAGATAATACACTGAGACCACTAAACTAAGAATATTACGGGTTCATCCCCTCCATTTTCTCTACTAGTCTACTCATCTCTTATTTGACCCATCTACGCTAAAGGGTTGTTCGGCCCTTTGGCCCAATCCATGAAAGAGTAAAATCCACCTATCTCATTTTGGTCAAGATAGAAACCAAATAGAGAGTCTATGTGATTGTGATTCTAAAATCCACAAAACCGCCCCACATATGCAAACCAAATACAGCTAATACGTCCATTTTATTGCCCCCGAATGGACCCCAGTGGCGTTTTGGATAAATTACAAGTGGCATCATGCGATGATAATCTAAACATAGACTCAATTACCTAACAATGGCTAGGAGCGACTACTCTAATTTGTCCACAAGAACTAGCAAACAGTTTAGAGTGTACCACACTACCACATGTATTACCCTAGCGACTTTAAGACTTTGAGCTATATTACCTTGAGCAGCTTTCGAAGAATAGGTGTCTTATTGAACTCCCTTCTAAACCGCTTTATAATGTTGTGTAACATCTGCAAACCTAGAAAGTACCAGCGGAAACCAAATTTACACTTCTCAAACATCACATACAGTATTTTACCAGACAAATTAAGTCCAAACAGATGCAATCAGCACATGGGTTCATACCGTTCTTGTTGATAATATCAGCCAAAACTGTCCTTGACTTTGTCTTCAAGAGTGCACCAAGGATCATAGAGAGCTCTCGGTTGCTGCAAAACACGTATAGATAAATAAATAAATAAATAAGCATATGCAGAAGGGCGAGGTAAGTAGCCTTCTTACTAACCTCTGAATTGCTTCCCCGTTGCCACTATCCCCTGAAGCCGCAGTCAAAAGTAGGAGCTTTAAGTAGTACTTCGGTGCATCCTGTTTCAAACAAAACGTTCTTCAAAATTAATTAAAAAATCAGAGTGCAAAATTTGGGCACACTTAGCATGAGCATGATGAAGATCACAACCAATGATAAGAAAAGAGCCTGCTATGATCATGGAAACTCAAAGCTGAAGACAGGAATAAAGTTCCGGCTCTAAGCAACAAAATATTAAAGGGCCTAAAAATTACTGATGCGCAGAAAACTTGTGCAACTACACAACAACAATATGCAATTGCCAATCAATTAAATGATTTGTTACAATTTTGCCTAGAAACTGAATACTACTTACATTGCTCTTGCTTATGCCACCATTCAGGTCTAGCAACTCATTAAGTTTTGCTTCCACTGCACAAAAAGTTACAAAACATCAATGTAGCCATGAGCCTCCATTGTCAAAGCTTACCTCAATAAAGAAAAACACAACTAACGGAAAAAGGGAGGCTAAAAGAGAAAACACTTGCCAGCTTCAAATCGGCCATTTGAGGAGCCTTCTACTAATTTTTTGGATTTATCTTGCATCATGCTTGAGATGTCTATCTCTGCGGTTGTTTTGGTATTCACAACATTGCTTGTGGACTTCATCACACAGGGTGGAGAACGAGAACGTTTTTCTGGAGGAACCTTGCGCCTTACTGTTGCAGATTTTGACTTACTCGATTTATTTTTATTGGTAAGTGTTCCAGAAGGAGATGCCATCTCCAACTCCTCTGGAGAGCAAAGGGACTTTAGATCTTTTTCATCCGCAGAACACTTTTGTTTAGCTTCAAAAATGGTTTCACTAGTTATATTCTCTGATGGTAAGGAGGTTTCCGGAGGTTTCATAGAAGAGCATGATGGTGCACCAGAGCCCCTTAAAACCACAGATTTTTCTGCAGCAGAAGAGGCAGATAAATTTAACAAAGCATCATTCTCTTCAGTAGCCTTCAAACACTCAACAGCAACAAATGCTTCTTTCTTTTCCTGAGGCTCCTTATCAGTTCTCTCTTCTGAGCCATTAAGTAAACTTGAAGCAGATTTGATGTTTTCCCACTCATCATGCATGTCATCCTCTTCACATATTACATCAGGCTCGGGAAACTCATCATCTGAATCATCCTGGATGATTACCTCAGCATTTTGGGGATCCCCACCTATATAACCCCGACACTGAGGTGTACCACATACACATTTTTTTGCAGCAGCACCAACAACACGTACGTAATTGTAATCAAAAGTTAACTCTTCACCCTGTTAGCACAACCCCAAAACATAAGCTATGATTTTTGTAACGCGAATTAATCTTTTTATTAAAGTTACTTTCCTAATTATTACCAATAGAATTACTGAGAGGTATGAAGGATTTGCGGGTGGGGCTGGGCGGGTGGAAGGGGCACTACAAGTTATTACTCCTTACGAAAAGAAAAAAAGTGGAAGTATGGAAATGCAAGATTAAGTGCACTTGTGCAGTATACAGAAGAAAAAAATTGCAATAGCACACATCTTTATTTTCCAGAACTTCACGAGAGCTTTGAAAAAACTTGCACTGAAAGTCAAATGGTGCTGCTTAACTAGCACGCAGGGGCGGACCCACATAGGATCATACGGGGTCAAGCGACCCCACGAAAATTTTAAATTTTTTTACTATATATATATATTTTTTTTATTTTTTTAATGAATACCTAGAATTAGTATATATCCTACAAAACGCTTCATGTTTCTACTTGCCAGCGCTGAAGGAGTGGATATCTATGTTGTTCCGTGTTCGCGTGGGCGTCTGGGCGATGCAGTGTTCGAATCCAGCTGTAGGTGCTGACATTACATTTTATTTTTAAGAAGAGTAAAATCTAAACGGCGTCGTTTTTTTTCTTTTCTTTTTTTTTTTCCGATTTCCTCTTAAAACCAGATCGATCGACACTTCCCTCTTCTGCTGTTCTGCACCAGATCTCCAGAGTCCAGACCTAGTTGACCATCCGATCGCCAAACCTCCGCCGATTGCCGACCGCCGTCCGCCGCTTGAAAGTTGGAACCGACGACGGCGACGAGAACCCCCCAAGGCCCCAATTACTCGAACAACCAGGTTTTTTCTCTTAAATTGATTTATCTAAATTGGATATTTTAATTTTATTTGTAAATTGTGATAATTTAAATTAATATTTATAAATTTGTTATTCTAAATAGCAAAATAGAGAATTGAATTCGTTTATTTATTTTGTGAGATTTTGATTTGTGATTTGTGAATATGTTAATATAATTAGGGTATGTACTTAAGTTTATAATGTTTTTAATTATTTAAATTTCAATATAGGATGCAAAGGTATTTTAAAAAGGCACCAAGATTTAAAGAGAAAGAATCGAGTGAGAATCCATCAAATTTGAACGCAAAGCTACATTATTAAGAATGGCTGATTTTTATCCAAGGGAGTTTTCAGAAGTTGACATCAAGATTTTAGAAAACCAACTTGAGAATTACATTTTGGATGTCCGGACTGATAGTAGATTCACTGCTTTGAATGGGCTTGTTGATTTGTCTATGAAAATGGTTTCTACAAAGAAGGATATGACATATCAACATGTTTACACACTCATAAGGTTAGCTTTGCTTCTACCGGTAGCAACTGCTAGTGTTGAGCGTGCTTTTTCAGCCATGAAGTTTGTGAAGAATGAGGTTCGAAACAAAATTTGTGACCAATGGTTAAATGATTGTCTAGTGACATATATTGAAAGAGATGTCTTTGCTACTATTAGCAATGATAAAATACTCCCTCCGTCCCAAATTATTTGTCACATTTCTATTACCGAGGCAAAATATCAAGTTTTTTCAATTCATTTTATTTACATATTGGTAAAGAAATAAAAAATAAAATTTACATATCAAAAAACTACATGAAAAGTTCTTCGAAATAAGAGGTGTCAAGAATATTTTATTTTATCAAATAACCAATGAAAACGTAGAAATAAACAAAAGTTCCCGCGACTGTTGAAAAAGCAAATGTGGCAATTAATTTGGGACGGAGGGAGTAATAAATCACTTTCAAAATATGAAAACTAGACGTTATCATTTGTAAGTTGTATTTCACATTTGCAATGTAGAACTATTTTTAATTAGTATTTTCAATAATATATATAAACTTTAATGTTATGTATTGTAGAATATTTTTTATTTATTGTTAGAAGCGTGATTGTTGGATATAAAGTTTCTAAATTGCGACCGGCGACCCCATGGTATGAATGTTCTGGGTCCGCCCCTGCTAGCACGTTATGGTACATTACCCAGCCATGAGATGAAGGTAACAATGATCAGTAATCAGTACATACACATGCAATAATAAGGGCCTAGAATGAGTACCTTTTTGATGTCCCTCACCGCAAAAAGCCCAATGCAAACTTCTCCGTTCACTATCCACTGTTTTAATAAATAATGAAAAGGTGAATGATAAGAGTCACCTCCAACTAAAAAATTCTGACACAAGACCCACCCTCACTGAACAAAAAACAGCTATACAACCATATCCAGAGGTCAATTAACATTTTAAAGCAACTATCCAGGAACAAACTGCAGAAAGCAGAGAAGTTTAAATGAGAAAAAGAATATATGGATCTGCTCATCCTCCCTTTATCTTAACTTGTCATTCTTTCCTAGTTTTCTGGCTGATGTGGGTAAGTGAGAATACCCAAGCAAAGAGAAGCATACTGTTATTTTGAGAACACAATACACGTGACACATTCAATATAAGTGAAATTGCTCAACCAACATTATACATCTGAAAATTTTCTTGAGTTTCAGATGCTTGGGTATGGTAATCTTGAACACACCTTTTCTAAAATATTTTTTATCATGTCCACAGATGCAGCATGTATCCTAATGGCAATGTATTCAACAAATCAGTTTCTACAGCATCAGAGATGCAGAAGAACTCATTCATTAACAAATCAGTAATGATGATATTTTTATGGATAATTCTTGCCCAAAAATGTGGAAGCATATGCAAGTTTAAAGGTTAAAACAGCTGGTTAATCATTTCTTTTCCTCCCTAATGGAGAGAATAACACGACTTCCCTACCATCTTTCATTTTAAAGTTCCTCTTCTTTGAAAAAGCAAGACTACACAGAGCGAGTGAAGCGACATGTTGGGCCCTTTTTTAGGAAGAATCCTATATTAAAACAACAGATTAAAGAAACAATAACAGATATACTAAATAATGCTGAGAGTAACTTTCTAGAAGGCAAAAGTATAATCAGTTCATACACCTTTTCTGTACGGCAGTTAGGATCACAGCTGTGGTTTATAAAGCGCCCCAAATTCCCTTTGCCACATGCATCAATAACCTGAAATACGAGGCATAATAAAAGTGACAGGGAGCCTTACATACAAAGTTAGAAAACTGATAGAATTCATAGTTCCTACAAAGAAACTAAGCCCTACTCTCAAGATAAGTATCATTCACCCAAGTCATTAATACTCTTATCCCTAATTTTTACAGATCATTTAACAGCTTCTAGAGATGATCTTTGAAAGTAAAGAAAATTTTAAACACAATACCTCACAACTACTGAGTGCCATAAAGTAAAAATGTTTGTGACCCTTCAGTGCATACTCCTTTTGCCGTGCCTCATAAGCATGCATATCAAGCACCTACAAAGCCAAAAGTCGTAGCACGTCAGTGAGGTGAATTGGGATCATAATCATGATCAACAAGTTTACACACATCCATTCAATAAAAATATCTGTAACTCCATGAATCTCTGCCCATAGAAGCATGATATTTTCCAGTAGTAGCAATGTTTTTACGTTCAACGTACATTTTTTATCCATATTGCTTTATTTCCCATCTTTGGCATTGTTTTTTATTTTAATATTATTCAATATCCTTATGATCTGACTACATGCATTCCCCCAATTGGTTTCCGTCACTCTATGTTCTTAACTTTTATGACGTCGATTTTGGAACATGACAATAACAAGTCTCGTGATGATTTATTGTTTATCCTTTTTTCCATTTATGTGGAAATAATCTATGAAGATGAGAATGATGATTTTTGACTTTTGATCTCATTATTCATTGTCATGAAGGTTGTAGAAGGGCATCCGATGTCAAGCATTGCAAGTATGTTATTTGCATTAATTTATACAACGACAACACCAACAACCCAATATAATCCCAACTCTGTTGGGGCTAGAGGACAATATGTACTCAGCCTTACCCTATAAGCGTAAAAACAAATATGCCGTTCCTACTAAACCTTAGATGCACATCTGCATATAATGCCCCAAACTTCACAGAAGTAAGAAGCAAGGGAAGTATAATGTTCCATTTTCATTGAATCCATTATGTGCCCAAAACTAGAACATTGTTGATAATGAATCTTTTATAGTGTTATTTTATAGAATTAAGGCATGTTCACTTCAACTTGTTCTTATCACTCATTACTTATTCTTATTGGAATCAGATCAGATAAAAAACTTCAGATAAAAAACATATTAACTTTAATTGGAATCCGATAAAATAGAGATTCAGATGAGATCAGAAAAAATCTTATCAAATCATACTTTAATAAATCTAAATCAAAACTAATACGAAGAGAACAAGCTCTTAACTGGCACGATAAATTTAATGCCACTGACCCCAACTAGTTGGGATTAAGATGCTTATGATGAATATGTTACTATACAGGCCCTAAATGTGTGGTAATGCTTTGCCACCAGTCCACCACTACGTTCTATTTTTGCATGAACTATGTGTTATGAACATTAACTTTATTAAACAATTTTTTACCACTAAGTGTCATGCAACCATTCTGAACATAACTAGGATTACGACAGTGGTGATGGCAATGACTAAACAAGCACAATAAGGAAAACATCACATACTAACTACTCCCTCCCAAACAGATCTTTATGTTGCAGTTTATGATGATGGACTAAAGTTATTTTCAATAAAAAAAACTATATATTCAAAAACTAAAACAAACGTAAGAGGTAGCTTACTAGTGAATAGTGAACATAAATATCTTTCTTAGATGGAGTGAGTATTTTGTTCTACAGTAATACCCAAACAATATCCATAGTTGTGAGTAAAGTCACCTCTCCAACATATTCAATGATAAAGGACCCTTCACGCACATCTTCAAGCAATTGCAAGCCATAACCCTTTCTGCCACATTTATACCATTTCAAATTAGCATAACTCCGTCTCTGAAACTGCAACAAAAAGTGGCCTAGGGATTAGCTATAACGGACGAGATAAAAAATATCTAAAGTAGTACTCAACCCTTTTTACTTGAAAGTTCATGAACCTGTTGGTTCGAACATTGCTCGCCGCATGGGCAGGACCCCGGAATACATTCAATATTAAGCATCCGATTCAAGCATCCATTTCCACAACCTATTCTACCACTTGAAGGTGTCTTACAATGGCAAATCATGATCTGGAAAGAGAGCATCAAGCTGAGAATAATTAGAGAAGTAGAAAACAAACATATATCTCTAACAGATCTATAGTGCTATGGTTTATTAACCCCCCAAAAAAGATGGGGCTATGCTTCAGAAAAATGCAGTAAAGAAATTGATGGTAACAAGATGACATAGTAGCTCTAATCTATATAAGCAAATAATGTAGACTTGCTAAGAAATTAACACCAATATCAGAAACAACGATTTAGATTCGATTCAAAATTAACCTCGTCAATGGTTTGAGACTTGCGTCTGCGGTTCAAAAATAAGTTTGACTTTATCAGTGTCCAAGTTGATCTCTGACAGACTGTGATCCATGTAATACCCGTAAGAAAGCTTTGCTCCTCAATAAGTAAATTTTTTCCATTAATAAAATAATAAACAAATACCAGTGAACTTCTTTCCCGGGGGATCACAATTGAGGCGTGCATCAAAGACATCATCCTCCCCAGACATATCGGATATTTCTAGTTCTAAATTGATCTCTGAATTTGATTTCTCTTGAGGGGTTGAGCAATCAGCAAAACGCTCGTCCAAATTATCCTTGCAAACCCTATAAGATAAATGAAATTGAAATAAAAATAAGATACGCCACCCCAGACAGTGTGCAGTGTACATGTCCCAGCAATAAAGGAGGAAACTTGGAAAACAAACTTCATGTATACAAAGTCAAGGTGGCATCTCACATCAATCATCCACTTCCATTCATTTCTCTCATTCCCAACCCAGCCCTCCTCCCCTTATGAAAAGAAGGAATATTATTTCCACATATGTGCCATAATTCGAACTTTGAAGATAAACCATTGAGCAAATTTATTTTGCTCCATAAAGTATACACTTTAATTGAGTACATAATGCAGTTGCTTAACTGCAATGTAAAATAAAGAAACAAGTGTAGTTGTAGGCCCTATGTTAGGCCAACAAAAAAACACTAATGCATCCAAGCTTGAAGAAGAATTACTCCAATGTAGCTTTTCTCTAGTTTCTCTAACGCAATAAGTCAACACTACAACTCGGATGAAGATAGATATGGTTAATTGATTGTTTCATCGGTCTCCCACTCAATCCCAAGTGGTTATGACAGGAGTAAGAAAATGGCAACCAAAAGATAATAAGGAAGGTTGAGAAAAATATGACATTTGAAAAAGCAAAATCAATAAAGGGCGTACAAAAAATTGACTATAAACTTCCATCCATCTCAAAACAAAAATCTCAATTTTCTGATGGAGAACACTACAAGTTTTATTATTTCATTATACCCCAATTATTATATAAACTGAGTGAAAAATAAATTCAGTAAACATCCTAAACGGCCGTCATAAATTTTCTGACGGAGGGAGTAAAAAATCAAAACATCCAACAGCCCAAAGTCCAAAGACAAGCATGGTATGACCGTATGAGACGGCACATATTGGCATATTGCTGGTACTAAAAGGTCTTCCTCATAATTATCACTGTCTGAAACGGGTGCTACAACAATTTCATTAGATATTATTAAAAGATCTGAAAAATAACAGGGTACTACTGGTGTACTACTAAGAAAAACTTATATATCATTTAAAATTCACACTCATATTCCCTACTACATTTAGATAAGCATGGTAAACACGTACTAGTAATAGAATCTCAATATTAATGATATAAAGATGGCATGAGCTTCTCTGCATACCATCTGCAGTTTGTTTCTTCAATTTTATCAGCAAGGGATGCTGATATCCGTCTCCACTTGTAACAATCGTCACATTGAACCCATGCATTCCTTGGTGGCACATGATTTGTCACCGTGTCAGTTAGGTTCAATTTTTTTGTTTCTACAAAATCAATTCACCAAAAGCTACATCTTCATATAATATCATGAATAAACTCTAAATGGAGTAACATTTTTAAGTAAAACACTGAAAGGCAGACTAGATTGTCATTCAAATAATTGAACAAATCAAGCTTAAACCTGGTTTATTTGTTGTTGGATTGCATTTGACTTCAATTACACCTAAATGGCCATGAGTCTTCTGCTTCTCTTCACACTTACCAACTTTCTTTTCCTTGTTTCCCTTCCTTTTAGAAGCATGTTCTCTCTTTGGTGATGAACTGCAGATTTCGGGCTGGCTGTTTCCAACTCCCTGATATCTTGTACTTTCTGGCGTTTTGAGCATGCCCAGAGAAGAAAGTGAACCATCTGTCATTGGTGAATCTCGTGACACAATATTATGGAAATTAGAAGGATTGACCCTCTTGCCGAGTCCAACCTCTGAAAATGCATTTGAATTTCCATAGTCATCCAATTTTGGTGAAAGTGAAGTCCCCTCAGACTGAAACTCATTGGTATCAACATTGCCAGAAATATTTACAGTAGTAGTTAAAGCAGAAGTATCACCAGATCCCTTAGGAACCAATTCATCATCATTCAGAGTTTCCAAACTACTCAACAAACCCTTTGCACATGAACCTGACATTTTCTCCATCCTCTCTTTTCCTTTTGGCCGGTCTTTTTTCTTCTTATTTTTAAGGCCCTTTTGTAGGGCACTTGAAGCATCTCTAGAAGAAAAACAAGCTGGGTCTGAAACTACTATATCATGCGAGTCTTTAATACCTTTTAGACTAATGGGAGCCCCAGAAACGGCATCTATCACTTCCGAATCCGGCGAAGTTCCGGGACCGGAGCAACTTTTATCAACAGGCGTTCGCAATTTCTCGAGATCTGTCTGGGCCGGCGACTCCATATGGTCATCCAGAGATGTTCTACTCATACTTTCAGCAATAGAGTTTCCTGCTGTGCATATATTCGAAACAGAAACATCGGAAACAATCACAGAGTTGCCGGAGCATCCATTGAGCCCATCAATATCCACAGCTGTAGTAAAGTCGGCATCAATGGCGTCGGAAACTTTGGGCGGTTCTTTGCCGGACGAAGAATGCAATTCATTGCCATTATCAACAAGAGGAAGAACATCCTTCAAGCAACGATTACCGAATTTAACTTTCAAGAGAATGCGATTCTTTCTCATTTGGCTTCTGCGCGAGTGTGTTTGACCCTGTCTGGTTAATTTCCTGGAGAAAATTCAGAGAAGATAACCTAGAAAAAGGTTAGAGACGGGAATAATGCCCTCCAACAGAACCCAAAAATAAGAAAACGCACGATTGAAAGAAAAGGATTTTAAGGTTTCTCGAACATGCTCTCTTCCCCAAAATAATGACTAAAAACATGTACACTACTCTTTATTTGATGCACAAATAATTTGATCTAAGGGTAATGCTAAATTTACATGTCATTGAAATATTATGGTCATATATTAATTTGTTTTCGATTAGCATTAGTATTTTTTGATAAAATTTTAATTATGTATATTAATTGTAAAAACGTTGACGCTAAAATCTACCATCAGATAACCTTTTAAATCGTTAATGCTAACTTTTAACGCTGATGCCAAATGGAGCCTAAGGGGCTGTTTAGCAACTCTTGAATCGGTAAGTGCTGAAGCAGTAAGAGGTCTGAACCATTAAGTGCTGAACCAGTAAGAGGTCTGAACCATTAAGAGCTAGTATATTGCTTAACTATTCAGAGGCAAATGTCTGATCAATTCAGATAAAAGGTCTTAACCATTCAGATTCTGTATAATACTTAACCATTCAGAGGCAAATCTCTTAACCATTCAGACATCTGAACCATTAAGAGGCTAAAACAAACAGTCTGAACCATTAAGTGCTGAACCATTCAGACATCTGAACCATTGAGAGGCTGAAACAAACAGCCCCTAAGTCTTTTAAAAAATGATATTCATAGATCAAAGGGTCATCACATTCCTCCGCATCATTCGTTCGATCTAGGAGTCTAGGTCACTTCATTTAAAAATTAATGGTTAATTTTATCCTTCACTTCATTTCTTTCTTAAATGGCTAAGAGTATACATGTCTTTTTAATATAAATGAGATAGATATAAATAATGAAGGGTGAATTTAGGAATAACCTTTAATTGAGTACTGCGTATTACTAGTACATAATATATGTAATCATCTTAACTCTTATTTTATTAATTTTTATATAACTTTCTAAGGATATGTTTAATGTATACAATATATTTTATAGTTCTCATACCTTTAAATAGAATGTTTTTTTTTGTTGTGAAAACTATAATACGGAGAACATTTTTTTGAAAGTACTACGGAGTATGATACAGTTTGATGAGTTAAATTATGGAAGAAAAGACTAAAATATGAGTAAATTATAGGAAAGGAATCTAAATCTTACATATATTTATCATAAAAAAAGATTTATAAATTTGCCATTAATTAAACTCTTTATAACAAATAATAATTACTATGTATATATCATGAAAAATACTCAGAGACGGAGTTAGCAATTAGACCTGGCAAAACGGTCGGTCAGGTCGGGTTCAGGTTCGGTATAATCGGGTTCGGGTTATTTCGGGTTCGAGTCACTTCGGATTCGGGTCTAAGAGTGTTTGTTCATGACCCAGAGTTATCGGGTTCGGGTTGACCCAACGGGTTAAGAGACGTATTTAAAAATTAAAAATTTTGCTATTTAGAGATCATGTGATCTGAGCATTATTCAAAACAAAAAACAAAATCATAAAAGTTTGCAGTTCTATTTGCAACATACCAAAAGAGAATTGATATATACCCAAAAAAATAACCTTTTTGGAGCATACCAAAAAAATTGCACTAGATCAAAAAAATTGAAGATTCTTTCAACATACCCAAAAATATATATACGTTATAAAAAATTGAGATTCTTGCTCCATACCAAAACAAAAGAATATATATATATATATATATATATATATATATAGGTTCTGGTGAGAATGCAATCTTAGGAGAGAAATGAGAATGAATTTGGTGCTTTAGATTTGAGATCTAAGGGTCAAGATTTCATCAAAATTAGATGTACCAAAATGGTGCGAAAATGCATCACGTCAAAATGCACCATAAACCTTACTATCTCAAAATCTGAGCGCAGAATGCAATCTGAGCCGCACGATGCATCAGATCTGACGGCTAGATTTTATTCTCGTTTCTCTCCACAAGGTGCATTCTCACGGGAACCGGTCCATATATATATATATATATATATATATATATATATATATATATATATATATATATATATATATACGGGTGTTAACGGGCCCCGTGGTAGTCACGAGGTTAACGGGCCTCGGGCCCCCTGCTTTGTAACCGACCGTTCATTATAAAAAAAAATTTAATATATATATATATATATATATATATATATATATATACATACATACATACATACATACATAAAGAGAGAGAGAGTGGAATTTTACTAGATTTAGATTAGGTTTTATGCCTTTTGAGTAGCCTAATGGATATATTATATTTTAAATGACTATATAAAACTAAATAACTAACAAAAATAAACCATTAAGTGCATAACTCATCGGGTCAAACCCGACCCGACCCGTTCTGACCCGAAAATTTAACGGGTCTTCGGGTTCAGGTCATTTCGGGTTCGAGTTGCAAACTCAATGTTCAAAACCCGCTTATTTCGGGTCGGGTTTCGGATTAGTAACGGGTCGGGTCAAATTTTGCCAGGTCTATTAGCAATCAATCAAAATCAATTTTACTTTATAACATTATGCTAATTAAATAGTAAAAATTACTCTGTATATATTTAAATGAAAGAATGTTTGCATGAGCATATTTATTCAAATGAAAACTCATGGTTGTCGAAGAACACAGAAAAGTAATACTCCGTATAAAAATTGTCCAAAGTCAATTAAGAATACAAAGGAACTCAACTCAAGTCAAAATCTTATTGTGTTCAACTTCTTCTTAGAATGTATGCTTCACATATCATCCATTTTGTACTACTTTTTTTATTATCTATTACTCCATTACTATTATTATCATTATTATTATTATTATTATTATTTTGTGGTAAATTTTGTTCTCATTGTATATTTTCATCCTTTATCTGGTGTCATCATCTCACGTTTGTTGTGATGGTGGTATTGAGAGTTCTAATCCCTAACTTTAAATTTGTTGTTTTTTACACCACAAACTCTAACTACTCAAATAATCACAATTGAATAAGAAATCTTATTGTTTGAAGAATTTACAACTGTCAAACTTCATGACTTGTCACAGGAACTACAACTTCCTTGTCAACATCCAGTGTTGAGATTTCAGCAGTTGAATTGCTCTCTGACTCCCCTCTCTTCCCCCACAAGTAACTATATAGTCCAGCAATCATGAGGATCATTCCTAACAAGCTGCACCATTACAATATTTACCAACTAAACCCCATTATCATTAGTAAATTACAGTACAAAATAGAAAGCAATAACAATATACCATATTGTGTATAGTTTTATACTTGTTGTCCAAGAGGTCGTGAAATCGAAACTCAACGTCACCCAATTTGAAAAATTAATGTTCACGTGCAAGACTCAAGCAAAAAAAACAAATCTTGCATGCACGTGAGGGGGGTATTAGAATATAAAAACTTTTCGTGGGTCACAACCAAAAGCTTGAGCTTTTGGTTGAGTTGGTTTTTGACACTTTTTATATATAATGAAATTTACCCAAAACAGCTCAAATAGCTTTCATGAATTAATGACTGCAGATAAAGAAAAGCATTGTATTGTATGGTAGCTATATATATATATAGGGAGGTAAGCAAGTCTTACATTCCAAGAGTGAAATCCTCACCAAAGAAGATGGCTTCAATAATAGCAACAAACACAACTGAGAGTGGATCAAACATGGAGGGATAGGACGGCCCCTTCTTCTCAACGGCCCATATTATCAAATAGAATGACGCCGCAGATGCAAATGCTCCCTGTTTTACCATTCACCATTTCTATTAAGTATAATACGGAGTAATAAAACTCTACAACCAAATGAAAAGTGAATAAACAAATGTGTGTAGTATAGAGTATTCCATAGTAAGTTTCTTTTTTGTTTTTAACATGAGCAGAAAAAGTTTTTTTTTTCATTTTCGCGTGTATGAGATACAGGCCTTGTTCGGGATTATGGATTTCAATGTACGTTAGCGTTTTGTGTAACATTTTAATGGTGCAGATTAGTTTTGAAACCATTAAAGTTAAACACGGAAGATGTTCTTAAACGGGCACATTACATACCGAGAAGAGCACATTCATTAACTTCACATTCCAACCCAAACTCCATGAATTCCCACTTCTATCCAAACATATCCCCAGTATTGCTGTTTGTATTGATGCCATCACGCACGTTAGCAAATTTCCCAAATTCTTCGATGGCAGCACCTTTAACAATTGTGCCTAATAATTTCCAAAAAAAATATTTTTAAGAAAACAGAGAACAATAGTTAGCAAATAAGTCCCATTTTGTGAGTTTTATATATACCTGGGATATGAACCACACAGCATAACCAAGGCAACTAGCGACCAGTAGAACGGTGCCACGTGTCATATGTTGATTTGTTTTGTGTAAAACCACAGTGGTCAAAGTTTTATGATGAAAGGAGGATAAAGAAACCCCCTTGTAGAGACTAATAACCAGAGCTCCTCCAACACAGAGGAATGCACCTATTATTTTTAATTGTCCCCACCGAGTGCCCAACTTCAAGCTTTCCATTCTGCAACAAGTACATTTCCATACATACATGAAACTGTTAAGAGCAAATTTTACCCATAATAGAAAGATTAGTTAAACTTAATCAGTTCGTGTATGGAGTCGGCCCTAAGGACTAATTTTTCAAGCAAAGAGGATTGTGTTTTAAAACTTGTTTGATTAGTGTCGATTAAATAGGAAGTATCGGCTTACCGGACAAGAATAGAAAGAAAGAATGTGACAATTGGGATTAGATTGCTAAAGTTAGTGGCATAAGTTGCACTTGTATCCTTGAGACCATAGTAGAATAATCCCATCCCCAATGTTATCCTGCATACATTGTTGACATCAATGGTGATAAACTCATCTAAAAGTTTTATCTAATCAATATTTTAATATGAATTATATTTTACCAGACTGAAGATAATAAATAAATTACCCGGTGAGAGCCGTAATAAATGTCCATAGACAAACATTTGGGGTTAAGTTCTCCCCAATTTTCCTGAAAATTTCCAAAGAATATGATTAAGCTATCACCTCTAATGACTCTTCTAATTTTGATTGACAATGCAGCAATACAAGTTCAAGTGATCAAATGTCTAATTTCTTTTTTAAAAAATATATTTCAATGTTTATATAATTTATATATTCCATATATCAGGAATAACAAATACAGAGTTTATACACAATATTAATCAGAAATTTAGTTATGTATGAAGTGTGTATTATTTCTATTTCTATTGAGAACTAAGAGTGGGATAAACTCCATTTACGATAAATTATTGCTGAGATTTACTATTCAAATTACTGAAATTAAGGGCGTAACCCTAATTAATTGACGTACCGGCGATCAAGGAGGAAAGCCAATGGGGCAATGCAAAGAGCGGCAACGATATGGCGATAAGTAAGGATCGCCAACACCAGCATCCCCTCGTTTATCGCCAGCTTCGTCAAGATCTGCGACCCGGCGAACATCACCTGCACCGCCACCATCGCCACTACTGGCGCCGCCCAACTGCACTTCCCCGCCGCCGTCTTGTTGTTCTCCTGGTCGGTTACTTCAGCCGCCGCCGCCGCTGCTTCTTCCTCTTCTCTGGTGGTCGTCCTCACCATGATTTCTTGACGTCTGGCTGCGACGGAGCTGCTCACGCCCGCCTGACTTTTTGCCTTTTGTTTGGTGGGCCGTCATGTCACGTGTTTAACACATTAGCATTCAATGATTATACTACGGAGTATAAGAGAACGAGGGTTCTATTTTGTCAAGTGACACGTCAAATTTTGGTGACTTTGGGCTTGTTTGGGAATAGCGTTAGGGATTAGCGTAGCGTTTTGAATAAAATTTTAACGGTGCAGATTAATTTGAAAACGGTAACGCTAAACGCTGCCCGTAGATATCTTTTCAAAACGCTAACGCTAATCTCTAACGCTATTCCCAAACAAGCCCTTTAATTACAGAGTATCTATTTTCAATAAAGTTTCGTTCACTATTCACAGTGTCAAACTTTATTCACTTTGTTGCCCTATTTCTGCATTCTATTTGATAAAATAATATAGTCATATCACCTCTAATTTTGTAGATCTTTTAATTTTTTTAAATATGTAATTTTATTTTTTAATTCCATACTATTTTTCATATAAAATAATTTAAAAATAACTCCAGTCAAATATCATAACGCGCAACAGAAAGTTTATTTATGGACGGAGGGAGTAGTATAGTACTCCCTCTGTCCCCCATAGATCTTCCCAATAGCCCTTTTTCTTTGTCCACAATAGATCTTCTCATTTCATTTTTTAACAATTAAAATACCACAACTACCCCCACTTACTTTATTTATTACACCTCACTTACCTCATTTAATACACCCCACCCATTTTTCATTAAGGGTATTATGGTAAACTTTCACCTTTTTTCAACTCTCCTTAAAAACCACCAAAAGTCAAAATGAGAACATCTTAGGGGGGACGGAGGGAGTATTTAATATATTGTTATCTATCCTTACATGAAAAGGGGCAGAGTTTTTCGAACGGATGGAGTATATTATTACTCCATATTATACATCCTTCTTCATGAAATGAAAATAAGTAAGATTTTTTTCAGAATACCAAAGTAAAAAATTTATCGGAAAACATAAATATTCTATTATACTCCCTCCGTCCATAAATAAACTTTCCGTTGCGCGTTATGATGTTCGACTGAAGTTATTTTTAAATCATTTTATATGAAAAATGGTGTAAAATTTTAAAATAAAAAATTATATTAAAAAACTATATCAAAAGATCTACAAAACTAGATGTGACATTACTACATTATTTTATCATATGGGTAACAAAAATAGGCCAATAAAGTGAATAAAGTTTGATTAAATATTATTACAACAATTTTAATATCATAGATTATCGGTTTTTTTAATTGAAAATGAAAGAACGAGACTCATTCCGATCCCGAGGGCCTCCTTAGACCCGATTGAACGGGTTTAAAAGGGTTCTCAGACATTTGGCTCATCCTTTAACTTTTCATTTAATAAAAAAAGTTATTTATGATATGGTTCGCATGTACATTATCATTCATATATGAGTATATATACTCTCACCGTTCCATTAAACTCTTCCTCTTTCATTTTTTTCCAATTCTCTAAAACACTTCCACTTTCTATTAAAAAACTATTGTTTCCCTATGTTACATACACTACATATCATATTTTTTCACTAATAATCAAACAATCACATCTTACTTTTACTCATCACATCTGAAGCAAAATTTGAAAGTCAACCAAAAATACATTTTCCTTATTTTGGTTCAAAGTCAAAATGGGAATGATTTAATGGAACGCAAGGAGTATAACTCAGATGACACAATAGATTATCATTCATAAGCATATAAAGATGTAAATAATTAATGCAAGATAAAGTAAGAGCATGGAACTAACCTGGAGGATATGAGTGTTGAACTTACGGAGAGAGAGAGGATAGACTTCAAATGGCGAGTTTGATGAGCAGATGAAGAAAAGATTATGATGACGATGATGATGATGATTATGGGCAACTTTGGGTTTATTGGGAAGACATGAAGAAGAAGAAGAAGACGTATACAAAGTAGCAATTATAATCCTTTTCATGGGCTTAATAGTTTGCTTCGGATTTATAATAGGCCACACGTAATAATAATGTAATACGTTCGTACGTAGTAGTGGTAGGTCGTGTTTCATGAGACATGAGACACCCAACTAAAATGGCAACTTTTATACCCCTACTCGAAGATGCCATATATGCGCCCCATAAGGATTCTCTCAAACTCTTCTGGATGGTAATTGGGAGGAGATAAATTAAAATTTAATCACAAATCGATGTCATGATGTGGGGCATGTACTTGATACTTGTAGTGGTCACTGTTTAACATAATTGCTAGAAATCATGTCAAGGAACCAACTCAACCAAAAAAAGTTCAAGCTTGTGGTTGTGGCCCAGGAACAATTATTTATATTCTAACACGCCCTCTCACGTGCAGGCGTAGTCTTTTTCGAGCCTTACACGTGAAAACTTAATTTTTTTAAACTGGGTGGTACTGAGTTTCGAACCCGTGACCTCTAAGTCAACGAGGCTCCGATACCATGTCAAGGAACCAACTCAACCAAAAGCTCAAGCTTGTGGTTGTGGTCCAGGAACAGTTATTTATATTCTAACAAATCAAATTCGGGTTTATCTCCTTACCAACTGTGCAATGCACACGGACAATGAGAGAACTTAATTCGAAAAGAGAAAATGGGTATAAAAATATTAAAACCAGCGTCCACAATTATCTCATCATTTTAAACAATAAACTGTCGCATCTCAATGTTACAGACGTTATAGACATGGAATAATGTGAAGATCTCTATATTATCTGTAATGCCACAATTAATTATCTCATCATTTTAAATAATAAATTGTCGCAACTCAGTGTTACAGACGTTATAGACATGGAATAATGTGAAGAAGAATTTACCTAAATAGCACTAAAACATAATGACTTTTCCTAAATAGTACTACATGTTTTTTTCCCCAATGTAGCACTTTTAGTCATTATCCATTAGTCATTATTCAAGTAAATGTTTGCCATCACTGGTCATTATGGACATGATTAATTCTATTTAGGGAATGAAACAATTTAAGTGTTATTTAAATAAATTCTTTAAGTTTTAGTGATATTTAGTGCAAATATTTCATAATGTGAAGGTCTCTATTATCTGTAAGGTTGAGATTAAATATTGGGATTAAAATAACATTTTTCGTTTCCAATATGTAACAGAGTATCGGATGGATAATTGGGAGCGATATTGAGTGGGTGGGTGGTCGTCTTCTAGCACGCACTGCGTTGACGAGTGAATTGAATCACGTATTCGGTCCAATCGGGTGTGACTCATTTTCAACAAGCGACAGCGGGCATGGGGTCCATACAATTATCAGTTTGGGCACTCCACGGCTTTCGTAATAATAAGTTAAAATCAAATTTGCGAAAAATCGCCTACCATGCACGACCACCATATCCTCTCTCTCTCAATCATTCCCTCCACATGCATGTGCATGTGCATGCACGCACTATTTCTACTACTTACCCTTACGTCAAGTGTGTCCTTTGTGATATTTTATATGAGCCATAGACCAAATAAATTAAAAGATCGAAGAGTTCTCTTTTCATAAAATATTCAAGCAACTAAAAAAGGGATAATCAAATATTACCTGGCCTAATTGGTTACAAAGTTGAGTTTATTCTTGTATACTTGGTATTGAGAAGAGGAATATATTGAGAAGGTAGGTAGAAGACATTTAGAAGAGATGAAACAATAGGGAGTAATAATATATAGACTCATAGTAATTGATTTATTGTCGTCCCCCATAGTCAGGGGCGGAGCCAAGTGCGAGCAAATGACTGCGATTGCAGTCACTCCCAACTTGGCTTTTTAATACTCCGTACTATATTACCTTTCATTTTGTTTCTCACCCAAGGCAGAAGAACGGCAAAAGAGCACTATGTTTCTTGTGGCTTTGAAAAGAAGAGCATTGTGAACCTTTGGAGAACTAGGATTAGAGTAGCTGGATAGGAGCTCGGTGCTGTAGAGGTTGTTTGTAGTGTGCTGTGTTTGTTTGGAATCTTTTGTCATTGCTTGTACTTGTCGCTTGTACTTGGTGTTTTACCCGTACTATACTGTGTTCCCTTCCATAACTTTGTGCAGGTTGAGCCGGGGGTCTCTTGGAAACAGCCTCCCTACTTTCGAGTAGGGGCAAGGTCTGCATACACACACCCTCCCCAGACCCTACTGTAGTAGGATTCAACTGGGATGTTGTTGTTGTTGTGATTTCAACATGTCAATGGTAATGATTGATCGAAGAAAATTGTAATGAATTTTTATTGATCTTGAAGTTTTATGTATATACTCCCTTTGTCCCACAAAGTCTTTCACGTTTCAAAAAAATTGTGTCCCTAAAAGTCCTTCTCGTTTCTATTTAAAAACCACTTTTACTCCTTACTTTTTCATACCCTACCTATCACATCATACTATTTTTTCTAATAATCTACACATCACATCTTATTTTTACCCATCACATCAAGAGTATTTTTGGAAAATCAACACAAAATTATCTCTTCCATGCATATTTTATCACTTTAGTCAATATGTCCCTATCTTTATGGGACGGAGGGAGTATATTATTGTACATCATGTGCTCGATAAAATACTTGTGAGATCAATTCTTATTTGAATATCTCCGGTCTCTGATAATCGCTAAACACAGATATCTTCTTCTACTTTGCACCCACTAATGTTAGATCGTGGCTCCGCCGTACTGCCCATAGTGGGGGAGGATATAACTAGTTATAAGAGAGAATAAAGAGATCAACTAATACACCATTATAACTTCCTCACCACACCCCTGGTACTACTCTCCATATGATGTGCGATACGAATTGAAGAAGATGATGGGGGCGGGGTGGCAATATGGTCAATTCATGCCATAACTTCTTTAGCTATACCATATTCATATTGAATGATTTTGTGAGTTCTATATATGTAATGAATAGAAAATAATATTGGAGTGATCGAATGTGGACATCGATTAATAATTTTTTCTAGCAGTTACACCATGTGTAGAGGCAGTCCATCTTGAAAGGGATTGACGAAGTGTAAAGAAATATGCTATGAAGTCATAAAATATATGGATTGTAGAGCTTGAAAGATGGAGGGAGCTTGACAAAAAAGTGATTGGTGAAGATGTAGATTATTCTAATGAAATATTTGCACTAAATAGCACTAAAATTTAAGTCATTTCTCTAAATAGCACTTAAATTGTTTTATTCTCTAAATATCACTTAATGATGTCCATAATGACTAATGGATAATGACTAAAAGTACTACATTGGGAAAAAAACACATGTAGTGCTATTTAGGGAAAGTCATTATGTTTTAGTGTTATTTACGTAAATTTCTTTTGAAAGGCATTGTGATTTTGGCAGCGTGAAGATTAGGTGTTATGGTGTGGGCAGTGTGAAGATTAAATGTTAAAATTTTGTTTTGCATCCTTTTATTCAGATTTCGTTGTATTTTTAGTCTTAATTATTGTGTTTTGTGGGAGTGTAGATATATTGTGACAGTGTATATATTATGGCAATGTATTTCAGATATTGAATTTTTGGCAGTGTATATATTGTGGCAGTGTATTTCAGACATTGAATTTTTGGAAGTACATATTGTGGCAGTGTAGAGAGTATATTGCAGTGTATAATTACCATAAGAAATAAAAGGTCACGGCTTAAAATGAATTCTGCTCTTTTTTTTTTTGGCAGTGTTGTATGTGTTAGGGCACTAAATTCAATCTCAAACATATTGTGGCAGTGAAGAGCAGAGAATTTCATATTTATTTATAATGTTGCAGTGAAGAGTATACATTGCAGTATAATTCTAATTTTGGGAGTTTATTTAAGGACAAAAATGGGAATTCATCCCAAAAATTAATAGCACTGCTATTTTGAGTATTATAAGACTATTAAAGTGCTATTTTCGTATTTCTCCCTTTTTAAAAATAACTAAAAACAAAGTGCCCAAATAAAGTCTTTAAACAAAGTGTCCGTACTCCCGAGTCTGTTCTACGAGAATCAAAATCTAAGGCCAACACCACCTTCCAGAATCAGCCATTGCAGTGCCTGGCTTTCGGCCGTCTCTGTTTTCCTGATACAGCCTGCGATTGCCGTCGACTTCCGGCGGCAGGTAATCCGAATTTGAAGATTGACATATCAGTCATTCTGCTTCTGTACTGCCACACTCTTTCAATTTCTCCATCAAAATTGCGATCCATCCCAACATTTGGAGGTGAGTTTCTCTTGATGTTTTCAATTTTTCGGCTCTATTTCGTTCTTTCTGTGAATTTATGCATGTTAAGTTCGACCCACTCTGTAGACGACACCGGGATCGCCTCTTCACCCTGGCTCGGTACTACCGGACACTCCTTAGGTCATGCGCGCGATATGTAGCTTTAGACGTAGGCGAGGAAGTTCACGCGGCAGCCATCGTCTCAGGACTGTTTAATACCCATAACTCATTCGTCCGGAATGCTGTACTCCACATGTATGCGGCCTGTGGGATTGCACATTCCGCGCATAAGGTGTTTGACGGAATTCCCCTGTCACAGAAGGACGCAGCTGATTGGACTGCCTTGATGGGCAGTTATATTCGGGCAGGGGTGCCACTTAACGCGCTCATTCTATTTGTGGAAATGCATAGGGAAAGTGTTTGCGTGGATGAACTCACAATGGTCACAGTATTAAATGGGTGCTCAAAGTCGGGCCATTATGTGTTTGGGGTTCAAGGACATGCCTTTTTAATTAAAACAGGGTTGAACTTATTTGTTAAAGCATGCAATGCAGTTATGGATTTGTATGTGAAATGTGGATTAATTGATGAAACAAGAAGGGTTTTTGATGAGTTGAAAGAGAGGAGTGTTGTTTCTTGGACTATACTATTGGACGGTGCAGTTAGGTTGGAAGGCTTGGAAATTGCTAAGTTAGTTTTTGACCAGATGCCTGAGAGAAATAAGGTTGCATGGACAATCATGATTGCAGGATATATTGAAAATGGATTTACAATGGAGGCCTTTAAACTTTTAAGAACCGTGCTCTTTGATTTGAGATTTGAGTTAAACTTCGTGACACTTTGTTCATGGTTATCAGCTTCTGCACAATCAGGGAATCTTCTAATGGGTCAATGGATGCATGCATATTATCTTAAAAAGATAAATGGTGATCATGATATTATGATCTCAACGTCGTTAGTTGATATGTATGCTAAATGTGGGAGAGTTAATGATGCTCTTCGAGTTTTTGCAATGACAACCCCAAGGAATGTGGTTACATGGAATGCTATGCTAAGCGGGTTGGCAATGCAAGGGAAGGGAGACATTTTGGTTAACATGTTTGACCAAATGGTTAGAGAGGTCAAACCAGATCGTGTTACTTTTACAGCTGTGCTAAGTGCTTGTAGTCATTCAGGTTTAGTTGATCTAGGTAGGCACTTTTTCTATAATCTTGAACCTATTTATGGGATAAAACCCTCTATAGAGCACTTCTCCTGCTTTATAGATCTTTTAGGCCGGGCAGGGTATCTTGATGAAGCAAAATCTGTCATTGAACAGATGCATATCCCCCCAAACGAGGTTGTGTTGGGGTCACTTTTAGGGGCCTGTAGTGTACACAGAAATGTTGAAATGGGGGAATGCCTAATGAAGGATCTTGTCAACTTGTATCCGCATAACACCCAGTATCATGTTTTGTTGTCAAATATGTATATCGTAGCTGGTAAGAGAGACCAGGCCATTTCACTTCGTCGGATCCTTAAGCATAGGGGAATAAGGAAAGTACCTGGCGTTAGCTCTATATATATTGGTGGTCAGATTCATCAGTTCAGTGCAGGTGACATATCACATCGTCAGATTCATGAGATATACCTGATGCTGGACGAGATGATTCAGAGGCTAAAGTTGGCTGGCTATGTACCTGATGTTGCATGCCATCTACTTTTTGGGGAGGAGTGTGTGGATGAATGGGAGGAAAAGGAGCAGGCGTTGTTCTTCCACAGTGAAAAGCTGGCCCTTTCTTTTGGTCTTATGAGTACAAGGGCCGGAATGCCTCTTTACATTTTCAAAAATCTAAGAATTTGCCTAGATTGTCATTCTGCAATGAAGGTTGCTTCAAAAGTATATGATCGGAAAATTGTTATCAGAGATCGTAATCGCTTCCACTCTTTTGAGTTAGGTTCATGTTCTTGTTTAGATTACTGGTAAATGGTACCAGAGCCGTATAAGTTGAGATGATTAGTTTAAGTTATTTCATTTTTAATATAAATATTGAGATGATTATATTAGCAAGCTCCGTGTGAAACCAGTGCGTTGTATGGTTGTGCTGAAGTTGTTTTAGAATCAAAATGCAACATGAATTTTAACTTTAAAAGATTATTAAATTTGTCCTTGAACCCCAGTATGTGGTACCGTTGGTACAAGCTTGGATCGCAACCCAAGGCTCTACAACTTCTATTCCCTCCTAGACCCTTCTAAATCTAATCTTGGTGGTGAGTCACATGGCCAGCCGGTCCCCTATAATATTGGCACATTGATACTGCGAAGGGTGTGGTGGCCGAGGCTGAGCTTGGGGACAGTTGTCGAGGACGAGCTCAAATTAGGAATGGCTTGGGTCTTCCAGTGTCACACCCTTAGTCCTAGTCGGAGCTCTAACCCCGTTGGGCCTCAAGCTCATAGTGCACAGACCCGGTTTCTGGGCCCCGCATATCCATCAGGTATATGTTTGAATACAAAAGGTGATGGGTTTTTGTTTTATAACATATTCCTTCCTTAAAAAAACAATGATCAAAAGTTCACGTGCATCGGTGCATGTGGTCAACACATTATAGTCTTTAATAGCTCAACGGTCCATTAATCTATTAGGATTTTATCTTTTTATGCAATATATGGAAGAAAAGCATCTCTTGACCTTTACGGAGTGTTTTTTCCATAACCTATATGGTGTTATTTGTCCGGTCTATAACATTAAAACAACATTACAACAACAAGAAAAGACCCCGTGAGGTCCCACAAGTGGGGTTGGGGGAGGGTAGGTGCATGCAGATCTTACACTACCTACAAAGGATAGAGAGGTTGTTTTTGAAAACCCCTGGATCAGAATAGTATTTTCCCATAACACTATGAAAAGATGAAACTTTATGGAAGGGCCTACATTTGAACAACTTTTACTCTGAAATTAACTTGAAGAGGAAGTCTCTGTGTCAATATTTTATTTTGGTGTAACAATTTGTTTTTCCTTTTTTTGGTTTGTTTGCAGGATTTGAATGATTTTTTTTGGTTTAAAGTGACATATTTCCATGCTTTAGTTCTTTCAAGATAGAAGTTTGAGATTGAGGCATACATCCAGTGCAGATTTAAGCTTATGGATCATCATTCTGTTCAACCTCCTCCCCCTGGAATCCAGTCTCTTTCAGTTTCTTCATATCTCATACCAGAAACTGCACATTCCATCCAACCTGTTCAAAATACTGATAATATCAAAAACGCTGCCCCCTCTTCTGAGGGAAGCCTTTTTCCTATCCTCCCTCCAAATGGAATTGGATTTTCACATGCTGAAAGCTTTCAGATGCCAAATAGCTCTCAATCTGATCAGGTACTCAAAAAAGGTAGTTTTGAAGTTTCAACCGAGATCACATGCCCCACCACGTCTTCCAGATTGTATTCGAGTGGATCTTCAGTACAATCAGAAAACAACTTCGACATTGAGAATTCTGTTCAAAGTGTTGTTTTGCGTGAACAGGTATAACATCCTCAACCTTTGGTGTTAGTTTACCTATAGTTTGCTCTTAATCTCTAATATTTTTTCTTGTCATATTTTTTTCAGGAAATTGCGACTCAAAAAGTTATACAAAGTCAGAGGTTGGCATGAAATGGAATTTGGTGTTTTTTTAAATAAAGCATAAATAGATAATGTTTACTTAAATTTATTTGTCTACCAGAGAAGCAAGATCCATCAGTGAACATACGGATAACAAAGACCTTTTCTCTGGCTGTCATGACCCCAATACTTTAAAGGTGGTCATCTACACGACTACATCTTTTGCAATTTGTCCCTTTGGCATCTTTGAATGCAAATATGTACTCTGTACATTACATCACTGGTTGTTAGGATGTTTTACTCTTGTTATTTTGTGTGCTTTGTAGGAGCATTTACTGAAAATGACCGCAGAACATCGTACTGAAATGGCCTTGAAGCATGGAAGGCCCGTGTTTCCTAAAGAAGGTTAGTTCATAAGTTTCTTCCATTTGCTTGAAAATTTTTGTATTCAAAATTTAAGGGAAGAGTATTGATATGCTCCTTAGTTAATGACGCTAGTAGATCCAATAAAGGTTGAAACTGGCTCTCAATTTCTCGGAGTGTTTCAAGCAGGAGAGTTGACATATGTTAACCATTAATGTAGGAGAGTAGGAGAGGAAATTGGAAATTGAGAGCATTGAGGTAGGAATTCAACCACGACCTGATTCGGTTGACAAATTTGTTTCTGGAACGAGTTATAGAGTATTACTTTGGTGGGTAGATTTTGCAATTTTTGCAATATGAAAAACAATGTTGGCGTTGAATCCCGCTCCATACCTTTGAAGAAAGGTCAGAAATGACTTGCATTAACATGTACTTTATGAGGCTATAGTAGCTGTAACTCTTTGTCGAGAAGATGGAAACTAACATTGTGGTATTCTAGGAGGGACTTATCTTGTTAGCACACCGTACTTGTCTAGGTGTGCACTCATAACCTTTGGTCGGGCGACAAACATCAACAGTTTTCTGAATGTATCTTAATGATTCAAAATCTTTAGTAGTTTTACAGAACAAAAATCTGACTTTGAGCTAGTCTTGCTTTATGGGTTGATGTATTACTCTGATGTTTGATGTGATAGTAAGTAATATGGGCAAGAATCTATTGAAGTTACAACAACAAACCCAGTAAAGTCTCACAGAGCAGGGTCTTGGTCTGGTGAGTGTACGCAAACCTACCCCATACTTTAGAGAGGTTGTTTCCAAGAGACCCCAATGCAAAACTCAAAAGAGAACCTATAGAAGTTACTAAACTATGGCCCCGTTCCGTTCAACTTATTTTTTCTTATTTTTTCTTATTCTTATTAAAATCAGATCAGATCAGATCAGACCAGATCAGATCAGATCGAATCAGATAGATCAGATCAGATCGAATCAGATCAGATCAGATCGAATCAGATCAGATCAGATCGAATCAGATCAGATCGAATCAGATCAGATCAGATCGAATCAGATCCAATCAGATCAGATCAGATCAGGACTTATTAAAATCAGATCTCATCAAGAATTATTATTATTATTATTATTATTATTATAATTATAATTATAATTATAATTATAATTATAATTATTATTATTATTATTATTATTATTATTATTATGATCATCATCATCATGATCATGATCATCATCATCATCATCATTATTATTATTATTATTACTATTATTATTGTTCTTAAAAATGAAAAAGAATAAACTTTAGAAATAGGTTAAATAGAAAACTGAGAAAGTAATCCTTAATTATTAGACGTCGGAAAAATTAGTTTTAAAATACATTGACAATATCAATCTAATTCTACTTTTAAAATATATTTTTATTGCTACTTGTAGTTTGAGTTTCTAAACTTTTGATCTTTTATAAGGACGAGATATTTTAATAAAAATACTATCTCTTCTATATATTGATTATCTAAATTTAATTACTTTTTAATGTATATCTAANTTTGAAATTTTAAATTAAATCATAATTAATCAGATCAGACCAGATCAGATCAGATCAGATCCAATCAGATCAGATCAGATGAGATCCAATCAGAGATCCAATCAGATCAGACCAGATCAGATCAGAACTTATTAGAATCAGATCAGATCAGAAAAAATAAGTTGAACAGAACGGAGCCTATTTCTCCTTAAAAGCTAAGCTAGTCCCAACTTTTGTAACTTGATCTAAATTAATTTGTTGATTGGAGTAATGCTTCCATTTCAGACTTTGAACATGTACAATGGTGTAATTTTATCTATGGGTATTCTATGTAGCATTGAAACAAGGCACAAAAAATAAGGCACATAGCATAGCAAAATGACATTTTAAAGAAAAGAGTACCACGTCCTCAAGGATCAAGCCAGGGGACTAGTGGCCACAGCAGCACCCCTCACTTTCTTGGATTTGCGCAATACACTCACCTAGTCCCTAAAAAGTTCCATATTTCTATTTTCCTATGTGCCAAAATTGGTTTCCACTTTTCTTTTAAGGAAATACTTTTGTGGCTCATATGATTTCTCGCTTCTCTTCATAAATCTCAACCACACGATTTCATCTTTGTTATTAATAGTGCTAGCACCAATGAGTGCCTTTGTGAGGGACGAAGGTAGTACTCTATATCTAATAATTTTATGTACTCCCCATGACCCAAAATGTTGAGCCTTTACGAGAAACGGTGCCAAAAAATTGATTATTAGTTTTTCTTAAATGCAAAGTATAAATTTAATAAATTTTAAAATTTACAAAATTTGAAACTATGTTTCATCATATATGAGAATATAAGGATCATCATTATTTACTATGCATATTGAGAGAAATTAATTGTCAAAACTTGGCATTTCCAAAGTAAACTCCATTTTGGGATGGATGAACTGATGAAGTATAATTTTAATAAAAAGTTGATTTTCAGCACCTTTAAATCTGGAAAATATGATTTGCCACTCACAGTGCAAACTGTTGGCTACATTTGTGGATTTCCTACTGCAATTTCAAAAGACAATAAAATGTTGACAACAATATTCAATTATATAGTTGAACACAAGGATTTTCAGCATTAGGGAGGATGAGAGATGTTGCCGTGGCTCTTAATATAATGTACATATGATTGTATGAACCATATCCTTAATTTTTTAAGGTGCAGTTTTTCATACTGGGTAATAAATGAAATACTCTTGCTCCTTTTTCCAGGCAATTTGGAAATTGGCAATGGGTATGGTGTCCCTGGTGGCGGTGCTTATTACGGTTCTATGAAGACAAGCGCCACTACCTCTAGTGAGACTTCTTTCCTGCTCTGTAGTTAATGTGTCTTCTCAAAATTGTTCTAAATGGACCTTTTTCTGATTCTTCAAGAAGATGCTATCCATGGACATACAACAAATGAATCCAACACAGATCGCAGTGGGGATCCTGGATGTAATTCTGCAACTAAAGAGTTGCCCGAATATCTCAAAAAGAAGTTGAGAGCTAGGGGTATTCTGAAGGATGAACCAACAGTGGGTTTTGCCACCCAATCCAATGTATGTTAATCTCATCTCTTGCATGTATTTTTTCCCATCACTCTCATTAGGATCTGTTGGCAATGTGTTATTTATTTATTTGAGAGCATTTTTGTTAAAAGTTGAGCATGATTCTCCTCTTAGTTCATGTAGTCGACCCCTAGTTACCTGGTATAAGGTTTTGTTATTGTTGTTGCTGCCGCTACTGCCGCTACTACTGTTGTTACTTGAAAACATGTACCTCTATTAACCTTTCTAAATATTATACAACGCAGAGATCAGAGATGTCACAATCTCAGCAGATGCCACATTCAGAATTACCTCCAGGGTGGGTAAGTAATTACTACTCCCTCCGTTTGCAAAAAAGGTTCCTACTTTGACTTGGAGCCAAAATAAAGAAGTGTAAAATTATAGTTGACTTCCAATTTTGCCCCTGATGTGATGGGTAAAAGTAAGATGTGATGGAGTGATTATTAGAGAAAAAGTATGATGTGATAGGTAGGGTATGAAAAAGTAAGGGTAAAAGTGGTTTTTTAATAGAAAGTGGAAGTGTTTTGTTGGAAGTGAAAAAAATGAAAGAGGAAGTGTTTTTGAGAACGGAGGGAGTACTATACTAGTTATTATTCTTTCCTTTTTCTGTAACTCTATTAAGGATAATGATGTCATATCCATCTTTTAGACTGTTAGGAAGTATTCTTTTCATTTTTAAAACTATTGTAGATTGAAAGAGGGATTAAAATTTTAGGATTCCAAACTTATTTCATCACAAAACACATGCGCTGGAAATCCTTTTCCAGAGTGCATCATTCACTGTTAGTGAACAGTACAAAATATTGATAAGTGTGAGCACGTTGGTCTGCAGGTGTTTTTACTCTTAATTTTATTGTTTTTAAGGTCTTCCCACTTTCCAAGCTATGCTGCAGTAGTGGTAGATAAATCTTTGGCCTATACATAGGGTCAAGAGTCAAGAATGAAGAGTGAAGACTTCATTTAAGTCTTATGTTTATAAGTGTGAAAAGTGGGGTCTGGGGAGGGCGAGTGTATGCATACCTTATTGTTGTTGACTTGTTGTAGATGTGAAAAGTGAGATAACTGGTTTGAAAAAATGTCAATGTCCAGAATGTCATTTTCTAATCTGGATTTAAACAGGTCAAGAAAGACTTAGCCTAAGGGTATTCTACTGATTACATATGATGGGGCACCATTCATATGTTACTTCCTGAGTAACAACTCTCTCCTCATCTACAGAATGTATAGTGCCTGGGAATTCCCGTGCAGCGGTTGAGCCTGTACTTCAATCTGAATTCTAGCATAACCCCATTTAGAACGTGCAGCAGTTGCTATATCCCTCTTTATATGTTTTTCAATTAAACTCCCCAGCTTACTAAGACCTGTCAAACTCCAATACTTCGTGTCTAAGTTGGGCAACTGGATCCATATTGGAATTTCCTTCAGTTCATTAATATCAAAAAATTATATATTCGATTTGCACCCTCTAGAATTATTGTATAAAAACTGCTACCTGGTTGAATATTTAGTCCGCGCTTAGAGCTAGGCAAAGGGAGTTTGTCATCTGTCTTTTCTGCTCAAATTTAGTGCTCATCATATTGAAAATAGATCCTCTTGTGCAGATTGAGGCCCATGACCCTGCCAGCGGTGCAGCATACTATTACGAAGCCAGTACAGGAAAAAGTCAGTGGGAAAAGCCTGTGGCTGCTTCTGTTTTGATGTCAACATTATCTCCACCGGTTCTTGAAAATTGGCAAGAGCTCATTGATGAAGCATCAGGTGGATTCATGAACTTATCAATTACCAATGCTGTCTCACCATAAATTTGATTAGTTGGATGTGTGGAACGGGGATGCTACCTATCTGGAGTTAAAATTTGAATGTTGTGGAAGTACTCCATTTCAGTTGTTGCAGTAGCCTGGAATTAAAATATGAAATTTGGATTTAGACAATCCCTTGAGAGTTTTTCATTCTGTTGTAGGAGATTTTCGCTTGACTGTAGAAAGAAAAAGAAAATGGATCAAGGAGTAGTATTCCTCTTAAGAATAGGATAGTCGCTTGAAAACTTATTATGTTTGATGGAATTGTCGTCCAAGAACTTAATCACTTTCTGTATAGTAGTAGATAGTTGATTGATGCTATTGCTCCTGATAATTGCTTATGCATTTTTTGAACTAAACCATGCTATGTTTTATCCTTGAAAGTTCGTTTTGTGTTTTGGGATAACTCCCCTTCCTGCACCCACATTCTTTACACGTAATTAGGTAAATAGTCATAAAAGATGTACATCTGGTAGAACTGAGCATTTTCTTTTCAGATACTTATCCAACCACCAAATATTTGGTTCTTTGCCAATGGACCGATTTGAAATATATTTGGTTAAACACCAAATTAATGAATCAAACTTTACCAGGAACCCCCATTTGAAGGCTTTCTGTTAATATGAAGTTCATAACCTTCCAGCATTCTCATGTTTTACCCCTCCATTTTCAGCTGATAGTATTGCCAACTGAACATAAAAATATAAAAATCCCAGTAATCTTCTCGATCTGCATATGTTCATTAAATGGACAAAAAGTTACATATTATCAAATCACATGGGCAAAATTTTCATGCTTGAACTATCACTATAGGAATTTAACAAAGTGGATGTCAGGACATATGTATCTGCATACATATACTAATATATACCTATATGAGCTTTGCTGCTTCATCACTTAAATTTCAATGAATAAACTGAATCATAAATGCTCACCAACCATAGCTTGGTTTGAGTTGTGGCATCGTACACAAAGTTTATTTGGAAGTTGAACGCATTAAATAGCAGTGTGATAAGTTTGTGTTCTATGGTTGCTTTGTTTTCAACCTACTTTGCTGCTAATTTCCTGCTGTTCACTCATTGCTCCCTCACTCATAATTCCTGAAATTTGTTGTACAGGTCAAAAGTATTACTTTAACACCTTGACCAATGTATCTCAGTGGGAGCACCCGTGCACCTTGAAGCAGAATGGCTTACAACTGCATAGTGCAAATAGAACTACGAATGTCGGTGAACAATCATGTGCATTACCAAAATGTAAGGGATGTGGTGGATGGGGTGTGTCCCTTTTGCAATCATGGGGATACTGCAGACACTGCACTAGGTATTGCCATTTTTTCATATCTTGGCATTTTAAAATTTTGGTTTGTTACATGCTTGGGGCTTGGGCACATGTTTTTTTTTGTTTTATTGTTTAATTTTTCGACTGATAAAAACAAAATATTCATTTTGTTGTCAGTTGTCCTATGAATCCCTGAAAATATAAATCCAAATATTATTTCTGCCCATCTGTTTGCTAGTAGTCTACTAGAGTACATATACTGGCCCTGTAAGTTAAGTAAGTGCTCTCCCTTCCTGACACGGCGCTGGTACACTTCATGGGCCAACACATCATTTTCTGGGACTTACTGTGTCTTTCTTTTTTAATTTTACCACTCTAATCAAGCTTGAGTTCTGATAATTTCAATACGTATGTTAATAACCGTTTGTTCCACACTTCTTTTAGTGGCCTTTGACTTTTAAACAACTTGTTTGAACACTTTGTGTGTGTGTGTGTGTGTGCGTGCGCGTGCGTGTTTGCATGAAAATGTTTGAACCTTATCTCTGATGTTAGTGATTAGACTCTCTGTTTGGCTTGACAACACAGCCTTTATATTCTGATAGTGATATGGCAATCCTCTTATATTTAATGTATCAGACTGTCACTAAAGCTTTAATGTTGTGTTGATATTGTTCACGTGCAGAGTTCTTAACCTTCCTCAGAATCAGTATCTATCGGAAATTACGGAAAGCAAGCAGCATACCAGTACTTCAGCTCGGATGGAGGATGAGAAAAAATTTCAGAAGCAGAGGTATGAAATTTTCTTGTTGGGCTTTTAGTATAATCACATGTACAAGATCCCTTCATTTGTTTGTCCCATTCAGTTTCAATACAAGGGAAGTTGTCTAATTACTAGGTTGTAATTAGAGAACAATCCCATGTCACGATGATATTTTGTGTACCATGACCCACCATTTCACCATGTAGACAGTACTATATTTGACGGGTTGTATATCGAAAGCTACAAGCACACACCTAACCCTCAAGGCCTCAACCCTC